CTTAAGCGCGACGGCGACGGAAATGGTGCACAATAAAAGGCTAAACATGATATCCAATGTTTACTTTTTTCTTAACACTCTAGCAGATATTTATTTATATTTGTTTATAGAAGGTCAACAAAATACTAAAAGCAATGACTTCTTTTGAAGGAAAACAAGAAAGGAAACTAACTTCTGTATACCCTAGCAGTTTGCCATAGGATCATCATCGAATAGAGAAAATCAATCATAACTAAGCCAAAAACTCATTCATTTCAATTCGGAAAGCATTTTTACTGTGTTAGATTTAGGTTAATAAATCGGAATACTAAATTAAAAATTTAAATGTTAGCCAGATATGTCTGGAAAGACTCGCCTGTTGATGCTAATCAAGGCTACATATGATTCTAAGGGTCGCTAATGGATTCTTCTGACTAAAATGATAATGCCCTGCAATGATATTTCATAAATCATAGTTTCTTTGTCAGCATAAATATTTAGGTTTCCACTATAGTAAAACTTAATAAATGAATATTAAATTTAAGTAGAAGTTACCGCCTTAAAGTCCATTTCAACACGATTCTTGAAATTTATTTTATTTTGATTACAGTGTGGACTGGAGAAATTGCCACTAGACTATCAGGGCAGCACCATCTCCGTCTCCATCTGGTCGTCATAATTCAGAGCTTCGCCACCACCACCATCACACAATTCCCTGACCTGGTCAGACAAACTTTTCGGGCCGAGAGAAATCTTTCAACTTTGTCTGGGGCAGGAAAAGTGCTCACCGTACCGTTCCACTCCCCGGTGCCTTAAAATCGCACTTAGAACCACTTTGCCGGCGTTTATTGATTTCAATGATGACCCCAAATTGCTGCAATGAAAGTTGACCACGCTGGCTGGGCCACTCGAGGCGACCGGAAATGAGGTAAAGTGCTGGGCGGGCAGGTGAGGGACTCAGGGACGCAGGGACGTCGATGAGGAGCAAGGTGAATGCGAGCAGAAGGCCTTGACATTTTCCATCCGTTGGCGTATCACGAAAGCTTGGCAAAGTATTTAATTAAAATGAAACGCAATCACACTCGCACACAAACACACTCGGGGCAGAGAGCTCACTTAATCCATCTGCACTTCTGGGGAATACCTGTGCTGCTGCATTTTGCGGCAATAAATTCAAAACCAACTGCGTGTGATGCTCAACAAACTGCCAACTAACACACACGGATGCAAATGGGCATAGACAGGCCAACAGGAGCGCACACACCGGCAGGAGACAACACTCATACGCAGTGTGACCGACCCAGTGCAGTGCTGATCTCTCCTGTGGGCCTCCCTGCACATTTTTGTTACCAAGATTTTAACTGTCAGCAAGTTGGGCGACTTAATTTGAATTTACGGCACCGCCAGGGGCGCCTCCCCCCTCTCCCCGTGGGGCCTGGCTATTATTTCGCACAAACAGTATTAAATAGTGGCGTAGCTGCTGGTCTGGCCCTGGTTCCGCTTCTATCTCCTTTCTGGTCTCCAGGTCGAGGTCTGTCCAAGTAAACCTGTGTTCGTGCCTGTTCCACGGGTGCGCCCTCTGTGTGAGTGTGGGGGTGACAATAATATTCAAATTCCACTCTGCTGCAGTTGCATGGGCAGAGGCTGGCGTGGGTAGTGGGAGATGGGCGTGGCAATGACACTTTTACACTCCATATATCTGCCTAGGAAGTCGCCACTCTCCTGGCTATCCCTTTGAGTGCACTGAGAGCAAAATATATCTTTTTAAAGACAAGGGTTATTGAGAATGAGGTAGCCAAATTAGAATAAATATAAATTAGAATTAGCTTCTAGCTTGGTTTATTTTGGTTATCCAGTGAATACTCCATTCTATGTATTTTATGACTTCCGTAACTTTAGTTTTTTAATGACTTTATATATTTTTTAGCTTAATTGATGTCCCATAAATACAACTACATATATTTATTTATAGCCAGCAAGGACTTTCTCCGAGTGCTGTTCTCAAGCCCCGCTGGCGCTCTCATATTTATGTGTCTCCTGATAGCGCCGCTGCAGTCAAAAGTTTTTCTTGCGGCCCGCCGTTTGCGAGTGTGCATGTTTATATGCTAATACTTTAGCGCACATGGCAGGGCGCTATTATCGCCACTGCCACTTGGGCGTCGAACTTCCGTTCAGCCCTGCTCCATGCTCCTGGCCCGGGATGGAGCGGAGGATCTCTTGGCACTGAGCTCTCGGCAGCCCAGAAGCATTTGCAATTTGGGTTTGCATTCGAGCTCTCGGGCGCTGCTTTCGCCGCCCGCTGAATGTTGCAAAATGAATTTTACTTCATTTTGATATGTTCTCCCCGCTGGCTTCAGCGCCGGGCACATAAATACTTGGGGGATGTGTGGGGCGTTCTGTTCAGTTTGTTTTGCCACTATCGCCATGATAATAAATTTTATTAATCTCGCCGTCGCCCACACACACCCACGCGAGCAAGAGCGGAATGGATATGGATGGCGGAAGCTCCCGCTCCAGACACTCGCTGATCAAGTGCTCAACTAGTCGAAGGCATTTGTAAACGTGGTCGCAAACAAGGACGCGCTCCTCCCGCGGGACCCGTCGACGTCCTGCCACTTATTTTCATTTACATTTCGTGGCAGCTGCCGCCGGAAGACGCTGCGCTTGCAGTTGCATTCCCAGTTGCAGCTGTGCGGCGAATTTATTATGTAATTATTTGTTGTGCATTCTAATTGTGTGGCTCCAGCATTTCGCCGACTCGAGGGATTTTTTTTGCGAAATAAGCAGAGCGCCAATTAGCGGGAATGAAAATTGGGAAAAAGACTTTCACTGGCTCTGAATTAGTTTGAATTTGCTCTCAAGAAATCTCAACACGATTGATTACTGTCACAGGGTCCTGTTTACTTTTAAACTTTTATATTTGACCAATTCGTCTTAAATCTATCTTGCTTTTCCTCATAGTGCCTACATCCTCGAATTGACCCACTACAATATACCATCGCTTGCCAAGCTAATCAGGCCACTTTCACAGAGGTCCTCGGAAAAAGCGGTCCACCGCCGTGAGCAAAACTAAATCCCAGCGAAAGCCGCCTCGTTCCAAAGGGCCGAGTGCAGAATATACTATATACAGATGTGGTCTGGCTGCTGCAACTCGTGCGGAAGCGGGCCCAACTGGCTAATCAAAAATTTATTTAATTTCTTGGATGCTCAAAGGCCGGCCGCAGCGAAAGTGCGTCCGCAGCCCGGACACCCCGGCGCCCAGGCCCCGATCCCGATCCCCAGAAGACAGGCGGCGGCGAGGATGGGGGGGGATGTGTCCGTAAATGCCCGGCATCAAATTTGATGATGTCAACCATGAGCCTGTGCGATGGCCATGTCCTGTTGCCGCTGGTGCTGCTGTGCCGTTGCTGTGGCTGTTTCTGTTTCTGCGGGAAATGCAGTCTAAAAACCAACAAATGCCGGAAATGCGCCGCTGCCGCTGCAGCTGCCGCAGCCATTGCGATTAAACTTTCCGCATTAAATATTTCGCCCGGACCCGGCGCACGAAGTTGGATACTGGCTTCTGGCTGCCGGCAAGTGGAACTGGGACGCCGGGCGGATGTTGCGGCTGCCTTTTCGCCAAATCTAATTGCAAATTTCATGTACCGACAGCCTCTGCCATGCTCACGCCTCCCAGGACGTGCCACGCCCACGCGACAACTATATAAACATTGTGGCCACTGGCAACTGTCATTTTTTCCTTGTTCGCGCTTCCCGTATGGCTGCAGTAAATCATGAAATTTATTTAGCAACATGCGAGCGTCCAGAAGCGCCGCAAAAAACAGGCAAATAAATTGCACAAATGTTGTCCGCACTTCGAGTGGCACTGTTGCCATGGCTTCCTTCAGGCCGGGCTTACACCCAACACCACATCCACACGAACGGGGGCGGTCGCCCCTCCCCCGGGGCGAAGTGTCATTAATTTTGATGTGTTTTTAATTCGGTTTTGTTGGGCAAACTCATTGACAAAGCCTCTAAAGAACACACGCCTCGGAGAGTGCAGCATGGAAATGCTGTTTGGGATTTAATTAAAACTAATGAAAACTTTGCCCTAGCCCCTCTCACCACCTCTGCTCCTGCATCCCCCCCGTCGGCCGACAGTCAATCTTGCAATTTGTGCCCAACGACAGATGACAAGAGGCAGAGAGCGGCCGCAAAGGTCCTGCAGCACAAGCCAAGCCGGGCCAGGCCGGGCACTTGGCCGACATTTCTCCAAATCCAACCGGACTCGAAGGGCGGGGGAGGGGAGGGGGGTTTGGGTTCGACCTCCAGGCAAAATGACAGAGGAAAGTTGAAAACACTTTGGCCACAATTGCGCAAACCGAGCAAAATGAGCTGCAGCCACGCACTCGAGGCCACCTCTGAAATGAGCAATGAAAGTGCGTGGCCAGGGTGGAGACCATCCAGCAATTAGGCAACTCCTCCAGTAAAGTAAGCAAAAATTTTAACTTTTCGTCTCCTCACAAATGGTTTGATGTAAGTCAGACATGTAATTATAAACAAGAGGAATTACTACTTATCTATCTAGTTGGGTTTTTTGGTGATTAATTTGAATGAAATATAAGAGGCTTAAAATACTTAAAATAATGCTCTGCAATTTGTTAATATACAAACAATTTAAAAGGTTTTGTATGGCAGACTTCATACTTGTCGCACTTAATGACTTTGTTTTAAATATCAGAAACAGCTGAATCTAAAAAATGAGTTTAATTTTGTTTAGTTCAGTGTGTTCCATTTTTTTATGGAGTGCTGCTAATTGTGAATCATAAAGTAATTACTCTTATAAATATAAAATTTATGGTTCAAAAAGCATCAATGTATTTATTAAATGCTCTGGCCCACATACTTTATATATTTAAAAATTCTGATAATATTTCTGAACTTAATGTTTCCGATGAGATCTTAATTGCTTTTTAATTCCGTTCTGCCCAATGATCTTAGCGCTTTTCACGTATTTTTTCAGTTTGTCCACTTCATTCACGATGAGTTTTGTGTACATTCTATTAATGCAGGCTACGGTGATCCTCTACTTACATTCGGAAGTAAAACTCGAAGACTTAAATTAGTTTCCAAAATCATGTAATATTCCTGAAGAATATGACCTAAAAAGGGGAAAATCTATTTCATATTTCAGGTCACCGGTAAAGTAGAATTCACCAACTTAAAGTGCACTTCCTTCGACCCGAAGTTCAGTGAATTTGAGTATTGCCACTTCAAGGCGATCAATCGGACCTTTAAATACCTTTCTCTAAAAGTAAAGCTCTACGAAACACCCATTACCAACGTCAAGGTTTTTATGACAAAAATTCAATGCATTTATGATTAATAAAGAGCCGCTCCCGCAGGTAAACGTTGCTCTGCTGAAACGATTCGGTGGATACAAACCGTTTCTGTACAACGTCACGGTAGATGCTTGTAAATTCTTGAAAAATCCAAGTTCAAACGCAGTGATCGTATATCTGCATGGCTTCTTCAAAAGCCACTCCAACATGAACCACACTTGCCCATATGATGTGAGCTCGAAATATTCATAGTGCTAATGCAATAAACTTTATGAAGTTCTTTCAGCACGATCTTATTGTAGACAAACTGACAGCCGACTTCCTCAACACGCAGGTCACGGAGGTTATTTCGTTTCCATTTGGCGAATTTCTTTTTCAATCGCAATGGTTTGCCTACGATATTCTTCGCGCTTCGGTCAACGTATATGTTACCCTCTCTTAAATGAATATCACTCCTAATGTATAGAGAACCCCATATGGAACGCAATCTCTGCTGATTTTTGCAGGATTTACTTTAATACAAATTATCTAAGTCTGTAATTTCCTGGGTTAATACAAACCTGTTTCCTGGAATAGCGATATATGACGCTATGCTCCTGAAGATTTGAGCAAACAATACAGCCAAATATAAATAATCCATATGTTTCGATCCAATTACATATATTATTTTGCATTTATTATTTCTTTACTGGCACTGCACTTGGTTCCTTCTTCTTTAAAGTTTAAACTTCAAGATTCACAAAAACACGTCCACGCTGTTTGATTAGTAGGAAGAAGTAGAAGTGTTGGATAATACAAATATGTTGTTTTGCTTAATATCGATAATGTTTATAACACTATTTATATCGATATCTTTATCTAAACGTTAAATAAATAATAATAAAAATGCATTCAAATTGCGTGTATAGGCGCGGTTTCTGTAAAACTATTTTATTTCAATGAATTTTGTCGAATAACTTTATAAAATCGCCAATAAAACCATTCAAGTCAATCTCTCTTTCTGCCTTGGTAATATTTGGCAGGGGAAGAGACTTTTAGAAAAGAGGATGGCGTCTTCTGCAATAATTGAGATCTGACACGTTCTTCGGGGAACTCCTGCTTGGAAGGATATGGGGCAAGCGAGTTCCTTCCACTAATGCTGCAGTTAAGCTCCGATTTTGCACGTTGGGAATGAGAGATGATATTGAATGATGATGGACTCCAGGATAAGCGGAGATGGCTGAATTTGGGATCTGAAATCGGCTTAATGGAGCAATTTGAGGCTCCTCCAGCGGGACTGATCGTCACCATGAAGGAGTGGGAGGATCCCTCATTCAGCAGTCTTTTATTTTGCTGGTTCAGAGTGCAGAGTTCCACGAGGAGATCGCCGATCTGTTTAGTGATCTGCCGGCCTCTTACAGTAATACTTGGGCTCTCCGCGGACTTCTCTAGGTGCTTATGGCTTATAATGCTGGGGATCCCACCCTGATATACAGGTTTTGGCGTTTGGGGTTTCTTTGTGGTAGGTTCTTCTACAATGGATATATCGGGACCCAACTGCTTATTGTCCTCATCCTTCCGCTTGATATCAAAGGTGCCCTGTCGCTGGATGCCGGGACGCTGGGGGAGCTCAGCTGTAGGTGCCTCCGTGTCCGGAACTGGAATGTGCTTTGGCGAACCCCGCAACTGCTCCAGCTTAAGGATAACCTCCTCAATGCTGGTGTTGCTGTTGTTGCTCATAGTTGGGGTGATGCAGGTGTCATTATTTTCCTCCTCTGGAGGCCAAAAGGTGAGATCGTACATATCCTTCTGAAATCGTTGCTCTTCCTCCGCAGCTTTAAGCTCCGCCAGAGCTCTGGCACTTAAGTTGATGGGCATATCCAGCTCTGGAGGTGGCTCTGTGTCTTCCAGCAGCTGAAGGCGTCTGCTTTCAATATCCTTCAATACGTGCTCCATCCTCTTTTGTTCTACTCGGCTGAGAGCCAGGTCCAGGCCGCTACGCGTGGTGAAAGGTGCGCCATCTACCAAGATAAATGGTACGCCATCATCATTGGTCCCATGAGCAAGATCTTCCAAACCTAACAGCGTGTCGTTGGTAGCTTGGACATTGGCGGGTCCAGGCAGATCTTCAATGCCTGATAAGGTGTCATTAGGGTTGACGGCATTCAATGAATCGGTTGGATTTGGTAACGGAGCACCTTGGCTCTTCTTTTTATTCAGCATCATTCCTGAGTAAAACGTAGAAATGTAAATTAGTTTATATACGACAAATGTTCATGAGGTGACTGATATGAATAAAATGTAATCATATTCTACTATACTACACTATACTACTGCTAGATGTCGCCGAACAACTTAAGATGACCCTGTTTATAGATGTATGCACTTGCTTCGACCAAAAATCCATTTCGAATAGGCGACGCCAATCGCATTGGTGCATTTGCTTGTGGGCCAAACGGCAAGACCGTGATTAGGCCAACATGAAGCTCAAGAACTCACCTGTTCTCCAAGAAGCCGACGTGTTCGCTCCCACGGTTGCTTTGTTGGCTGCTCGGCAGCAAACAGAAATTTAAATCCCTTAGAAGTACTCGCCAAGAAAAACGAAATTGAAAAGGATAAAAGTTCTGCGTGCCCGAGAATCAACACGAACGACCCTTCAGCCCCTGATCCAGAGCCTGCTCCTGCTCCTCCTCTTGCCACTACTACTCCTGGGCACTTGTGGCTGCCTTTGGCCAAATAATGCGCGGGACGGTGGAGGGGGCTTCGGGCGAGGTGCGGGCCTGGAACACAATCCGTAAACCAAAACTTTATTTTGTGCTGATAAAAACTTAAATGTTGCTGCCGCTGCCGCTACCACTGCCACGCAATCGTAAATGTTTGATATCCCCAAAGGTTAACAATTTCCGTTGCCGCTTGGCTTTGCTTTGCTCAGCTTCGGCCGGCCAAGTTAGTTCTCCTTGTTTTCTTTATTTTGTTTGGCAAGAATTTTGCGGTTGGCTAAATGAAACCGCAGCGTTGCTGAGTGCCGCATACATACGTATTCGAATACAGACCTGGTTGCGGGGTGAGTTTGTCTTTGGCCTGTCTGTTGGTCGGCCTGGTGTTGTGTTCGAACTGGGGTAGGGATGGGCGACTACTTGCTACTTGGGAAATGGCATACTCAGTTCAATTTAGATAATTTAGACATTGACAAAAGTAAAGGAACGCAAGTTGCCTTAGTGAAATAATCGGTGGAACTGAAGGACACCCTGCTTCCAAATTTTGAGGTGATGACAAATCAGGCTAAGCATCTAAGGCTATCGCCTTAACTCTTTCGAGTTATACTTAGTATCAAAAGTAGCTATTATAGTTACATAAATATATAGCTTTTTGAACCAGAAAATCCCAGGCTATTAAAGACACCCTCATTTAATGGAGATACTGACTTCTTTTTGCTTTCACTTACATATAAATTAATGTTGACTATAAAATAAACCGAGCATATTGATTATGCTTCCACTTTAATTTCAATAATTAGAGTACCTTTAAGGAAATGCAGTAAATAATTTTAAAATAATATTTAGTATTGTAAAGGATTGATTATATTATTAAAATGATAACAAAGCAAAGAAGCTAACAATGATAATTTATAATTCACGTTCAATAATCTTGAATGCCTGTTGCCAAATAGCTAAGAGAACGTTATTTTCCTCTCTTAAATTTACGATATTCAAGACTGCTCTCCGTGTTCTAAAAAGCTCTTGTTTGGCGCCGAGGGTTCGGTACGAAGGACTCGCTACGAGGACGAGCCATAAACAAATCCAGCCGCTCCTGTCCGTGGCCCTTCAGTTAAAATCGGTGCGAGCTGTCGAAAGGACGTGCACAGCGGTCTTTGGTCGGTTTCGAAATATTGAGTGAATCGAGTGGCAATCGGGGGCACTAAGGACCGAAGTTCGTGTGTCTGAACGTGGCCAAAGTCAGAAGGCAAAGGCGCGAAAACACATTTGTGGCTAGTGCGATTTTCATCTTTTTTTGCTCCCAAAACTGAGCCCCCAGCCGTGTGCGGGCAATTAAAGTTCCGGGCGCCCCGCGGACCTGGTGGCCATCGTGAATTGCATGTCGCGGCAACGAGTGCATGTCAGCGTGTGAGCCAGAGCCAGTCGAAGAGGGCTAACAGCGGGTTTCTTTTGGCCAGCTCTCGTTCGCCTAAGTGGAATTATCAGCCAGCAAGACAAACGGCACGTAGCGCCTGGCGAATGAAAACCCCATCAAAGGCAAGTGCAAATACCGTGATGGAGGGGAGTGGCAGGAAATCTAATTAAGGCTAAAATGGCAACCTGTGAAGCCCAGGGAACGGCATTCGGTTGACAAAAACCAAACCCCAACCACAAACCGAAAGGAATTCGCATACATATCAAATTTATGAAAGCCAACTCTCCCACACACGCACCCCAAACTGAACAGGAATGTGTGTACGTGTGTGAGTCCTGGTCAGGGCAGCAATTTATTTATTTGTTTTCTTTACTTATGCAGCAGAAAGGACAGGAGGGCCAGTGAGCCAGACTCTTATAAAAACAAATGTTACACAATGAGGCAGGGCCACTTTAAATTCTTAAAATATTTCCGCTCATTTTATAGGGTTTATGGGAATCTCTTAGTGGAAAAAGAGCAGTTTTATTCTTACTGACTATTAACTTGTTGTCATCTGTTGGATATAAATAGAATTTAATACATGCTTTACAGAAATGCACAAGACTTTAAGGCAATGGAAAACTCAATCGGAAATGTGACAGAAAAACCAAATAAATTATTTATTAATTTATGAATTATTGTTTTGTTTATGGTTTTTATATACTATTTTTGGCTGCCACCCAAACTTGTGTCCACCCAAATTAAAGTCCCAGCTGGAACTTAAACAGGATTTGACCTCTGAACCGGTGCAGAGAGCCCCCTGGGCGGTCATCCAGTGCGTACGTGGGAGTCGGGCGCAAACAATGCACATTCTAATATGCTAAACGGTTGCCATTGTAATCCCGCCCCACGACCGCAACTGAAATTATGGCCAGGCCGCACAAACAAAGCGCGACGGTTAGGAAAACAATGGCTCAGTGCGAATCCGTTGAGCCCGGCTCAGTGGAGCTCCGCTCCGCTCGGCTTGCCTGGGCTGAAGTCGTCATAATTTCAATTAAAATTCAATTGAAATTATATGCAAAAACAAACAATGGTGTAAATTGTGGGGCTTGCCGGCACACCCATAAAAGTCAATTAAATTATGCATTCAGCGATATTTATCAATCCGCCCGCCCTGCACCTACCCCTGCCAGCAAACATCCCAATATATGTGTGTATTTCCCCGTTTTCTGCTCTTTCTTTTTGACCGCTGGCCTTTCGCTTCGATTTCTGTATTGATTGGCCATAGAAAGGTAATTGACATTTCAATAATTCCATAAATAGTTAAGCAACTACCGCCCGCCTAGGGCCAGCCCTGTTTTCTCCGTCTTCCCATTTCCACTGCTTTTATTTTTTCTGCCTTCTATTTTCAATTTAGTTCACGCCACTTGAACGAACTTAAATATTTCTTCACACTTTGCCTTGTCGCCATCGCCTTTTACCGAAAGTTTTCCAATTATATGTCGCCTTTTTTTCGCCAAACAGTTTTTCCGAGCGCGCTTCATATTTGCTTTTCCTCCCCGTTCCATGTCCCGTCCCCCTGTATTTTCCTCTCCGGCCGGAGAAAGTTTTTATCGTCGCGCAGAAAAAATTATGCTGGCATTGCCTTCTCTCATATGATTGGCATCGCGGCGGCCCGAAAGTTTTGCCCTCCGGCAAATGGTTATCATAAGCGAAATCGCTGCACAACCGACGTAGATTTTCCCGTAATGGAAATTTCATCACGAAATGCTTTTCTATGTAGTTTAAATAAATGTCACTTTCCGGAGTCGGATCGAATGCAAATAAGTGTTAATATAGGACAGGCCTAACCTAAACTCAGAAACAAGTCGCGCTAAAATTGTTGAAATTTATAGATTTTTTCTTGACGATATTTGCATTGCAGCAGGATCTGCTTCGGTAACCGTGTATCCGCATCGGAGTATCTGTATCTGTGCCATGTTCCAAGATATGGCATACACGTTATTTCACTTTAGTACATTAGGGCAGACTTCCTTCTGCCGGTGCGCTTAATTTCCGGCGCAGTCAACAATACGAGCCGGGATCCCCGGAGAGGGAGCTAGGTGGCCGGGCATAGGGATTAGGGATTGCTCTGCTCCTCATCCCGCTGCTGGCATTGCTTTCTTGGCAGGTCTTCAAAGGAAGCGGGGACTACAATTATAAGAAAGCTGAGAGAGAGAGAGATGCGACTCCAAGGGTTTTGCTAAAATTAGGGATACTTTTCTAAACTATTTCCCCTATCCTGACCGCATTCACGTGTCCGAACCGACCCTTTTCGCCTTTGTCCAATTAAGGAGCTTAAGTGGTTGGCTCATAATTAGGTTACTCGGCTTACTGCCAGCTTGCCGCAATCTGAATCCTCAAATATGTATACTTTTTCATTTAATTTATTAAAATGCAATTTAATTATTTCAATATTTACGGAACCCCGCAAACATACACATACTCACTCACCCCTCGGGAGAGCCAATCAATTTGGAGTTCATTCGCTTCACATGTAAAATTTATTTTTCTCGTTGCGCAGGCAGGGAGGGCCCTGGCGTATCACTCATACGCACAGGTGCTCGGAGCCTGCAGGTTGATGCCAGGTCCTCTCGGGCACAACATTCGCAGCCAACAAATCTTGCGTATAGCATTTAATTTTTTGACTTCTCTCGCGGCTCACGCGCCAACTTGTGTGGGTGCCCAGGGGGCGGAGGGGTGGCACGTCAGGGGAAGGCGTATCATTTTGGTGGGGAGAGGTACGGAAGCCGATGGATGCCCTTTAAGGGACAGACGTCGGTTTTGGCCGCGTTGAGCTGCGGTTGCCAGACCAACGCCATGGGAATGGGAAAGTACCCGAAGATACGAGGAGGATGTAGCCACAAAGTTGCCTTGGCAATACGAGAAATGCTAGTTGCTGAGGAATGTGTACACTGCGCATAATAATGTATTACTTTTGGGCATTCAAAGGGGGAAAATTAAGAAAATTTCAGTGAAAATAAGTTCGAGCTTTAATTGTTCATTTAATGAAATTAAATCACTTCGTCAGAGGTCAATGTACATTTTCTCTGGACTCTTTAGTTTAGAAATATTATTTCCTGAATTTGAAAGATTTTTCTCCATGTAAGGTCTGTCGGAGGTAGTCTGGCCTAACCGGGCAACTATTTATAGACAGTGCTGATGAGCCTTGGCTTATTCGGAACATGGCACTCCGCTGGGGAAGCCGCAAGCCCTTGGGGAATTCCATTGAATTTGAATTCCGTTTGCTGGTTATTCCTCGAATATTCGCCTTTCAATTTCCATTAGTCTGCCATATTCCACTCGCTTTCGTTTCACTCTGTAAATTGCCTTTCAGTTCGCTTTTGTGAAATATTAAGTACTTTTTCATTTCCTTTTCCGCCGAAAGTCCCTCTGCCTTCGTTTTTGGCTTTGCTGCGGCTCGATTTCTGTTTGTGGCGTCGCGAGAAACAAAAACAAAATTTGTTTGCCATAAAAAATTGTCGCAAGTTACGCGGCTGGGTGACAAAATGTGGAAGCCCGTCGTCCTCCCCCCTCAGATATTCCCTTTCCCCTCCGTCGGCCTCTCTGCCCGCACAATTACGGCACGCCGTGGCTTTCCACTTATTTTCCACGCCGAGCTGCTTTGTGTTTCGCCGGGCGCTTGTATTTTTGTTTGGCTTTCCTTTCTCACCGTTTTCCTTGCTGTACTGTGCTCATTTATTTTTTATGTGTCTTGCACCTGAAACGACACACATTGAGTGCGGAACGCGGAAGGGGGGGACTCGGGATCAGGGGTAGCCGGGTCTCTGGCATTAAAAATTTAAGTTTTATGTCAATGAATGTCCTCCGTTCCGGCCTTTGTTTGCTGCATCGACTTCCTTTATGAGCATTTTTCACGGTGTTTTCCCTGCGCTGTTGATTTAATTTTTGGGCCCAGCCTGCTGACTCGAAAAGTTTAAGTCGAAATTAACATGGGACAAATGCTTGCAAAAAAAAAAAAAATAATGGCCATCATCAAACGTGTCTTCGTGCCGGCTTAGGCAAATGATAATTTATTTATAATAGTTGGGCCTCCGCATGAGGTCTGAGGTCGAAGAACATAAAAAGAGGAAACCATAAACACTTTTTAGTTGGTTCCATTCCATCTTTTTGTGTGCGCTCATAAACTCATTTTATTCCCAGCACGTGATATTTGTCCGCATATGCGAAACTTTATTAGTTGAGCACTCAATGAAAAGGCCATCAAAGAAAACACTCGTCAGGGACCGGCTCTGGCTCTGACTCCTACATTCCCTCCAGCGGTGCGGGCGAATAAAATTTACAACATCGGCAAACATTTCCCCAATGAATTTGCATTGTCAATCATGCGCCGCTTGTTTATTCCCTTATTTGCTGTTATTTTTTGGCAGTTGGCAGCTGCATTTTATGAAATGTTTTTACGACTCACTTTCGTTAGATCGGAACGAATCTAGCAGGAAGCTGGGCAAGAACAAAAAATAAATGTTGCCCATCAATTGTCATCGATATCCTGGTCTCTAATCTGTCAAGCGGCATGGGACTTTCCAAGAGTCGCTGTGTGTGATTTCTGTGTTGCCACAGCAAAGCCACATGAATTTATGGCAGGAGATGGAATTTAATATATTTTCAAAAGGAAAGCCAGACAGCTCCGGAAGTGTCGTGGGAGCAGAGCTTCGCTTGATTTACTCTCTGCCCTGATTGCCATTTAGTGGATCTGTGCGGAGAGCATCTGAAAACACCTCATTAATGTCCCCGAGAGCCAAAACCTCTCTGAGGTTTCCCTTTAATTCCAGCCCGACCACTTTGTTCAGAGCTAATTAACTGCCGGGCCCCACTTATCCGCACTGAATTTGGCCCCGAGCGCTAATGCAAAATGTATTTTAAATTGGATTAAGTGCCAAACATTTTGACTTTGTGCCAACAATAATTTAGCCTGTTGAATTTTAATGCGATTTTTGGTAATGTAACTTTTGCCGTCCACCCTAAACCAACACACACCTGACCAGGCCACCTGTCCGCGCACCCCAGCATATATGAATGTACATGAACGCGTGTGTGTGTAGTGATAAGTGCGACCCATGTGTCAAATGAAAAATCAATAGCATTACAGACACAATGCACATATGGGCACAAACACGTGTACCGAGATGTAAATAGCTGGTTGACATTCTGACAACGACAAACCGTTCGGGGCCGGGCCCTTCAGCTGCGACCCCCGACATTATTAGGTCACTTGTGGCACTATGTGTGTGTGTACATGTGCAGGGGGAAACGAAAATGGAAATCTGGTCGGAGGAACAAATTTAATTTGCCAGGCCATCGCCGTTTGGAAATTATAATAATTGCTAAAATAATCGATTTGGGCCATGGCATTGGCTAATGCATATTAAATTACCATAATACAAATGATATCCCGGCTGCTCACGGATACACACTGCACACTACCTACCCACTAGGTTCCCTCTCCCTCCACCTCCACCTCCACCGAAAACATACCCTCAACAGACCCTACAAAGTTGTGTCAACAATGTGAAAGATAAACAATACCAGCTTGCACGTGTGTGAGTGTGCCAGGATACACACAGGCCAACACAGACACACAGGCACACGGCAAGGACTGAGGAAAAACTTGCGACTCAGCTCTGCGTTTGTTGTTGTTTCGGGTTTTGTTTCACAATAATAAAGTGCGGCTGCAGCTTTAATAACTTCTGCAGTCAACAAGAGCACCAACAATAACAACACAGTCGCTCCGATAGAGACAAAAATACAAAGGATCTGCAGGACGAAAAAGAGCTAGGGCGGGGGTGGGAAAACACACAGAAACTGCAGAGCTGCATGGCGAAAGTTCAGCAGAGGATGGAGCTGCATTCTAATATGATGGGACCGCAACTAGGAAAGTTGCCAACCCAGTGGCAGCGTTGGTTGACGAGCGGTTAAGGGGGGTCCCGAAGCAGCTTCCGGGACCAAAGGGGGCCAGGGGAGGTAGCCGCACACAATGCCAGGAGACGAATTACATTTGTCGCGCGATGTTTGCACATATTTAAGCAACTTAAGAATTAGCCAACTTAGCTGGAAAATGCAGCGTAAAAATGCTGGCAGCCAGCAGTTCATTCGCTCGTTCCTTCACTCCGAGAAAAGCAATGCTCGGGGGCTTACTAAAGAAAGATAATACATAAAAGTATAAAAGCATCAGAATTTCCTTAGACTTTAAGCTGGAGCATTTTATTATATTATAGTGCACAAGAGCTCTTAGTTTTTACCAAGTCTTCAAGGTTATTTTATTTTTATTTTTTAAGTTTTCCTTTAATATTATAAAAACATATACGAAATTAGCTAGTGTACTTTTCTAATTATTTATTCTTTAAAATTATTAAGCAAGAAATGGTTTATTTAACCTAATTTCAACCCGATCCTCCACAAAACCTCAAGTCTCCCTAAGATATTTTTCAATCCCTTGGAATAGGAACTTTTTTGGCTGTGCCATCCATTCGGGATAACTCTCGAGCAACCCAATTTGAGTTGCCCGCGCTTTGCAATGCAAAATGGCGGCGCTCCGAAAGTTTTTGCTGCATAATCGCAGGCGCAGCACTTTGGGCTAAGCTAAGGAGGAGGACCAGCAGGAGTAGTGGCAGGAGCAGGAGCGGCAGAAAGAAAGACAGAGAAGGAGAGCAAACAAACTTTGCTGGCACTGCGCATAATGAAGCAACGCAACAGACAAATCCATCTCCGAGTGTGAACAAAAAGTCCGGGCCGGAATACGGGTCCGGGGTCCGGGGTCCGGGGTCCGGGCAAAGTTTCTGTTCTGTTGCCAAATGCGAAAAGAATAAGACGCGACGAGCGTCACAGTTTACTTGGCATTTACATTTCCGCTCTGCCGGCTGCCACCCGAAAGTTGTTTTCCTTCCATCTTTTTTATGATTATTTCAGCTTCATTTTTCATTAAGAGCCTGGCAGCGCCAAATGTTTGGCCCGGCCCGAGAATCCAAGGATATCAGACCGCAGGACGAACTGCTGGCCCCTTGATTTATGCGCATTTCATGAGCACTTCGACGGCTGAGGGCCCCGGCACGTGTCCTTGAGCATTGTTTTTTGCTAGACAAATGTCCATTAGCTGAGTGGGAATGTGAGGCCGGGAATACGCCTGCCGTTTTTATTTCTTGCGCCGCAGGAAAAAATCCCTGGGCAGGGCATCAGCGGGTCGCCTTCCTGTGAATTTTTCTAATACATTTTGTTGTGTGTTCTTAGAAAGTTTTTTATGGATTTTGATTCAGCTCTGATTTGCTCAAAGGCAAAAGCATTTCCATATGAATTCTTAATTTCGTTCGATTTTGTAATGCTTTGCGGCAGCGGCACACACGACCTGACCTATGACCTCAGCTGCGGCAGTTGCCACAACAGCTGTCAACGCCCACGCCCACGCAACGCCCACGCATTAGCCTACGTCCTTCGTTCATCGTCCTTCGATTTGTAAGGTTTATTTATAAGTTTCGGCACTGGCCAAATCTATTTCCACTCGAACATCTGACGCGAGGAAAGTGTGGCTTGGCTCCTGTGGCAAATATAAATGACAGCCTAATGCTGATGGGAGTGTTATGTAATGAGTCCTCATTTCCATTTCCACTTCTAGTTCCACATTCACTAGCATTTCCATTTCCATTCTCATTCCGAGTGCCAACCAGGAAACAATGAGCACAATCAATAAGTTGTCTCTGCATTCCGGTCACCGAAATCATTTGCTGATGACCAAATTGAGGTTACTGTCATTTGAGAAAAGAGAAACGGATAGCGAAACAATGTCATTTGATTGAGAATTATTCTCGGGCTGCCTTGAAGAGGGAAATGTTTTGCTAGTGCTCTGACCCGGAGAGAAATGGAAATGATGAACTCGGCCAACCTCCCGTTGAGCCAGAGTGCAAAACAAATTGAAAAGCGAACTGTATTTGGGGGCGGGTTGAATGTGAAAAATGGCACAAGCTGGCCAGTATATCAGAGAACCCCTCCCCCGGACCTGAGTCGAACGATTAGGATAACTTTACCTTAGCCAGGCAGGCCATCAAACTTTATTAAAACCCATTTATTTTGCTCTTCTTTGCAGGCTGCAAGAGCGGGACAAAGCCGAGTTTAATGAGCTGGCTGCAGCGGGAACACATGAGACTGTCGGAGCACTTGTCCTTGGCCACAGGATCGAGCCAACTATTAATGGCAACAGGCTGGAAGTTTATGCGAAAAGTTTCCCAAAGTAATACGCAGAGAAAACACAAACCGAGCTAAGTCCCATCAGGCAACAATAAGCGGCAAGGCAACGCAAGGAAAGGAAAGCCAAGCCCTGCCAAGGGAGCCTGGGAAAAACGCTTAAATCAGCACAAGAAGCCAACAGAGTCAGAAAAGTTTTCCCAGCCAGCGGATTTCCAGATTTCCATTCGCCGCACACCGGCATCGTCATCACCATTGCCATCTCTGTTATTGTTTCGCCAAGGATTACATATTATGCGATAAACATGAAATACACAAACGATACACGACTCATTGTGTTCATTTGCTGCCTGCTGCAAGGTGAGTGCAAAGTATTCAATGTCGTTCGATGGGTGGCTGTGGGCGGACGGGCCTTTACCGAGCATTTCCAGTTCAATGCCTGCGCGTGTCGACACCTTGCCAGTCAATAAAAAGCAAATTGTAACTGCTCGACAAAGTCACTTGTGGCGTTTTAACACCCAAACGCACATACCGCAGTCGCATATGTAACTCTCTGTGCGTGTCGGCAGCCCAAAAAAAGGGCATAACCGCCCACTAATCCCCGACATACATTCCGCCATTCAACCAGCCGCCATGCCATTCCCAGGATCCCCTGCCACGACCCGCTCGTTTCACTTATTTCAGTTATTTTTCTTGTGTGCCGCATGCGGAGCGCATACAAATGAGTGAGGAACGACCCAAGGTTGCGCCACTTGGCCGGGCAATTTTCGCTTTATTTTAAATAAAACATGATAATTTTTTTAATAGAATTTCCCGTAGCTTAATGTGCGGCTCCAACTCAGGCCCCGCAGCAGCTCCCCATCCTTCCTCGCTCCTCCGCTGAGTGAGCTGTCAATTTACGTGTGCATGTGTATGTGCCGAAGTTGGCTCAATTTCCATTCGCTTACGCATCTGTCAAGTGCAGCCAGAACGTGACTTGACAGACGCAGGCAGCTCTCCGCCGCTCCACCTGCCGGCTGCATTTTCGCCCCAGTTCTCGGGGGAAATCACTCACACGTATTATACGGTAGTGACGCAAGACCACGGAACGCGAGAGGGTGTGCATAAATTCCATTTCATTTTACAAATATGTAATCGCGCCCAAACCCAAAGTGCAGTGCGCACATCGATTTCCGAAGGGCAAACTCCCGACGATTCCAGCCACTTTCTCGCGAATCGCGCAGCTGCAACAATGGAGAAGAACTTTGGCAAATTGTTTGTGGAACGTGAGCTCCGCCTCATACTTGGTGGATTCCGTGTAATTCTTTCAACTTTAAGTGGCTACAAATGAGTCCTGGCCATGTGATCAAACATTGCGCATACACCGTGCGGCGCGACAGTTTACATGCTGCGCCAGGGCTTTACGTCTTTGTCCGGGCATGGCCATTGTTATTCTTATTTTCAATTACACGCCAGCTCAGCAACCCGCTTTTCCATTTCCCCGGCTTTCCTTTCCCCCTTCCCACTCCCTGTTGGCTCATCACCTGCGGTTATTTTGATTTTAATTTGCTCGTTTCTCGCTCGTCAGCTGCTGTTGCTGTCGCTGTCGGTGTTCTCTTGCTGTTCTCTATTTTATTCATAAATGTTGTGTTGCCAGTCTCGCCATTACACACTCTCTGCCTCAGTGCGAGTGTAAGTGTGTGTGTGTGTTAGTTTGCCTTGTCAGTGTCGCTTAGAGTTGAGTTGCCATTTTGCCTCCGAGTGTCTGTATGTCTGCGTGTGTGTGCGAGGATTTGCGCCAGATTTGTGTCAACTTGAATACATCAGAAGCGCTTGAACAGATTTGCATGTTGTTTCTGCCTTTTTTACCCTTGTTGTGGTGCCTGCAAACAAAAATAACAACGAAAGCAACAAGAACAAAATGCACACGCAATCGCGCAGCGCCAACGGGGCGTATGAGTACTTTCGCCTTCTCTGCCATTTAAAACTGTTGCATACTTTTTTGCGCCGCCGCTGCCGCTACCCAAGCATTGTTCTTGTTTGCCAGCAGCAAGGATAGCCTTTGTTGCCGCTCGGTTACTGCACAAACTCAGCTAAAACTATCCCAAAGGCTTTTTCATTACAATTTCGTCTAGGTCCTTTTTTTCCGCCTCCACATCCTTCTCAGTTTGCATTTTGTTTTCGCCGCTGCCGCTGTGTTTTTTTAAATATAATTGTTTGCGTATTTAGAACAAGGCCACACCACCAATTCGAGGCTGCAGTAATTGTTTTTTAAACGCATTTAATAAACAACATTAAGCGGAGTTTAAGCTGTCAATGCCGCAATAAATATTCATCAGGCACGAGGCCCGAGTCGGGGAGGAGCAAAAAAAGTGCGAGCGAAAAACGAACGTCGGACTTTTTAATGAAGTCTAGACGCCGCAAATAAGAAATGCGGCCTTAATGAGCTGCCGCCTTTCCAACTTGGTCTTCGGTTCACTATCAATGGCAGCCGCCCGTCCCTGTTGTTGTGTCTTCCAGTTTTTTGACACTTTTCGGTAACATTTCCGCGGGACAGCCTATCGCATTGTCTGCCAGGTCTCGGGTTCGGGCCAACATTTAGGGCGCAGAATGATTTAGCAGATAGCAAAGTTTGTTCTACAGTCGCCAGCCAGCCTCCAGCTCCCTGAGCGGGCCGCATAATTGCTGTGAAGGCGCAAACTCATTAGTGGTATAAAGTTAGGGGCCGTTCAACCGATCCGAGTTTCCCCATCATTGATACCAACTAAGCTGCTACAACCGATTTTTGTTGCCGACTTTATCTCCTAATGGCGGCCTTCATTATGCGCTATTTGGCAACGCACAGTGGGTCAGTTTACCTTGTGCCACCCGCCCTTTCCGCTTTTCGCTTTTCCCTTCTCTCGCCCTTCCGGAGCTGCCAGCTCCTTCTTTGTTTGCCTTTCCACTTTTCTGTCCCTCGGCCCTGCTCGGTTCGCTTCATTTCGCTTCTTTTCGTTTTGTTTCGCCTCCTCCCGTCCTGTTTGCCAATTTTATCGAATTATGCTAAACACCAGAGAAGTCGGGGGCTGTCGGATCCGGAGGACTTACTTAACCTGCAGGTGAGCTGAGAGGCAGCTCCAAGCCGGCAACGAGGTGCGGGGTTGCCCTGTTTAAATATGCGTTAATGAACGAAATTATCATGCATACTGAATGATATTCCCTCCTGCTGCTTATGCATATTCAATTTACATCAAGTGCGCCGCGTTGCTTTGCGGATACTTTACATACTAATTTAAATATGAAACTTTATTTTAGCAACTTTGAAAGGAGCGCGGAGCCATAGTCAAGTGGTGCTGCTAGTTTTCAGGCGCTTCGGGGCGAACTGATAGGCAGACGTTTAAAAGTTTTACTCTTTGGGCGAACGCCTTCGTTGTCTTTACCCCAGGGCATACTGGTATTCCCCACATAAATGTTAATTATAATTGAAATTATGGGTGAGGGTTCTTATAATATAGACAAACAAAATATACTCTTTAATAAATATACTTAAATTGGTTACATTTTATGTATCAGAACAGATTAATTAAGACACAATACTATGTACTTCTTTGGATCGACTTTTTATTACAATTAAAATAATTAAGGAAATGTCCATGAGTTTATTTTAAGTTGACACATATTAGAATTTAATAATTACAAATATGTACCTCATTGCTTTGAGCTTCCAAAATTCATTCAAAAGCTTATATTTCCTTCCCTAAAAGGACAGGCCACTTCCCCTCGTAAGGATGCATTTAGACAATGTTGAGATACTTGGCTGCCGGCATGTTTACAACTTGTATGTGTGTTTTTCCACAAATTCATTGAAATGGAATCCCATTCCGGGGCAAGTCAACTTGTAATTTAATTTGGGCTCTGAATGTAAGCTTTCGTCGCTCCGCTCCGCTCGACTTGGCTCTGCTGTTATCAATGCAGGAGGGGTGGCTTGTACGTTTCACTCACTGGGCAAAAATTCTTTGAAAGCACACCCCTTCTGCCCGTCCGCCCGCACCCCTGTTGCAGGCAATTTTAATCAGCTCTCATGCAACTTTCACCCATTGTGCGCGCTGCCATCCCTGCCATCCTTTTCGATCCTGACAGACTGGTTTTCGGCTTTTGGGGCTGTGTGTGTGCTGCTGCTCTGACGGGACTTTGCTGTTTTATAATTAACATTAAGACACTTTGTAGCGTTGCCCAAATGACATGTGTTGGCTGCTGTTCCCGTACCGGGCCGGGCCGGGCCGCTTTTTCTTGACTTGGCTCGCAGCGCACCGCATCTGCAGTCGGCGCCTGTTTGGCCTTTGTTTTGGTTCCAGGCAGCTTAATTTCATTAAGCCTATTTCCCGACTGACATCAGCAGGTGGGCGTGGCGGACGCACCCCGACTCGTCCATCAAAGTCGCTGTCATAAAAATTGGCCAATTAAACAACGTGTGCCGCCATTAAAGCCCACGCCAAGGACTCCACATTCCGCGCTAATTAATGCCCAAATGTAATTAGTTGAAGTTGGCAAGGCAGTACATTTCAATGCAAAATTCTGGCACTGACTCGTTTATATTTCGGCGATGGAAGTGAACGCAATCTAATTCATTCCCTAATTAAATACAGCTCAGAAAATCATAATTGCTTACTGCACTCTCGAATGTCAAGTATACGCCATCGGAACCGCATCCACAGCCGCATGCCAGAGTCCCGCCAATTCAATCGTTCGACATTAGCTTCAATCGGTTTTCCCGGCCCCTGAGAGCCGGAAAAGTTGTGCAGCTGCAATGGAAAAGTTTTGTTCGCAAAGTCCCAGATCAGAGACTGACAATCTGTTTAATCCCATTCAATTGCTGACGTCTTCAAGCGGCCGGCAAAGTTTTCCAGCTGCCAATGGCAGTGCCAATGGCCAATTAGCCGACCTCCCTGCTCCTAATGGCCGGACATTTCAGCTCGGATATTCAAATATTTATGACGGCTGTGAGTCTAATTTAACGCTGGCTGAGCAGCTTCGCCCAAATAAACCGCAAAACGCCGCATTTGTTCGGGGCCAAGTGACAGCCAGGATGTGGATAAACGGCCAATATCCTGTGCTGTGGCCCCTGTCCTTGGGCCGCCACTCCATAATTTGCGGCCTTCGCTCGGCGGCGTTGTAATTTTACAAAGGATTAAGCCCGATTACGCACTCATTTATTAATATTTACGAACCGCCCCGACACAAGATAACAGATAGCCTGCGTTCAGGACGACGGCCTGGCCATTCCACCTGCCGCAATTTGCCCTGCTCCTTCGCCAGCATATTTCAGAATTGCGTCTCATAAATAAGCAATTGACGATCAAACCGTGGGTTCCTTTTAATTAAAACAATAATTGTTTGCCCAGGCCCGCGACAGGACAGGACAATAGAGGCGGGACGGAGTAGTGGCCTAGTCCAGAGGACAAATCAATTATGCAAATACTTGCTCAGCGCTGCCTGGAAGGCGGGAAATTTGCGCCATCATCGGCAACAAAAAGTTGACTCTTCCTGACTGCCCCGGAAAGTGCGGAAAATATTTTAATTTTCCTCCGGCCTTGCTACGACCGTCGTAATCCTTGGCGAATGCCCAGCGGGCCAGCAGAATCCTCTCCTCCCAGCGTTATAGCCTCGCATTCAACGCCCTTTTCTTATGCAAATATGCGCTCTATATCCCCGGGTGCCTTGTCAGTTTATTGATTTCCGAGATGCGCTGATTTCAATATATTTGTCCATATTTTGGCACACGGAAAAATGTCTATATCAAGAAAAAAATTATTTAAGGTCCGTGAAAAACTGATTTTTCTCAGGGTTAAGGCTATGAGTGGTTTTGGCATTTTCAAACTAAAATTTCTAAAAGCCAAATTTCATCCTTGCAGGTGTCGCCGTGGGCCTGCGCATGATCAAGGTCTCCATTCCGGCCTACAAGCTGCGCGGGGAGTCCGCCTTCCTCGAGTGCCAGTACGAGCTTAACCGGACGCACCACACCGTTACGGGCCTGCAGAGCCACTCGGACCACGACAGGGACCGGGACCATGGCCACGGGCACTCTACCCACGGAGGCAACAACGGTGGTGGGGACTTCCACTATCCCGACGGCGAGGCGCTGGATGAGGAGCGCTCGCCATATCGCTCACGGATGCGCCAGAACCAACGGCAGCACGGCCAGCGACAGAGGCAGCGAGAGCCCATTGCCATGCGACAATACCAGAGCAACCACCAGCAGCTGCCGGCTCCACCGGAAAAGTCACCCTACGGCCACAGCGTCTACCGGGGCAGTGCCGCCTCTGGCTATCTCGGCGCCCAGGTAGGTGCCAGCACCCACAGTGGCTCCATGTCGGTGAGCTCTTCGAACAACGGCGGCCCGGCCCTTTACATGCCCGAGTTCGATCGGGCGGACAGCTTGGACGACAGTGTCGATCGGGAGGACAACGAAGAGGAAGAGGAGGAGGAGCCGGCTGAGGAGGGAGAGGCTCTGTACGCAATCAAGTGGTACAAGGACAACGAGGAGTTCTACCGCTACGTGCCAAAGGCCCGGCCACCCAAGACCAGTTACCGGGTGGATGGAGTGCGTGTCATAGTAAGTGTATCTTTTGGATACTTGCAATCCCTACTGTAAAGCCTTTTAATTCTTATACAAAATCTATCCTGACTTTTATTAATTCTGGTAATCTTCGACATCCCTTTTCAGGAGGAGCTCTCCGATGCCAGCCGCGTGCTGCTACGCGGACTAACCCTGAACTCCACCGGACTGTACCGCTGCGAGGTGTCCGCCGAGGCGCCCAACTTCTCCTCCGTGCAGGGCGAGGGTCGCATGGACATTGTGTGTAAGTACCTAGCTCCAATCAATTCACAGTCACGTTTCTGATTTGCCTGAACTAGGGTCCATGTTTTTATTATATTTGCGGCACCCCGCAAGCAGCACAGAAACGAGCAAATGTTTGCCCAAAAAATTTCACATCAATTACAGGCAAATATTGAAAGTGCAAATACGGGAGGAGCGTAGGGCGGGCGGGGGCGGACTTTAAATCCGCTTCCCTCTGGTTTATTATCGGCATCGCAGTGCCGGAGCTTGTTTGCTTATTTGCTCGTCAGCACTCCGATACAGACGGAACCCAAATGTGAATACTATTCATGATTCGTACACAAACTTTCGATTCAATCTGCTGGTGTCCTTGCTGAGCAAGGAATTTCAATAAGCGGCAAAGGAATTACTGACTTTCAATAAACGCTAGTGTGGAAATTGGTCCTGACTGACGATGGACATAGTTTAAATAAGTAAAACAAATGCGATGCCGATGAGGGAAATTCAAATTAAAGTCTGTCATTCATATTGATGGAAATCTCCTTTTACGACCTGGAATGTTAACTGGGACCCTGAAAATCAGCTTCCCCATAAAAGCGTCCCAGCTTTGACCTTCAATAGGGCCCAGGCTCCTTTATTATTCTATTATTTTTGGTAAAAGCTTTAGCTGTTTTAAATTGAATATTTAAAAGCGTTTCCGTTGTTCTGTTTACCATTTCTGCGGTTTGCTTTCCCTGCCGCCGCCCACACACTATATATATATATATATATGTATATATATGTACATTCTGAATCGGATCGAGAGTTCATTTCTGCAGCTTCTGTCCGGCTTTCGCTTTGGTCGCCTAATGCGACTGGCTTGTTGTTGTTTGTTTTGGGTTTCTTTATCGGCGCGAGCGAGCGGAAATGCTTTTAAAAAGTCATTCATAAGCTTTAGTTTCATAACAGCATATTCCTGTAATCCCAGCCGGGTCTCTGCATTTTTTAACGCTTTACACACGCGCTAAACCCGGCTGGCTGGCCTCGCCCCCGCCGCTTCTGCCGTGTTTTACTATTTTTATTTACTTAAACCAAATGGCCAGCGGCAAAGGGAATATATAAAAAGACCTGGTGGAGCGGAGCATGGCGGAGGGTGCGGGGGCCACGCCAGCGATTTATAAGTTAAAATGCCATTTTAATGGATATTTCCGCAGTCTGGCCGCTTACAACATATTTTGTGTAGCGAGTCCTGCCCCTGCAACTGCAGTTGTTGCTGCTGTTGGTTTATCTGTGTGTTTTATGCTCTACTTGGACAGCGGAAAAATATTTATTTGTATATCCCATTGAAATCGTCTGTGCGAAAGGGGGAAGTCCACCAAAATGGGGTGTTTGTGAGTGTGCGTGTGGTGTGTGCCTGGTAAATATTTGCCCGGCAAAGCAGTAGAAAAAATTGTTAATAAATTACACGACCAAAGGGCAAACCAAGAGCGAAGCCGCAGCAAATATTTATTGGAGACTGGTTGCGGGCAAGAATTTGGGGGAACGAACAGGATTCAATGCTGGGGAAGATAACATCGCAACGTATAATATCGGGCATTAATCCACTTGGATTCATGCTAATCTTGTTCCCATAATTGATGTAACCTATATACCTCCTCTCTTTCAGTTCTGCCCCGCGACGGGCCGCACATCAGGGGACAGCAGTATCAGTATCAGATCGGCGAATACTTGTACTTAAACTGCACGTCGGGCAAGTCGCATCCAGCCTCGCATCTTCAGTGGTTTGTCAACGAGCAGCCGGTGAGTTTGTTAACACGGAATTTAGTTTAGATATTCTACACATAGAGAAACTAAGGAGGTACGAGGAGAAACTATACTTTTTTGAAAACGGTAGAGGTTGCAGATTAACTTTTCTAGCATTTTAAATAAAGGAAGAGTTAATATAAAACATAAAGTTTAAGCTAGATTTTATCGGTATACCAGCCAATCCCTCTTTCGCAAATAAAATGTTACAACATTCACTCTTTTTTTGTGTGGGGTCCACACCTAAACGCTCCTTCGCCTCCGCCCCGCGCTAATCAAGAGCCCGCAGGAGGAACAGCAGGAAAAAATGTAGAAATTATGCATACAGTAAATATTTAAGCCTCTAACAACGCGGCAGACAACAGAGCCCCAGGGGGATGGGCTGGGATCGGACTGGGATCGAGGGCCGATGGACCCAGCTGGCCGAGCGAGTGGTTTAGCTTGTTGAAATAATTTCATGAACAAAAATCATGTAGACGGGCAAGCTTCGAATACATTTTTCGGCTTTTCTTCAGCTGCAGCGACGGTCGGGCTCTCGTTTTTGGCTTTGGCATGTTTTATGGCCCGATGTCGGGGGCTCAGGCTGGGCCAGGTGTGGGTGTGGAGTAGGTTTCGGTGGGGACGGGACCGAAACTGAAACCGAAACTGGGACTGGGCCATCCATCTGGCCGAAAGCTCGTTACATGTCTGCCATGGCCGGAACACCAGAATCGAGAGGTGGCCAGCGGGTTGGGGTGGGACCACTGCATTTTATCGTCGGCGCTGACTACATGGCACTCAAATTGTGTGAATCGAGGCGTTAAGGTACGAGTTAGTTCATTGTACCATGCTGACTTCCCCTCGTCCAACGCTGGAGGGGATCGGGATGCGGAAACAGACGGAGTTGGAGTTGGGACGAGGAAGTGGACGGGTGCGGGTGCGGGTGTGGGACCTTCGTGCCCCTTGTTCGCTTTGTATAAATACGAGAAAAATCAATAGGTGCGATTAGGCACGATTCCCGGTTTATTTGCCTTCCAACAATGGCATGGCAGATGGCAACATCCCTCATCACCCTTCCTGAATAATGAAGCGGCGGCGCTCTCGGTTACATCCCTCAAATATATTGGGGTAGCCTGGAGAGCATAAAGTTGTTGAACGTTTATTTAATAACATTTGTCTTGCCCACTGGCCGTTGGTACAACATGTCGTATGCTTGTTCTCCCGCCAGGCATTCGCGCAATTTACAATAAAAGTGTCCATCAGCAGGGGCCAAATATTCCAGCGATTCCACGAAAAAAGCCAAACTTATAATACAACCGCCCCGGCCAGCCCGCAAAATGCGTAGAAATAAATTTTGGCAGCGTCTTCGGGGAAAGTTTCCTGGAATGCGACGGGCATTCTAAGTGCCCTCATTTTATTGCCTGTTTTCCTTATTTCCTCCTTATTTTTATTTTTTGGGCTGGACAGGACAGCTGACGGCATTGCCAGCATGTTTGTTGTGTCAGCAGAGAGTGGGACTCGGTCGCAGTTTTAATTTATGCCTTTAAAGTTTAAACCGAAGCACAAAGGCTGGCACGGGCCAACCAATCGCCTAACAAATGGCAACAATTTCGCTGGCAAAGTGCTAACCCCCTCTTCCCCTCCCCACCGACCCTGCGAGGACAGACCGAATTCGAATTCCCATTCCGATTACCCTCGCAGAACCCAATTTCGAAGCAAATCGAAAAAAAAGCAGCAGGGAAAAAGTTCAAGTTATTTATTTGAGCGTTTCACATTTTTTATCAGGTCTGCACATTTTTCTTATTTATGGCAAATGATTTTATTTCTTTGCGAGCCAGTTGTAAGTATGAGCATCCCTCCCGTTTCGGGATCCCTCTCCTATGCTCACCCTCCATCTTCGCCCCTCGTGATGGCGGTGCACTCTGCTGACAGCGACAAACAATGAAAGGGAGGAATTATCAAGCTCTTGTAATTGTAACCTTCAGCTCAGACTCCGGATGCGACTGCTACTCCAACTCCGATTCCCACTTGGAACACAAAGGCATCCCCCTTAAGCATTTGCCAGACATGTACCAGACACGCCCATTGCCGGTCCCGTTTCTGTTTCCGTTCAGTTGCTCATACGACGCGTGTGCCAACCCCTAGAACTTGATGGAACTAAACTCCTGATGCAGGCTTTTAATTCCGCTGGTACACTGTGCAAACGAATCTAGCTTAAATGTCAATAAAATTGCATTATAATAATCAATTTTTAACTCCTCTATTGGCATTTCAATTTCGATTTAACTTTTAAATGCATATTAATTTATTGACAAAAATAAACAACCGCTTAGAAATTAGATTAGATTTAGTAGAAAACAGATTAGAAGCAACCGCGTTTAAATTAATATTTTGAACACTTAAATTCCACTCACTTTTAAATAGTGACCCCATTCTGGCTCACAAAATTAATGATTTTCAGCCAGATTTAAATCAGTTTTAAATTATCGCTTTTGCATTTAAATTCTTAGATAGACAAAACACTCCAATTTATAGAGGATGCTAGGGTGTTTTTTTGGTAAGTGCATCAGTTAAGCGGTCCCTTGTTCTTTCCGTTGCAGATCCTCGACGAGCACTACCTGCACAAGTACAACGACATCGTGCACAAACACGGGCTAATCACCTCGACGCTGGGCCTGCAGCTGCCGCTGGAGCCTCGCCACTTCCACGAGGGCGACATGCGCGTCAAGTGCCTGGCCAGCATATCGCCGGTCCTGTGGAAGGGCGGCAAGGAGAGCGTCCTGCAGCGGCGGCCGGGGATCATCGACAACCGCGAGGCCATGCTGCTGGGTGAGTGACCTCTGAAACGTTGTGGTCTCCGACCCTTAATAATTCAGCTTTCCCGCCCCTTTGCCACTTAATCCTTGCAGTGAAAGGCGCAGCCGGGCACTCGCAGAGCAGCTTGCTCCGCTCCCTGACCATTGCCATCATCCTGGCCAGGACCGGACAGTGGCTGCTCGGCTCGGAGCTGACCTAAGCGGGCTCCTGGAGATGGCCAGAATTCTGCTCGACTCGTTTCAATTAACAAACATTCATTTCAATTCAATTCAATTGCAATTGCAGAGCATAAATGGTGATTTTGTATACTTTAAGTGTAATATCCTTAGTTGGTAAGCGAGGACGAGAATTGAAATACATACAAACGGGGTAAATGTGTTATAGCATGTAAAAATCACAAGCAACGCGAGCAGAAACGAGTTAAATAGTATTAAAGGATGGGCAGTTCGTCTCGCCAGAGACCCAGAGAATTCAATTAGCAAAATTGTTAAGTAACTAAATTCCAATCCCATATATACGACATATCCCCGCCCATCGTCCCCCCTAGAAGCCCAGCTGAGGGTTCGTTGTGCGTAATTTCTGTGTAAATACTTCAATGGAAGCGACAAAGTCTAGGGCAAACTTTGGACTTTTGTCAAATACGTCTGAGTGGCATCAATTTCGAATGGGAGCCGGCAACTTTGCCATAACAGATGCTTAAACTACATAATTGCTGAGAGCAAAGAATAAAACAAAAAATCGGAAACGTAAGCTGGAAAATTTTCAGTGCCCCCTCTTCAGTTACATCTCTGGCAAGTATTTGCTTCCTGACTCCCAAAAGTATTTTCCATTGTTTTTAGTTTTGTAAATTGAGTCTGGAAAAGGGAGAGGGAGCTCGAAATTAAATTAGATTGTTGACGGATCAATTACTGATAACTCTCCAGCTAAAATCGATCTTAAGCTAGAACCCCCTAGAGGAAATTTCGGTTAGGGCGCACCCTAGTTGTAAGACCTGTATAAAAGAGAACCTGGATATGTGTCATATCTGTAGACGTAAGAACTTTGTTTAACTAGAACTCTAAGCTAGCGGTCTAAGTTGTAGCCGAACTGTCTCCCCAGAAGAACCCCTAATTGTGTGTAGCATTACCTGAAGGATAATGTACGGAGGACATAACTACTATATAGGGCGATATGTATATGTAACAATAAACGAGTACGACAAGACCCTTTTTCCCCAGAGTGTTTAAACAAATATAAATGTGAAAGCAAACAGTGTTGTCTTCTTCTTTTCCGCGCACACAGATACACGGGCAGAGATACGCAACCGGATACGGAAACGTTATCTGCAGCCAGACACACGCAAACACACACACACACACCGTACAGCAGACATTAACACCTGAAGGACCAAAGTTACTCCGGCTTCCCCGCTTGCAGAGGTGTTAAAATCGTGGTGGCCCCTTGCAGCGCCAACAAAGGAGATACAAAAAATAACGCACACATATATAGAACATAAAAGCGGCAAAGTTAAAATAACACGTACAAATTTTGTATGCAAACAAACCGCAGCACACATACTTACACCGCCCATGCCGGCTACCACACACACACACACCCACGCGTTCACACAGGCACGCACGAAATGGCGGCGAATGAAAAAATTGCGTGCAGCCTTTTAGGCGCTGGCGGCTAACGCAACTCTGCTCGCTTTTATATGCCATTGTAGCCGGCTCCTGCTGCCGCCGCCGCCGCTCTTCTTGGCCAGCATTTTGATGGCGCACTAAACTTTATGCGAGGCACATAAATAGAAATGCACGCAAAAACTTTCACAAAGCGCTAAGCGAAATAAAAACAGTGGATCCACGGGAGTGGGTTGATTTTTTGAGTTGAGGAAGCGATGGGTTAGCAAAACATAGGAGGGGGTGGTCACACGCAAATGCCCCGGGTCAGAATGGTACTCATGCGTGGCCAGCGGCAATTCAAGCGATCTGTTTACCTTCGGTAAGCCACCGCTGACCTAGCCCACCTGTTCCATTGTCCTCCACCCATCGCCAGCAACGGGTCAATCTAATCTGCCTCTGCACTTGGCCAGCTTGGCCAAGATTTATGTGTGCCTTGCATTGCATAAGCGGCGCCATTTAAATGTCTGGTCTTAACCTACATAGAGAGAATAGGATATTGGAAATGGGAGATTAAATATTCTGTTTATAAAACAAGAAAGAAAGCTAACTTTGGCCAGCCAAAGTTTGTATACCCTTGCAGGTAACAATTAAAATATATCATAACTAAGCCAAAAATGCATTAATTTCGATTCGGAAAGCAGTTTTGTGTTAGTTTTTATTCATTTAAAAAAATTGCATACCAAACTTAAAATTTTAAGATATCAAAATTTTTTGCCATTTTAATGATGTAACCCCTTATCGAATTTCGCAAAAATGGCCAAAAAATCGATTTCTTCCGGACATGTCTAGAAAGATTCCCCTGTTGATGCTGATCAAGAATATATATGGTTTATGGGGTCGGAAATGATTCCTTGACTTAGAAAATTATTATTTTGTATTATAAAATCTGATTTTTTATATTAAAAAACTTCTTGATTTTTTTTTAAATTAAAAATATCATAACTCGGCCAAAAGAACATTAATTTTAAATCGGAAAACTGTTCTGTGCAATATTTTCTACAGTTCATAAATCTGCATACTTCATTTAAAAATTTTAAAAGTTCAATTTTTTATCAAAATCCAAAATTTTAATGATGTAACCCCTTATCAAATTTCGCAAAAATGGCCAAAAAATCGATTTCTTCCGGACATGTCTAGAAAGATTCCCCTGTTGATGCTGATCAAGAATATATATGGTTTATGGGGTCGGAAATGATTCCTTGACTTATAAAATGATTATTTTGTATTATAAAATCTGATTTTTTATATTAAAAAACTTCTTGATTTTTTTAAAATTAAAAATATAATAACTCGGCCAAAAGAGCCTTAATTTTAAATCGGAAAACAGTTCTGGGCAAGATTTTCTACAGTTAATAAATCTGCATACTTCATTTAAAAATTTTGAAAATTCAATTTTTTATCAAAATCAAAAATTTTAATGATGTAACCCCTTATAAAATTTTGCAAAAATGGCCAAAAAATCGATTTCTTCCTGGCATGTCTAGAAAGATTCCCCTGTTGATCCTGATCAAGAATATATATACTTTATAGGGTCGGAAACGTCTCCTTCACTGCGTTGCAAACTTCTGACTGAAATTATAATACCCTGCAAGGGTATAAATATATTTTCAGCAATAAACTAAGGCTACATTCTAAAAAAAATATTCACCAGCTCAAGAAACCTCTCAAGCCAAGTTAAGGGATTAATATCAGGATTCTTGGACTTTCTTTTTACCGGTGTTGCCATCAGCCGTCATATGTTCGGGCTTGCCAGGAAGTGGGCGTTGCCGTGGGCGGAAGGGCGCTGCGGAGACTAAAAAAATTTATTGCCAGCGATTGCATATTTGATAAATTTAGTTTGCACTCTGTTGGGCGCGGTCAGGAGCCTCACAGCGATGGTGTTGGAAATTATGACGCGTCAATTGGCGGGAGCAAACAGGGTGGAGGTACCACCCCAAGAGCCAACTCACCTGGCCTCCGACCTTTCCCGCTACCTTCCGAAAGAGGTGCGTGCGGAAGTAGCTGACTAAATTGCAGCGGGCTGAAACAACAATTGCTTTTGATTTAAGTTGCATTAAATTAGTTTCCACACGGCGGCTGATTAATGAGTGCAGCGAACTTTCTGACAGCACCAAGTTGCTGCCGAGGAGGGGGCGTGGCAGAGGGTCCTGCCGCAGACACTTAATCAAGGGGGCAGTGCTGAAAGAAGGTGATCAGTGGGCACTTGGCAGACTGAAATTTATGACTGGCAACGGTTGAAAATTTAAGTAAATATTTTTCAGCAATTTGCCAGATTTGTTTTCAGCAACTTGGCTTGCCGCCGCCCGTAACCTTTTAAGTGGCCAGGACTGCGTGATTGGGCGAGGTCAGTCGCACAAAAAGGTTAAAACACAGTGTCCGTGCACGGCCATGCATAATTTATTACGCCACCGCCGATGCCCGTTAAAGGCGAATCAAAATGCACTTTATTGCACAACGAACGAAACGGAATGCAACAAAATAATACGGCATTGCCATTATTTTCCGTCGATTGATATGCAGAAATGAAATGACCGAATGGCTGGCCGGTCGGTCGGATCGGCGGGTGACTTGACCACTTTGGCTATTTGCATAATATTGATTCCATTTCCCAGCCTCACCAGCCGTGGAACACGGACGTAATTTCATTTCGACCTCAGCCGCCTCGCCAGCGAGTCATGCTCCGGCCACATCTTTGGCATGGACTATCCAAATAAATTTCAGACGAGCAAATTGAGTAAATGGGAATCCCATGAACCGCACGACGAGCATATGAAAGTCATGAGCTCCACAATCAGAGCCGCACTTGAGTAGCCCGGCTCGACATTATGCAAATCGAGGAACAGACGGAAACGCAGGCGGAGGCGGAGGCTGATGAACTGCCGCCTCCACTGGCGATTCCATTAGAAATGGTGGAGCCGATGTTCGGCAATTAAGAGAGCCGGCCATCGAAAAACGGAACGATAAATGCTAAAATGAGAAATGCCAATGCCAGTGCCGCAGCCAGATCCAGAGCTAAATTCAGGACACGGGTCTCCTAATGATGTTTCACTCACGAAATGTCCGAAAACCGGAATCGAGTGGGTTCGTCTTCGCATATGTCGCACGACCACGAATGATCCCAACACCCCTTTGCCAACAGAGAAAGAAATTTAACAATCTGCTTTTTAATTTAATCTTATAATCAATATTATTAATAACTTGCTAATATTAAAATTAGGATTTACTGATGTAGAATATCAGGTAAAATTAAAGAGAGCCTTAAGTTTTATATATACATTTGTCAGATATACATTTTGGTCTCAGTGTGCTACCAAACACTGGTGGCATTTGCATGCGAAACTGGCTTGTTACGTTATGAATACCAGAGCTTCGAGAGGCAGGCAGGCAGGCAGGCACTCGCTGTGACCCAACTGGAGGTCAGCTGGAAACTGCAGTGGGTTGCCTATTTACGGCCCAAATTAGCGGTCGAATGATGCACTTTGGGCCGTCGCTCCGGCTCTGACATGCCTATTCGACTGACAAGGGAGTCGAGCCTGGCGCGCGGATATTAAGCCTTTGATTGATGGCCGCGAAATGTGGTAATAGCTTTCGGCCAGCTTCGTTCAAATGGAGGATGCATTGGAGATGCATAGCGGGTGCAGTGTTTCAATTAGCCCGGCAGCCAGTGGGGGGTGAGAGGTGTCCACCCACCCTTGTTCTTGCACAAAGGCATCCACATAAAGTGGCTACAAGTATGCGGCAATTAGCATTTAACGAGCACCACATGCCAGCCACAATGGCATGACACGGCCCAGGACAAGGCAGTGTCCTCAGACACTGGGGGAGTCCTGTCGACATAATAATATACACACAACTACAACACAGTCGCACACACGTAGCTGGTGGGGAACAATGTCATCGACAAAATACAAGCCCTGCTGGGTAGTCCCTGGGCAGGAAACTCTTTTGTTGGCCCAGTCAACATTTCGGACCCCCTCTGGCTACGCCCCCATATAACCCCCGCCCGCCCACAAAAATCCTGATTACTTAACTAAATATGGCAGCTTATGGCGGGACACGGCCACTGGCCAGTGGCACTAAACTCTCTGATTTACACGATTTACATACGCTCGGCCAGAGGCGGGGCATCGGAGCGGAGTGCGAGGCTTTAATTAGCAGTCGCGGGTTTATCAGCTAGCAGCTGTCCACCTGAGTCGGAGAATATCTAATGAAGGCACCAGGACAATGGCCAGAAACATTGTTGGCAGCACAGTGAGCTCTTAAAGCTGATATCATAGGACAAACTTTAAAGGGTTCCGCGGAATAGTGCGACGCCAGTAAACAGTAAACTTTGCAAGGTGAATGGTGTCTAGCTTATAGGTGAAAACCCCAAGTGTTGCTTTGCCTACCTTCTGTAAAAACAAACTTAATTATTTTCCAAAATGGAATTCTATCGAATAAACGGAAAGGAAAACACAAAAGTATCCTAATTACGTTTTTTTGTCCCAAAAATAAAACTTTCCTTTGTGCTCTACTTGGAGGCCCTTTCCTCGCGGAGTTCATTAGCATGTCGCGTCTTCTACAATAACTCAGCCCAAAGACAGGCCAAGGCTTGGGATCCATAGTCTTATCAGTGGACTCTTATCTGGGATACATAAATTCCTGCCTCGACTTGGCGTCGGCAAAGTTTCTTGGGGTTTCATTTGGCTGGCGAAGAGGAGCAGGAGGTGCGGCTGGGACAGAGGCATCTGGAGGTGCGGGATGGGGCGCTAATTAAGACACGCAAAGTGCGGCACCAAGACAAATGGTTCCGTGGCACGTAAGCGGCGCGTCAATCTTGGCCAAGGGCCACGGAGCACGGCTCCACACTCCGCCCACGCCTCGCAGGCCCGCAGGCTCAGACATTTCGTCCAGACTTCGAACAGGTTTTGTTCTCGCAAACTTTACCACTCCCGGCTCCTCGCCGCTTCGAAGAGCACCCCCGACCGCCAAAGGTAACGCCTCGTAAAAAATGTCAATGAAGTGATTTATAAAAGAAGCCTAGACGCCGCCTCCCAAGGCCAACGCGCTAATGTGGCCGCGTTAATGAAAGTTTGCATTTCGGCAATTGTATTCATTTGGTTATCGCCGGTCAGCCTATAATCTCGGCTCAAGCATAATGTCTTTATTTTTCCTCCCAACTCTGTATTGCTGCGTGCTCCGAGCTGCACATTAAATTTTAATGCCATATTTTATCCTGCCAGAATTTACATAAATTCATTGTTGTCGGTACCAGTGTGTGTGTGTGAGTGTGTGGTGTGTGGGGGCTCTAATCAAATCAAAAGAGTGACGGCTTCTCCCTTGCCCTCCATGAATTGCTAAGCAGACATGCAAACTTCTACGGCCGAATGGCCCGGAGTTTTGACTTAAGTAAAAGTCGCTGTCTCCTTCCCACACAAATACATAAAAAAATGTTCGAGCATACAAACAAACACCCATCCAATCTTCTTGTCCATGTTTGTGCTTGTATGTGGCTAGAAAAATAGCAGCTCACGTTGCGCATACGACGCGTTGCCTGGCAGAAGTCCAACGGACCAAACAACCAGTCCCCCAACAATGGCAACAACAGTGCAGGCTCAGCAACAACCAAAACGAGCAAGAAAGCTCACATTTTCTACCTCGACTATGGGGGTACCCGGCATTTAACTCTCCAAATCATAGCGTTGCTCTTGGGGTTAATTATCTGCCAACAAGTTATCTAAAATACACTTCGTGATGTTAACATTTTTCTGATAGAATTATGGCAATCTCAACCTACACACAATACTCCCTAGTGCTTGAGGGGTATCAACAACAATAACGAGAGCCATTGCTCTTTGGGCTCCCATTGTTGTTTTCCTTTGGCTATATAGTATTTTTTCCATTTCTCCAACAACGGAAGGCGTTCCTAGGAAGGCGCATGTATAATTAGAGCTATGAAGCATGTCCGGTGAAGTTTGGCATTTAAATGCGGCAACAACAGCAACAACGGGGCAGCAGCAGAGGTAGCCAGATCGCCATTTTGCCATTGCCGACTTTCGAATTGGGCAAAGCTGGCGAGAAGGGGGATGGGCAGGGGATGGAGTAGCTAGAGCTCCCATTGTTGTTGCCTAGATATATTTTATAATGCCACAAACATGCACGACCCGAGCCCTACATGAGACTCTGTGTGCATTTCGTTTAGTTTACGTACTGCGCCTCCGCATGCAAACAGGACACGAAGGAGGTGCGGAAGCAGGAGGAGCTCGAGCAACCGGAGGAGCCGGAGGAGACCCTAACCAACCGAGTCCCGGTGATCCCCGGAGGAGGAACAGAGCGAGCGGAACAGGAACTTTGTGTGCAACTTTATCTTTTGATTTATACAATAATAAACACAAATGTGCACAAAAGTTCTTTGTACTTTGTTCTTTGCTCTCGCAAAGCGGCACAAATTCCGAAAGTTAAATCGGGAAATGTTTACATGAGCAGTTGACTCCTTGCTAATTGGTAGTCCTGTCAAAGGCTCTCCTCTCCAGGGGCTTTCCTTCTCGGAGCCCATTACTGTGGCTCTTACAAGGGCTTATGGCAAGTGACCTCCCTGTGGGTCAGCAGGGTCGCTGGACACGGCAGATCTATTAGGCGCTGGGATGTATCGAAAACGGTGGTTATACGGGGCATCTACTGTCCGGATCGATTTTCAATTGCAGGCGAACTGGAGACGGGGCCATTCAATGAATCGTAAGTTGCCCGGTCCTCCCACAGAAACAGAAGTGTGCCTTAACCCATTAAATGCAAGCAACTGCAATCGAACACGCAACCCCTCGCGCAGTCACAACACGTTAATGCAACTGAGCCGGCAGTCCAATAGTGTTGCCACCTCTGGTACTTCCTTGCCAATTTGGAAAAACAAAAATGTTGTCATTCTTTAAAAATTTAATTTAATTTACAAAAGTCGAAGAAAATTGATTGAATTCTAAAATTCAGTATGCAGATATGTAAGCCTTGGAAGAACTATCATAGACCAAAATGTTGATATCTTAAAAAATAAATTTATACAATCTTTATATAGTTAAAGTTAGCATCCTCTCTAGTTTTATTTTTTTAATTAGTTATAATTTTAATAAAGTTAAAATATACATTTGTTACGTTTTAAGAACATTTTTATAGCTCTTAGCGACTTTTTGGTTTCCTGAAACTGACAGCACTAGTGCAGCCCTGCAGAAGTCTGCTTTGCCTTGCTCTCTGTTCCTTGTTCCCTGCTCCTGGCTGACTGTTTCCTGGAGCACGATGTGGCGGCGGCGTCAACGCGGTGCACATTAAGCTTAACACCGGTTAAACGCGAGTTGCGCCGAAACGCCACTTTAAGGCGCTGCCTGTAATGGCCGCCAACTGATTCGGTATTCGCCGGAGGTGCCGCGTAATAATGTTAAATATCAGGTGCAATGCAGCTGTCCCTGCCGCAATCGAATTGGAGATGGAAGTGGAAATGGCAGTGGCAGCTCCAGTGCAATTGAAGGGGGAACTGGAAGTTGAAACCGGAGTCGGAGCGCACCAGCAGGTACTAATTAAGTTGCCCGGGAGCCGCGTAACTGCCATAAAATATGCGCAGTGGGAATTCGAATTCGGATCCGGATCCGGATCGGTTTGTCGGCCGGCAGACACTCATTCTCATCGCAGTGCAACGGCTGTGGCAGCGGCAGGGTAGTGGCAGTGGCAGTTGCAGTTGCAACGCCGGTGGCAGTGGCACGTAGTTTATGGCGTCGGGCTAAGCGAAGTCGACGCGAGTCAAGAAGTTCCCCATTTGTTTCAAGCCTTAAATTTCCACGGGACATGCAACCAGAAAGTGACGAGGAAGGGAATTCTATGTGGTGGGTGCTCCACCAGCAGCCGGAAGCGTAAAAGTGCATAGATAAATGTCTTACTCAGTCAGGACCAGGGCCAACATGGAGCTACTAACTGGCCATAGACGACCACAGGGTGTTGGGGATTACAAAAGAATACTCATTAAGGACCTACAATAGATTACATATATTTACATTCTTGGTACATTTTGGGAATATTTTAATCGGCAGGGGTTTTGTTAGAAGTTCCACTTTCTTCTATTTCATTTCGATGAGCTTCAACTACATCTGACTTTTCATTGATGACAGCACTGACCTTAGATTTTGGCCTAAGGAAAATGTCAAGTCCACTAAACGGCGCCTCTATGATCAGGTGCATAAAATAGGAGAACAGCAATGTGACCCCAAAACACGACCAGAAGGAGAGCATCTAAACAAAATATATATTGGAAATAAAGAACCAAGACTCACATTTTCGATAATTGTTAAAGCTTACCACTCTGTAGTCCGAAAAGTAGGAATTCGTCCGGACACTTCTAATGTTTATTTCCTGGAAGAACATGTGCCACATATACACGGAGTAGGAGAGTCTTGATAGGGGCTGCCACAGCGGAGAGGAGAGGAAACTGTTGGCCATTCCCCCGTATCCTTGCATACAGGCAAAGACTACCCAGCAGAGAGCTAAAGGCCAACCCACTCGGGTGAGGGTGTAGTAGAAGGACTCAGCCAAGGTAGACAGAGGAGGACCACTCCATTTTGCATCCGGATACAGGGCGAATATCGATGTGAAGATCATGGCCAGGCAGAGAATCCATCCCGACCACACGGCTATCCTGCTCAACCGGAACTTCTTTCCCCTATTTAAGTACAGGAAATATCCGAACAAGAATCCAATCAGCCAAGGAGCCGCGTGTGTGTGGGTGGCCAAGTACAACTTTCTTGTTGCCTCGGAATTGGTGTTCCTATAAAAAAAAAAGGTTTTTCATATATAGAAAGGTAAACTTGTTTGTGAAACTTACTTTATCAGCATCGAATAGTTGTTGACCATCATAGTGGCAAAGAGGCAGCCAGAGAACAGAACTATTAGGACGAATATTCCAGCTGCTGCCTTCTTGCCCCATTTGTAGAGAGATATCAGCAGGATCGGAGAGAGGATGAACAACTGCATATCCACTGACAGGTACCAAGTATGTCCAGGACACTGAAAGCAATCATTCAGTTTTATTTATTTTATTAAGATTAATATACCCATGGACTTACGGCATTTTCCATGTAGTTGTTCACAAAAAGCAAAGTCCAATACCAGGTGCTCTCGCAAACCGATGTCCCCATGTATCCGCCGGAGAACATCGGTCCACCCGATACTATGCGCATGAGTCTTATGTAAACCAGAATCGCTATCGCCAGAACAGGAAGGATGCGCATCAAGCGATGCAGGTACATCAGTGGCACATTCAACTTCCCCTCGGTTCTGTGGAGTTTCTGGCTATAAATCAAATTTTCAATTGTTAAATAGCGCAGTTTTCTTACTTATCCATTGACCGTAAGGCAATCAACGACACCAACATGCCGCCGAGGAAGAAGAAAGAGTCTACTGAGAAGAAACCGTGGACAATAAAACTGGCATATGGTGATTCAGACCACTAAAAAAGCAACAAATTAATATATCTTTTTGCATTTTAAATAGAAAACTTACCGATAAATAGTGAAAAATATTCAGGTTTGCTCCCATAGTATATATAGTGTATTGATGGCAGTAGACCACCCAGATTAGTGATAAGCACCGAATTCCGTGAAGACAATCGATTACATTGGGGTTGCTCTTGTTCTCCATGACGCGGAAGAGAGCCCGGGAGTTGGCCCTGGCCGAGAACACCTTCACAATTGGGGGAAGCTTATCTGAAATTTAAGAATTATTGTGAAATATTCAGGAAAAAAAAAGCTTGTTGATTAACTCACCTTGGTCTTCACAGAAAAAGTAGTCGTATAGCGTAAAAATAGCCACAATAGCAGCCATCAGTGATAAGATCACCCTATAATCGGAAGGTGTTGTTAGTATGTTTCATTTCCATTGTTTGAAGTAAAGTTATTCTTACACTGTGAAAATGGTAAGTCCATCCCAAGGTTCAGGTTCATCTGTCTGGCAGCTGCTCTCGACTATACTCATACTGCTGCTGGGAATAGTTGAGTTCAGGAACTGCTTCATCAGTTGCCCCAAGAACGTGTTCATGTGAGCAGCCGAGCAGGAGGCGGGAAAACAAGTGGCAGTCTTAACTGACAAGGTCCCAACAATTGAATTATCGAGTCCTAGCATTTTTCCGGGAGAAACCGAGAGGAAGCAGTACTTGCCCCGGATGGTTCTCCCTAGGCTGACCTCTTTTCTTATATTCAGGCACTCGTCAAAGTTTCCCAGGTCGTATACGTTACCAGTAAGGAATCCCGAGGGTATAGAGCCCCACGAATCGATCACTGTCATGATCAGATTTGTAAGATGAGTATTTCTTGAAATATTATTACTTACTTTTTAAGGCCCAATATTGTCCAGCCTTGAGGGCCGTCATGAACTGAGTCCAATCGCTGAGGCACAGTAAATCCTCCTGAGTTGGCAGTCTGGGCTGTTGAAGTCCAAAATCAGGGGTTGTGTCATTCAGGACTTGCTCAGCAAACATAAATCCTAATGATCTGAGCTGTTTGATATGCTGAAAGTCCTGCAGGACACCGGTATCCTTTGGCTCTGCGGCGGCAAAGCGAATAAGTCCGCAGACAAAAATTAACGCGACTATGTTGGCCATGCTAGCTCAACTTGATTTGATGTTTGCTGTCATTTTCAACCGTCTTTTATATGCGAATTAGCTTGCGATAAGCACCTTCTACGAAATTTATTGAACCTTGTGTAGTGATTCACAAACATTGCCTGATAGAGTAATCTTTTTATTTGTTAATCAGTGCCTAGTTAATTGGTCTATCTACCAAAATGTTGTGTTTATATTCTTACCTTATATGTCGAAATTTATTGGGTTTTAATCGAACTTAAAGTAGTTCAAATTTGATGTCTGCAGGCAATGCTGATGATATTTATATACATAGTTGCGAAGAGTTATAGTTTTGCATTTAAGATTGATTCTGCGTAAATGTGCCCTAAATAAAAAGGTACAAAAAAATTATAAATAAGGAAATTATGGATGGTTTTAATATTAAATGATTTATTATTTATATATATTTTAAACCATATATATTCTTGATCATCAGGTGAGACTTGGAGGCTTAACTCTGTTGTTTTTATTAAGAATATGTCTTCGCTTCACTCGATTTCTTTTGAAGTTTTATATGTTCAAGTCCACTGATAGGCGCCTCAACGATAAGGTGCATTACATAGGAAAACAATAAAGTAGCACCAAAAGCCTACGTTTGGTCTACTTATAATAGTTTCACATAAAGTCGATAATCTTCATAATTGTAATGATAATCATTTCATAAAACTCTTACTCTCAAAAGATTTAGATTAACACAAAGTTTTCACAAAACTTGTAAGACTTGTAAGCAAATAGGATATTTAAAGATTATTACTTTTGCCCTAAGCCTAATTATATTTAAGTATTAAGCTCAAAATCACAATTACTTTCCGGCTGTTTGTGGACTGACTTTGTTTTAGATTCCATATTCCTTGGCCTTATAAAATTGTCGAAGCCAGCGAAAGGCGCCTCAATGATAAGATACATAACGTAGGAAAGCAACACTGTGAAACCAAAACACGACCAAAATTTACACATCTGCAAATAAAAAATAAATCTCAATATTTCACTTGATCTATTTAATATTCATAAACAAACCTGGCTATAATCCGAGAAATAAGAGATGGTCCTAGCACTTTTTGCGTTTATCTCCAAAAATAAAATGTGCCATATGTAGACGGAAAATGATAGCCTCGAAAGCGGTTGCCACAATGGAGAGGAGAGGAAGCTATTGGCCAGTCCCCCGTATCCTTGCATGCAGGCGAAGACCACCCAGCAGAGAGCCACTGGCCAAGCAAGTCGGGTGAGTGTGTAGTAGAAGGACTCCGCCAGAGTTGACAGCGGTGAAGCACTCCACTTTTCATCCCAAAAGAGGGCAAAAATTGAGGTGAAGATCATGGCCAGGCAGAGAATCCATCCCGACCACACAGATACCCTGCTCAGTTGGAACTTCTTATTTGTATTCAAATGCAGGAAGTATCCAAATAAGAATCCAATCAGCCAGGGAGTGGCGTGAGTGTGGGTGGCAAAATACACCTTCATAACTCCTGCTCTGCTGATTTTCCTAAATTAAAATTTTTTTAGAATATTTATAGAGGTGCAAACATAAAAGTTATTTACTTAAACAACATTGAGTAGTTGTTTGCCAGCATCGTGGCAAAGAGGCAGCCCGAAAGCAGGACTATGAGTATTACTATTCCAGCAGCAGCCTTCTTGCCCCATTTATAGAGAGAGATCAGGAGGATAGGGGATAATAGGAATAACTGCATGTCTACGGATAAGTACCACGTATGAACGAGACACTGCAACATAATAAATTAGTAGCTAAATTGTGTTCGATAAAGCATAACTTACCCTTCTCTTCTTAAAGTTATTTAGGAATAACACTGTCCAGTACCATTCACTCTCACAAGCTTCCCTTCCACTAAATCCACCTCCGAATAGTGGTCCTCCTGATATAATTGGTATCAGTTTGACATAGACAAGTATCGATATAGCCAGAAGAGGAAGGATGCGGATCAATCGATGCAGGTATATTAATGGCACGTTTAACTTGCCTTTGGTTCTGTAGATTTAATCATATTAGCTAGATTTTAGATTTTTCAAGTATACGAATATGAAATTAAAATGTAAAGGTCTACAGACTTACACATACCGAAGTTAGTTTCCTTTCTCATTACAAATTCAATAAACAGATCATCGCTTTAAATAAGATTTTTGTAGAGACTTTTACCTGACCATTAAGCGCAGCGATATCAAGGCCACCAGCAGGCCGCCGAGGAAGAAGAAAGAGTCCACTGAGAAAATCGCATGACCAATAAAACTTGTAAACGGTTTCTCAGCCCACTATAAAATCTGCAAGATAAGCCTTTATGCATAATGGTAAATATTTTTAAATTACCTCTATAGTGTAGGATGCATTAATATTCGCATCGGCAAGAGATATAAAGTACTGATGACAGAAAACGACCCATATGAGAGTCAAGCACCGAATTCCATGAAGGCAGTCTATAACATTCGGGCTGGAATTATTCTTGACGATGTGGAAAAGTACTCGCGAATTTGCTCTGGCTGAAAAAACCTTTGCAATCGTAGGAAGTTGACCTTAAAGACATATTAAATACTGAAATCAAAGATGAAAACTTTTGCAGCCTACTAACTTGGATTCTCACACAGACAGTAATCGTACAACGTAAAGAGAGCCACGAGAAAACTCATCAGGCATAAAATTATTCTGAAATCCGTAAGTAGGTAAATTTTTCACTAATTTTTATGCATAATAAACTTACACTGTAATAATTGTGAGACCATCCCACGGTTTATTTTGGCTCCACTGACAACTGCTTTCACTGATTCTCATTTCCAAGTTGGGAATAGTTAGGTTTAGGACCTTACTTAAAAGTTGTCCTAAAATGGCGTCCATCTGAGCTGCCGAACAGGAGGCAGGAAAGCAAGTGGCCGTATTGAACTTTAGGGGTTCAGCCAGTGAATGCTCGAGTCCGAGCACTTTTCCGTGGGAAACTGTGAGAAAGCAGTACTTGCCACTTATAGTTCTAGTCTGGTTGATCTCCTCTCTGACGCTTAGGCACTCGTCAAAGTTTCCCAGGTCATACAAGTTGCCGGTCAGGAGACCCGAAGGAATGGAGCCCCAGGCATCGATCACTGATACAAGACAGATTTGAAATGTAAATGTAAAATGTAAATTTACAATAAACGACTCTCTTACTCTTTAAGGCCCAATATTGCCCACTTTGAAGTCCCGTTGCCAGCTTATCTATGTCACTGTGGCATTTCTGATCCCCTTCGCCTGACACGTAATCGGTACTATTCCTTGTTAAATCTATGAAGAGTTCAGCAAACTGAAGACCCAAAGATCTGAGCTGCTTGATCCTCTTGAATTCCCGCAGAACATCTCCTTCCTGGGGCTTTGCGCTGCTGATGAGAACAAGGCCGCAGAGGAAAATAAACCCGACTGAGTGGGCCATGCCAGCTCAAAGCGTTTTAGCGGCTTGAGGTTAAACTCAAGCTCTCTTATATTCGAAGAAGGTTTAAATAAGCGCCAGTTATATGAACAAGTAAGATGAAAAGTTGAGCACTAAAGAGAGACAAATTACGGGCAAGTAGAAGCTTTTCAAGCTGTCTAAAAGGTAATAATTTGTATTGGTATCAGTTAAATGGCCTTAAGCAATTAGACTGCTTAGCTTCGTATATTTATAGAATTATCTCTATGCCTAGTGCGATAATAATCATTTGAGAAATGTTGTGGTATTTTAATTAGATGCATAGCACTTAATGGTATCAGTCGGGTCGAAGCTAAGCGGGAAGCTAAATCAATTCCATAACCTACCTCATATGATCCGGCATAAGTTGTTTGATTCCGGTTTATTTCACCATTATCTTTTAATTAATATATATAATAAATTTAATGCATTTAAATGACGACTTTTAAATTGAGTTTTACAACTATATAAACTATATATATAAACTAAAGTAAAAACCACGAAGCTATGATACTGGTTATATAAAGTTTATTCATACCGTTAAAATCACAATAAATCAAGCAGTAAATCTGTCAGCATATTTAATAAGAACCACATTTCGCATTAACACACTCTAAACATCTCCTCTAGTTAGTGAGGCTTACTAAGCTGGCCGAAGAAAAAGGTTAATTATTATACATAAAAAAAAACTTTTTACCTAATCAGATGTTATTGTTTCCGCTACACTCTGCTGACTAATCATGCTGTCATCCTTTTGGTTCTTATCTGCCTTGTCCAAATCCGGCTTTACCTGGCTGACTGTTTTAGCTTTTGGACGCCGCAAAAAATAAGGTAAGCCGCCAAAGGGCGCCTCAATTAGCAAATACATCATATAGGAGAGCAACAGGGTAACGCCAAGAGTCGACCAAAATTTAAGCATCTGCGGGAAGAAATTACTGAATTATATTTTTAAGACACACTACCTTGCATAAGTAAACCTACCACTTGGTAATCGGAGAAGTACGAATTCGTCCTAGCACTTCTGGTGTTTATCTCTTGAATGAACTTGTGCCACATATAAACTGAATAGGAGAGCCTGGAGAGAGGCTGCCAGAGCGGGGAGGAAAGGAAGCTGTTGGCCAGTCCCCCGTATCCCTGCATGCAGGCGAAGACCACCCAGCAGAGGGCGAGTGGCCAACCCACTCGGGTGAGGGTGTAGTAGAAGGACTCCGCCAGGGTTGACAAGGGTGGAGCACTCGACTGGGCTGCCGGATACAGAGCAAAGATCGAGGTAAAGATCATGGCCAGGCAGAGAATCCATCCGGACCACACGGATACCCTTTTCAAATGAAACACTCTGCCCCTAGTCAAGTACAGGAAGTAGCCGAAGAGAAAGCCGATCAGCCAGGGCGTTGCATGTGTGTGGGTGGCAGAATACATTTTGTTCATTGCCTCTTGACTGAAAGTCCTGTGACAAAAGTTGTTTTAATAAGCAAGCTATCTTGTTTACTAAGGATACTTACTTCATCAGCATTGAGTAATTGTTGACCATCATGGTGGCAAAAAGGCAGCCAGAGAGTAGAACTATGAGGACGAATATTCCTGCAGTCGCCTTCTTGCCCCATTTGTAAAGAGCGATCAGCATGATTGGAGATAAGATAAACATCTGCATATCCACCGACAAATACCAAGTATGGCTAAGGCACTGAAATATAAAAAAATTATATATATTTAATCATTAGCTGATCAATATAATCTGGTTTCTACCTCTTCATTTTTGTAGTTATTTAAAAATAATAATGTCCAGTACCAGCCGCTTTCACATGCCGCTTTTCCACTATAACCGTCTTGCAGAAGAGGTCCGTCTGTCACAACAGTCATGAGCTTGGTGTAGACCAGAATGGCCACGGCTAAGAGGGGAAAGATGCGGAACAAGCGGTACAGATACATCATGGGCACATTAAGCTTTCCATTGGTTCTGCAGATACTCAAAAAAAATTATTATTATTGAAAGGAAAATAATATTGAACACTTACTTTTCCATTGATCGTAAGGCAATCAAGGAGACCAGCAAGCCGCCAAGGAAGAAAAACGAATCCACTGAGAAAAACCCGTGAGCAATAAAGCTGGTAAATGGGAGTTCAAGCCACTAAAAAATTAAACTCATCAAATTACTATTGGAATAAAATTGTAATTGCCTACCTTTATCAATTGAAATTCATTTATATTGGCTGCTATCACTGTGAATTTGTATTCATGAGAAAAAACCACCCAGAAAAGGGACATGCACCTTATTCCATGAAGACACTCGATTACATTGGGGTTCCTGTTGTTCTCTACAACGCGGAATAGCGATCGAGAGTTGGCCCTCGCCGAGAATACAGTCACTAACACAGGAGGCTTATCTGGAAGTTGTCGGTTATTGTGATTTTTTAAATGTAAACAAGTTGCTGCCGATTAGCCAACCTTGGTTCTCGCATAGAAAGAAGTCGTACAGCGTGATGAGACCCACGATAAAGCCCATCAGGGAGAGAAAAGCTCTGTAATCGGAGGAAGTTAATCAAGTGTCATTATTTTAATAAATCCTCACATACACTGTGAAAATGGTGAGTCCATCCCAGGATTCACTTTCACTCGTTTGGCAACTGCTTTCGCTTATACTCATTACAGTGATACTTGAGTTCACCAACTGATTCATCACCTGTCCCACGAGGGTGTTCAAGTGAGCAGCCGAGCAGGAGGCTGGAAAACAAGTGGCAGTCTTTATGGAGAAGAATCCACTTAGCGAATCATCAACTCCGAGAGCTTTCCCTAGTGGAGCTGAGAGGAAACAGTACTTTCCACGGATAGTTCTGGCTGCACTGATCTCCTTTCTGACATTCACGCACTCGTCAAAGTTTCCCAGATCGTATGAGTTGCCAGTCAGGAGTCCCGAAGGAATGGCGCCCCACGCGTCGATCACTGTCATAATAAATAACGTCAAGTGTTTTTTATATTAGTTTACCATAGGAATTGCTTACTCTTCAGGGCCCAATATTCTCCAGTTTTGAGTGCGGTCAAGAACTGAGTCATATCGCTGAGGCACAGCAGATCCTCTTGAGTGGGCACTTTTGGGCCAATGATGTCTGAGGCATTGATAGGTCTGTCCTTTAAGAGTTTTACAAACTCTAATCCAACCAAGCCCGGTTGCCTGACACTCTGGAAATCGTGCAGCACATCTGCGTCCGTCAATTGTGCGGCACTGATGAGGGCAAGTCCACAGAGGAGTTCCCAGGAAAGTACCCAGACTGTTGCTGCCATGATAGAACCTCAACTCGTTTTGATATTTTCCGATCAAGCTCAAAGCCTTTATAGGCAAATTACCAAGCGATAAGCGATTTTAACGAAATCTAATTCCGAACATCACCTTCGGAAGCCGTTATGTGTCAATTAACTGGCGATAAGTACGTTCTATGAATCATATAGTATATTATATAGATTAACTCATGGAGTGCAAGGGTATACAAACAAAATGTATGCCATAAATATAATACAAATTTATTAAACCCATCAACGTTTTTAATACTACTTTGCATTAAATCAACTTTACATATTGAAATAAACTTTTTTTTTTTTTTTTTTTTTTTTGAAGCTAATAGAATTATGTTACGTTTATTACGGAGATAGCACTAATTTGCACTTTAAAACTTGGATTTTAATAAAGAAAACCTTGTTAAATACATCAAATTACATCTTTATTGTATACCAAAATAGGAAATATTAGAATTATATGCATCAAATTAATCAGTTCGCGATGGAGCATTTTCTTCTGTCACTCTCAGATCCCTTGCATAGTCATCATTGTTTTTATTCAGCTTTGTCTGAGACGAATCCCGATTTAATATTCCTGCATTAGAAGGCTTCTTCTGAGGCCTTAGAAAGTTATCCAGGCCTCCAAAGGGCGCCTCTACAATCAAGTACATAAAGTAAGAGAGCAAGAGCGTGAAACCAAGAGTCGACCAGAATTTCAGCATCTGCAAAATGGAAATTAAAATCCATGACTCCAATACTTGAACGAGGTAACCTACCATTTGGTAGTCGGAGAAGTAGGTATTGGTCCTGATAGTCTTTGCATTTATCTCCATGATAAACAAGTGCCAGATGAAGGCCGAATAGGAGAGCTTTGACAACGGTTGCCACAGGGGTGAGGAGAGGAAACTATTGGCCAGTCCTCCGTATCCCTGCATGCAGGCAAAGACCACCCAGCACAGAGCTAAGGGCCAACCCACTCGGGTGAGAGTGTAGTAGAAGGACTCCGCTAGAGTTGACAAGGGTGGCGAACCTGACTGCGTCGACGGGTAGAGAGCAAATATTGAGGTAAAGATCATGGCCAGGCAGAGCACCCATCCGACCCAAACGACAACCCAACTCAGCTGAAATTGTTTTCCCCTATTCAAGTACAGGAAGTAGCCGAAAAGGAATCCGATTAGCCAAGGGGTGGCGTGTGTATGAGTAGCATTGTATAACTCCTGAGTCCCATCTGCACCTCCGCTCCTGCGCAGAAACCGGAATGAGAAATATATATGGCAATAGCCCAAGTGTCGCTTACATCAACTGCATGGTGTAGTCGTTGACCATCATCGTGGCAAAGAGGCAGCCAGAGAGCAGAACTATGAGGACAAATATGGCTGCAGCAGCCTTCTTGCCCCATTTGTAGAGAGATATCAGCAGGATCGGTGAGAGGATGAACAACTGCATGTCCACTGACAGGTACCATGAATGGGAAAGGCACTAAAAGATATGGATCGATGCTTGAATCCTTGCTTAATAGCTCAATTAAGTTAGTTTTACCTTTGCTTTAGTGTAGTTATTCACGAATAGCAAGGTCCAATACCAACCAGTTTCACAATCCGATTTCCCCGTGTATCCGCTCTTCATCAGAGGGCCATCTGCCACTGCAGTCATGAGCTTAGTGTAGACCAAAATGGCTGTGGCCAAAATGGGGAGAATGCGAATCAAACGGTGCAGGTACATCAGAAGCACATTAATCTTTCCCTGATTTCTTGAATAGAAATAAGTTAATAATTGTTGTACTACAGTCTCTTCGCATCTTACTTTTCCATAGAGCGAAGTGCCACTAAAGCTACCAACAAGCCGCCAAGGAAAAGAAACGAATCCACCGCGAATCCTCCATGTACAATGAGATTGGAGTATGGAAGCTTCAGCCACTAATAAAGGACACACAGCGGAGATTATTTTAAATAAAATATTAGGTACAAGCGTATGCCATTTGACCTACCGTTATCATTTGCAATATATTAATACACGCAGAGAGAATATTAGCTCCGTATTGGTGGCCAATAATCACCCAGAAGAGGGACATGCAGCGGATTCCATGGAGACATTCGATTACATTCGGTTTCGACTTACTCTGCGTGATGCGGAACAGAGCTCTGGAGTTGGCCCTGGCGGAAAACACCTTCACTATTATCGGTACCTCAGCTAGAAGTTGGTTTAAATTTAGGAATCAAAATAAGCGACTATCAATTATCTTACATTGGTTTTTGCAAAAGAGGTAATCGAACAGCGTGAAGAGCCCCACAGCCAAGGCCATCAGCGATAAGAACACCCTGTAATCACAAGTGTTTAGCTAGTAGAGCTGTTTGAATATGATTCATTATTACACTGTAAAGATCGTGAGTCCGTCCCAGGGTTCACTTTCACTCGTTTGGCAACTGCTTTCGCTGATACTCATACCATCTATAGAACTACTTGAGTTCAAGAAGTGATTCATAAGCTGTCCCACAAACACGTTCATGTGAGACGCCGAGCAGGAGGCCGGAAAGCAGCTTGCTGAATTGAAGCTCAAGGCTGACAGGGCTGCATTATCGACTCCCAGCAGTTGACCAAGGGAAACTTTGAGGAAACAGTACTTGCCACGGATAACTCTAGTTTCACTGATTCCCTTTTTGATATTCAGGCACTCGTCAAAGTTTCCCAGGTCATATGAGTTGCCAGTAAGGAGTCCCGAGGGAATGGAGCCCCACGCATCGATCACTGTCGTTGGATATAGATTTTTTCAAATTACTATTTTCTTAGTCTCAGAATCCCTTACTCCTTAGGGCCCAAAGTTCTCCAGCTTTAAGTGAGGCCATGAACTGTGCCATATCGCCAAGGCAAAGCAGGTCCGCTTCAGTAGGCAGTCTGGGGATCCGAATGCCTAAGTCATCGAGTGTTATATCCTTGAAGAATTCAGCAAACGCAAATCCCAGAGATCTAAGTTCACTGATTCCCAGAAAATTGTGCTGGACATCTTTATCCTTCTGCTGTGCGGCGCTGATGAGGACAAGTCCACAGAAAAAAATGACTCCGAATATGTTTGCCATGGTAGCTTAACTGGAACTAAACGTTTCCAATCAAAATTGAAATCATTTATAGCTTGCGAGAATTGCTTCCTACAAAACAAATTGATAAGCTTTATATGAATTTTTACAAAGAATACTTGTAAGATAATCTTTCAAGTTCTCTGGGAATTCGATTAATCTAGTTTTTATATAGGGAAATATTTTACTGCTCATATTTGTAGAGTTTTGAATAAAGGGTATATCAACTACTAAACACGGAATTATGCTTTTGAATTTACAATTTTCGAAAGTCAAATTTTAACTCTTCTTACTCTTTATTTATTTTGATGATTGTGCTATATTTTTTGAGTCCTAAAATATGGGTTGTAACCAAATTGTTTTTAAGGGAAATGAGAAATTGCGATTAATCGTTACAAATTAAAATCCAAAAACTCAATGACAGTTATTATTTCTTTCAATCCCATTTAACTCTCTGATATCGAAAGCCTTAATCTGCTATAAAGGTTTTCAGTTAGAAATCCCGAAGGAAGGGAGACCCTGGGATCAATCACTGTTATTAAAGATAATATTTGTGAATTTTAGCAATTACCCTACATTAAGAAAAACTTAAATTTCAGCGCCCGATATTTACCAGTTAAAATCCCTGTCTGAAATCACTGAAATGACACGATCTTGTATACTCAAGGACCAAATCATTCAGGATATTATTTTGCCCCTTTGTAGCGATTTAAATTCAATAATTTGAGTTGCCCAATACCTTTAAGGGCATAAATTTTTCAGTTGTCCCAAGCTAATGGCTGTTGATAAAAACCAACACAGAATATTTACACCGATAATGTAGGCCATGCTAGTTAAACGACTATTCCTCATTTCTGATCTACTACCTCAAACCATTTTATATGAGAGTTACCTCACCGAAAAGCTCTATCTCGAAAAGCTTTCTGTTATCATATTCAGTAAAAACTTTCGATGGGGAAGGCATTCATTCCAGTTCTCCCGATCAACTTTCCTATTTGACTTCAAAGAACCGATCAGTCCACGCAAAAAGATCAAAAAGATATCTTTTTTTGATCAACGGCCAAGTCTGAGAGAAAACAAAAAAGTACAATTTATTTCAATAAATTTTGTTTAAGTACTAAGTAATTTCTTATATGAGCTCCATGTTCTATACCTATTCGGTTTGTTTTGGATAAGTTGTTCCAGCTCCTTCCATTTCACTAGAAGCGTTATCATATATCTGACCCTGCTGAGTCTGATCTGAATGAAAGTCAGGATTTTTCACATCGATTGGTTTAATCTGCGGCCGCAGAAAAATATCCAGTCCACCTAAAGGCGCCTCAATGATTAGATACAGCAAATAGGAAACTAATGCGGAAATACCAATATCTGACCACCATTGAAGAATCTGAAAAAAATAAAATTAGAATCTCACCTACTACACATATTCTAGCTACAGTAAACGTACCACTCGGTAATCGGAGAAATAGGAATTCGTCCTAAAATTTCTAGCATTTATCTCTACGATAAATAAATGCCAAATAAAGATGGAGTAGGAGAGTCTGGAGAGGGGCTGCCAAAGCGGAGAGGAAAGAAAGCTATTGGCCAGTCCCCCGTATCCTTGCATGCAGGCGAAGACCACCCAGCAGAGAGCTAAAGGCCAACCCACTCTGGTGAGGGTGTAGTAGAATGACTCCGCCAAGGTCGACAGGGGTGCAGCAGTCCACTTTGCATTCGGATAGAGGGCGAAGATCGAGGTGAAAATCAGGGCCAGGCAGAGAATCCATCCTAAGCCCACGGACAACCAACTAAGCTGGAACTTCTTGCCTCTAGTCACGTGCAGGAAGTACCCAAATATGAACCCAATAAGCCAAGGAGTGGCATGTACATGAGTGGGGTAGTACAGTTTCTGCATGGCATCCGTAGTGGTGCTTCTACGATAAACAAACGTTTCAAAAGAGTGGAATAGAATACTATAAAACGTACTTACTTTAACAACATGGAAAGGTTGTTGACCATCATCGTGGCAAAGAGGCAGCCAGAGAGTAGGATTATGAGGACAAATATTGCAGCAGCTGCCTTCTTGCCCCACTTGAATACAGCGATCAGAAGGATCGGCGAGATGATGTACAGCTGCATGTCCACCGACAAGTACCAGGAGTGACCAAGACACTAAAAGAAGTTATAGTGTGGACAATCTTAAAATTCTATCCAAAACATTAGATTTCTTTGTGTACCTTTGCATTTGTGTAATTATTCACAAACAACAAGGTCCAATACCAGCCGGCCTCACAGTCCGCTTTGCCGCTGTAACCGCTTCGAAGTAGAGGTCCGTCTGCCACGACAGTCATGAGTTTGGTGTAGACCAAAATAGCCACGGCCAAAATAGGAAAGATTCGGATCAAACGATGAAGATACATCTTGAGTATTGGCAGTTTTCCCTTGGTTCTGCTGATAAGTTTAAATTACATGTTTTATTTTAAATGTTTAACAGGTTACTTACTTATCCATTGAGCGCAGTGAAAGCAATGACACCAGCAAACCGCCGAGGAAGAAAAAGGAATCCACTGAAAAGTGGCCGTGTAACACAAAACTAGTGTATGGTAGCTCAGCCCACTAAAAAAATGTATGATAACAATGCCATATCTGATAAAATGAATAAACTTACCGGCACAATATGCGTAAGGTTCAGATTAGGCGAGAGAAGTTTAAGTGAGTATTCGTGGCAGAAAATAACCCAGAAGAGAGTCAAGCACCGGATGCCATGAAGACAGTCAATAACATTCGGGTTGGAGTTACTTCCCACGACTCGGAATAGAGCTCGAGAGTTGGCCCTGGCCGAAAACGCCTTCACTATAGCGGGAAGCTGATCTGAAAAGTGGGGCTTATTGTGAACTTTTCATGGGGTATTTTCTAATAACTCACTTTGATTCTTGCACAGAAAGTAATCGTAGAGCGTAAAGACAGCCACTAAGGCACCCATTAGTGATAGGAGCACACTGTAATCAAAGCCGATTAGCTGTTAAAGGCAATTGAAATTTAAATGAACCCTTACACTGTGAAAATAGTGAGTGCATCCCATGGTTCACTTTCACTCGTCTGGCAGCTGTCATCACTGATACCCATTGTGGTGCTTGGAATGCTAAAGCCAAGAACTCTTTGCATAACCGTGGTCACAAATAGGTTCATATGAGCTGCCGAGCAAGAGGCGGGAAAGCAAGTGGCTGTCCTTATTTTGTATATTTTCGCGAGAATCGCACTTGGAGCAGTTTCTAGGAAACAGTATTTTCCTTGAATGCTGACGCCCTCGATGATATCCTTGTTGATATTGAGGCACTCGTCGTAGTTTCCCAGGTCATACATGTTGCCGGTTAGAAGGCCAGAGGGTATGGAACCCCATGCATCGATCACTGAGAGAACAAGGATAAGTTAATTGATCCTTTTTCTTCAATTGCTTACTTACTTTTCAAGGCCCACATTTGGCCATTGCCTAGAGCACTTGAAAACAGAGTCAAGTCCCGAAGACACAACATATCCTCCTCAGTGGGCAGTCGGGGATCTGCCAAGCTTATATCACTGAGAGTTACATTTTGAAAGAAGTCGGCGAATTCAAAACCTAAATGACGGAGCTGCTTTACCCTTTGGAAATTATTAAGGATATCTTCCTGCGGCAGCGCGGCACTAGAAAAAGCGATACCGCAGAGAATAAGAAAACCGAGTATGTTGTCCATAATAACTGAACGGCAATTGATTGCTCCTGTCTGGAAGCCAAATATTTTATGCGCGACTTACCGAGGCGATAAGTGTCTGATAACAGACATTTAAATGGGTTGTAGCTGGCCCACACGTTTCATTGGTTCAAGAGTCCGATAATGTACAATCTGCGAATTTTAAAGTAGTCCATGTGACTCCGTATTTATGGCTTCAGAGTCTTAATCATCGGTGAGTAATGAACAATTAGAAACTACCATAAACCCCTTAGGAATATAGTGGCGAAGGCAACCTCTACACCAAGAAATCGTTACTAGCCCTGTTAATTTCTATTTAAACTGTAGAGTATTACAAACACTTTTATATCTCTCTATACATAGTCTAACGGGTCGATAATGCTATTAAAAAAATAAACAAAACTTCAAACAAATATATGTATACCAATTAAAACGTATTTAAATAATAATTATAATGGATTTTTTAAGACTTATTTCATGAAATGTAGACTTGTGGGGAAACATTATCATGTACAAACTCTTGGAGCACTTCGTCACTAAGTGGATGTTCTACAACAGTGATTTGCTTAAGAATTCGTTTTGAAATCAAAGATTAGTAATCGCTTATACTTTTATTGACGGACTTGAGTGTCTGGCTAGTATGGGGTTATTTTGTTTACTTTATGAGCTACTTAAAAGATTATTCAAATCGATGATAAGATGTTGATCTTCACGTGATGAAGTCTTATGACTTTAATGCAAAATTGATGGGTGCATTCAGCAGGAATATGTTAAAGTTCTTTTTACTTAAAGTTTTATTTATTTTTATTGTCATTCGTCTTTTCCTTTATAAATAATAGGAATTTTTAATTCCACGTAACACTATTTTATATAAATAAGAGATATAAATAAACTTATATAAAATGAGTTAAATTGAAATCCTAATCAGATTTTGTTGCAACCACCGTTTCCGTCACTTTAAGCTTAGTGGGGACATTATCGTCTACTTTCTGCCCTGATTGTAGCTGAACTGGATAAGAGGTTGATTTTTGGACAGCAGAAGGATTTTTTTGAGGCCGCAGAAAAATGTCAAGCCCACCAATAGGCGCCTCAATGATGAGATACAGCAAAAAGGCTACCAGCACGGAAATACCGATGTCTGACCACCACTGGAGCATCTAAAAAATTCAAGTATAATTTAAGTCAAAACTTAGTGGGAAAATCTTTTGAAAAGCTTAACATACCACTTGGTAGTCGGAGAAATACATGTTCGTCCTAACACTTTTCGCGTTGATCTCCTGGATGAACATATGCCACATGTAGATGGAGTAGGAGAGCCTCGACAAAGGTTGCCACAGCGGGGGGGATAGAAAGCTGTTGGCCAGTCCCCCGTGTCCTTGCATGCAGGCGAAGACAACCCAGCAGAGAGCTAAAGGCCAACCCACTCGTGTGAGGGTGTAGTAGAAGGCTTCTGCAAGGGTTGACGTATGCGTAGACCACTTTGCATCCGGATATAAAGCAAAGATCGAGGTGAAAATCATGGCCAGGCAAAGAATCCACCCCGACCATACAGAAACCCAACTTAGCTGGAACTTCTTGCCCTTGTTCAAGTGCAGGAAGTACCCAAACAAGAACCCTATAAGCCAAGGAGTGGCATGTGTGTGCGTGGCAAAGTACATTTTCCGCATGGCTTCCACACTGAAGTTCCTTTAAAAACAAACAAAAACTAGTTAAAAATGTTCAAAAGCGATCCTGTAAATGTTACTTACTTTAACAACATCGAGTAGTTATTCACCATCATCGTGGCAAAGAGGCATCCAGAAAGCAGGACTATAAGGACGAATATTCCAGCAGCCGCCTTCTTGCCCCATTTGTAGAGAGCGATCAGCAGGATCGGAGATATAATGAACAACTGCATATCCACCGACAAGTACCAGGTATGGCCGAGACACTATAAAAAATTATTAATAATTTTAAGTTACAAAATCAAATTGAAATCTCATCTCCCGAGTGCACCTTTGCATTGGTGTAGTTGTTCACAAACAACAAGGTCCAATACCATCCGGTTTCACATTCTGTTTTCTGACTATAGCTTTGTAACAGAGGTCCGTCTGCCACCACAGTCATAAGTTTGGTATAGACCAGAATAGCCACGGCCAGGATGGGAACGATGCGGATCAATCGGTGTAGGTACATCAGAGGCACATTCAGTTTCCCCTTGGTTCTGCACAGAGGTTTTTAATTGTTTAGCGGTTTGACTTGGAAAGCGTATTTTCTCCTTACTTATCCATTGTGCGAAGTGCAATCAAGGACACCAACAATCCGCCGAGGAAGAAAAATGAATCCACTGAAAAGAATCCGTGCACAATAAAGCTGGAGAACGGAAGCTCGGCCCACTAGAAACCGATAAGATATACTTTTGTTTTTTGGAAGGACTTTCGTTATCTTACCTGAACAGCGTGGAAGAGGTTGAGAAGCGGAGAAAATGGCCTAGTCGTGTACTCATGGCTTATAACCACCCAGAAGAGAGAAAGGCAACGGATTCCATTGAGGCAACTGATGACATTCGGGTTGGAGCTATTCTCCACTATACGGAAAAGAGCTCGAGAGTTGGCTCTAGCCGAAAAAGCCTTCACGATAGCGGGAAGCTGATCTATAAAATTGAAGAACATTATTTAATTGCTCAGAAACCTTTCTGGACAACTCACCTTGGTTTTTGCAGAAGAGGTAATCGTAAGCCGTAAAAACAGTCACAATGGCACACATTAGTGATAAGAGAACTCTGTTATGAAAAGTGGTTAGCCGGTAGTAGTAATTTATGATTTTTTGATTCCTTACACCGTAAAAATAGTGAGTCCATCCCACGGTTCCCTATCACTTGTCTGGCAGCTGTCATCACTGATTTCCATTGCCGAGCTGGGAATGTCCAAGATAAGGATCCTCTGCAACATCTGACTCACAAAAAGATTCATGTGAGCTGCCGAACATGAGGCAGGAAAGCAGGTTGCTGTCTTTAAAGTTATTGATTTAAGTGCACCACTTTCACTGGGGAGCAGTGCACCTGGGGAGGCCTTCAGAAAACAGTATTTAAGAAGTCGGCGAACTCAAATCCTAAGTGACGGATCTTCTTAACCCGCTGGAAATTATTAAGGATTTCCTCCTGCGGCTGCGTTGCGCTAACGAAAACGAGCCCGCACAGAAAAATAAAACCTGCTATGTTGACCATGGTTACTCAAACGGTATTGACGGCTTCTGTCCGGAACCTGATGATTTTATGCCGATTCTTATGCGAATACTATCAAGCGATAAGGGCCTGATTACAAAGGCGTCTGGTAGGTTCCCAGTCGTACAATGTCCATTTCTGAGAAGACGCCTGATAATCGGCAATCTTTTTCATTTGAAGTAGTCCCGGTGACTCCTTATTTATTAATTTACAGTCCTAATCATTGGTGAGCCACGATTTACTAAAAACTTCATCACAATGATATAGGGGATTTTTAATCACTTTTATAATGTGTTTTGGTAGACTTAAGGTAATGCTGCTTGTTTTGACCGCCTTAGCTTCGCGGAAAATTATTTAAATTGTTGATAAGATGTAGACTTTCACGTTGAATTTGAAACTGGGTTAATTCAAAGAAAAACTGTAATCGAGTTCCTTAAGTGTTTTCTGATAACTCGGTTCCAAATTATTATAATTTCTCAAATATATGTACAATTGTGTACTTTAAGGATTAGTTAATTGACTTTTTCAGATCAAAAAATACTAAAGGAGGCTTTTCTTTAAAATTGAAAAAGAAAAAGCTAGTTTAATATTAACTAGCTTTTTCTTTAAAGCCGTAAATAAATAGTCGGTGACGAATTCTACGGATAATAAATCAAATTAATCTAAAATATAAGCCACAGTCGAGAGTGTGAGATACCCAGTTACCTAAGTTGTATAAAAGCTTCTAGTATATTATAGGATTTTAATTAAATTATTAGCACATGTGTATACATCCGTTTAATTCTGTTTAATTTTTAGAGAACAGTTGCTTTTTCTTTTGGCCAGTGATATTTTTCAAGAATCTAATATCTTTATCTAATACCTTTACATATGTATATCTATTCTCCGTTCGCCATAAATTATAACAGTTCGCTTATGGTACCCAGTAAAAAAGGAAAAGCAAATATTAAATTAAATATTTAAAATTATATTCTTAAAGCTGCTTAAATAATATCTAGACACAAGTTAACAGTCAACTAATCGTCATTTTATTCTTGCTGTGGTGTAGTCTTTTTTCGTAACCTGAATAAACTGTCGAATCCTCCCAGAGGTGCTTCAATGATGAGGTAGAATACATAGGACAATATAACGGTGAAGCCAAAGTCCGACCAAAACTTGAGCATCTATTGAAAGCGGAATATAGTTAGTTATCCAAAACATGCACTGTCAGAAAATGATACTCACCGCAGAGTAGTCAGAGAAATATACACTCGTCCTGACGCTTTTGCTGGTTACCTCTACGACGAACATGTGCCAGATGTACACGGAGTAAGAGAGTCTGGAGAGGGGTTGCCACAGCGGCGAGGATAGAAAGCTGTTGGCCAACCCTCCGTATCCCTGCATGCAGGCGAAGACGATCCAGCAGAGAGCCAGTGGCCAAGCCAGTCTACTGAGGGTGTAGTACAGGGACTCCTCCACAGTGGACAGAGCTGGAGCGCTCCACCTGCTCGCTGGATAAAGGGCAAAGAGCGAGGCGGCCAGCATGGACAAACTGAGAAGCCAGCCCGTGATCACAGCCAGAGCATTCAGGCGGAACTTCTTTCCCCGGTTCACATGCAGGAAATAACCAAAAAGAAATCCAATGAGCCAGGGAGCAGCGTGCCTGTGGGTAGCCTGGTACAGCTTGTGACTGGCCAAATCATTTCCACTCGTATTCCTGCAGGGATGGATAACATAAATAAGAAATTCGAAAATTAAGTTGCCGACTTACTTGATCAGAAAGGAGAAGTGGTTTACCATCATGGTGGCCAAAAGGCAGCCCGACAGCAAGACTATGAGTACCCCTATGCCGGTCACAGCCTTCCATCCCCATTTCCAGAGAGCGAGGAGGAGGAACGGTGAGATTAAATACAACTGCATGTCCACAGCCAAGTAATGGAGAATGTAAATAGTAACAGAGACTTATTCAATTAACTTTGAACTTCAATAAAAACTCACAATATCCGTGGTGGCGTAGTTCTGGATAAACAGTAGGGTCCAATACCATCCCTTTTCACAGGCCTCTTTGCCGTGGTAGCCGTTGTAGAAGAGAGGTCCTCCAGAAACAAGGGGCATGAGCTTCATGTAGACGAGAATGGCGACAGCCAGGACGGGCAGGATTCGGATCAGGCGGTGCAGATACATCAGTGGCACGTTCAGTTTTCCCTTCCTATTGTTAAAAATCCCATATAATTATAAATAAATAAAAGCAACTATTAAATTTACGTGTGCACCATCAAACTCAAGGCAATCAGGGAAACCAACAATCCCCCGAGAAAGAAAAAGGAATCTACCGAGAATACACCATGTAGGACAACATTTGCAAAGGGTGTTTCAGCCCACTGAAAAAAAACCACCACGTTTTAATACAAATACTTATTTGGCATAATTCAAAAACCCTTACCGAAATTACTTGAAATAGGTTTATATTGGGCATGGGCATAAAATACAAATATACGTGGGAAAAGACGACCCAGATAATCGATAGGCACCGAATGCCATGCAAGCAATCGATAACTTTTGGGTTGGAATTCCTCTCCACAATACGAAAAAGGGCTCTTGAATTGGCCCTGGCCGAAAATGCCTTAACCAAGGCTGAAGATTCGGCTGCGGAAATACGTAAAAGTTAACTGTACAAATGTGTCTAGGGTATCCTTATTGATCCACGCACCTGCCTGGCTTCCTACAAAATAGTCGTAGATCGTGAATAATGCTACAAGAATAGCCATAGCCGACAAGACCACCCTGCAAAATAAACTATAAGTATCCTGAAACGGTTTAATATGTGACCAACTTACACTGTGAAAATTGTCAGTCCATCCCAGGCCTTGCTTTCGTTTGTCTGGCAAGTTGACTCGCTTATACTCAGACTGGAAGAAATATTAAAGCTGAAGCTGTGCAGGGCTTGTTCCAAATACTCTTCCGCCTGAGCGGCTGAGCACGAGGCTGGAAAGCAAGTTCCTATATTGACGGGCCTAGTCTTCAGAGCAGCAATGCCAAGTATTTCCCCGAGGGACACACTGAGAAGGCAATACTTTCCCCTGATATACGAGCTGTTGAACTGCGTGCTGATGCTCAGGCACTCATCAAAGTTTCCCAGGCTGTAAAAGTTACCGTAATATAGACCCGACGGTTTGGAGCCCCAAGCATCGACCACTAAGAAAATATTATTAGTTTAATTCTTAAAAGAATATTAATAGGACTTACTTACTTTTAAGTGCCCAAAAATCTTTATTCTTCAGGGCTTCAAGCCAGCGGGTCAAGTCTGCAAAGCACGCGACTTCCTTCAGGCCCCAGGCCTTATCCTCGATTTTGGCTATGCTGACATTGGCAAGCTCTACTCCGACCGGCCGTAGTTCCCTTAATCGTTGGGGTAGCATCAAGAGATCTATGAAGTCTGGCCTCGAGGCCTCGATCAATCCAGATGATCCGATGATGCCCAACCAGCAGATCGCAAAAACGGTGGCAACTTTAACCATGCTCGTCAACAATCAGAATACCACTTGTGGCCACCTGCTCTTGGCTTTATATGGCAATCTCGTGTCTTGTAATCGCGGATAAGAGCTACATAGATGCGATAAGCCCTGGGCTAGTTTTGCCACCTGATTAGGTGTACTAGCAGGAGACGTATAGAAGGGAAATTTTACCTTTCACGTATGCCGACTTCCCCGATAGTGAGCAATCAGCGGTATGGTCGTCGGGAACAAGTGACCGTGCTATCAGGACCGAGGTAATCGGAATGTTTGTTGATTTTACTATCAGGCTCCCAGAAATCGGCCTTCTGCGAAATGGTGAATGAACCCGATATAGCAAAAATAGAGAGATATGTTTGACTAAAAGCCGGTAGCTCCTTATTTTTGGATTTCCAAATTTTTATTTAATAAGACAAGTATTTTTTTCGGTTTGAATACGAGATAAATGCATATATACAAATTTATCATTCATATAATAAAATAAAAGGTTAGTCAGACAAAGTTATGGGCTTGTTTTCAGTCTCATTGGGACCTCCCGGCGCATTGCCATGATCTGAAATTAGCTGGGGCCTTTCAACTGCTGGTGAGATCCTGCGAGGCCGAAGTAGGCTGTCAAATCCGCACAGAGGGGCCTCAATTAAAATGTACAAAAGAAAAGACATCAGCACAGTAAAGCCCAAGTCGAACCAAAAGTGTTCCATCTGCAAGAAGTAGATCAATTTAAATTGAAGCCAAGCTGTGAAATACAAATTAAATTTACCGCAGTGTAGTTCGAGAAATAAGAGTTCGTCCTGACATTCCTGCTGTTCACCTCCTGGATGAACATGTGCCAGATGTACATTGAGTAGGAGAGCCTGGAGAGAGGCTGCCACATGGGCGAGGAGAGGAAACTGTTGGCCAGTCCACCGTATCCTTGCATGCAGGCGAAGATGATCCAGCAGATGGCCAGGGGCCAGGCCAAGCGGGTGAGGGTATAGTACAGGGACTCCTCGAGGATGGACAGAGGAGGAGCACTCCATTGGGCCGCCGGATAGAGGGCAAAGATTGAGGTGAAGATCATAGCCAGGCTTAGCAACCATCCTGTCCACACTATTGGCCTTCTTATCAGGAACTTTATGCCTCGATTTACATGAAGGAAGTAACCGAACAGAAATCCAATCAGCCAGGGAGCAGCATGCCTGTGCGTGGCCAAGTACAGTTTCTTATTGGCAATTTCAGTAACTTCTGAGTTATTTCTAAACAATTAAAATGTTATTAGGTAATTGTAACATCGTATACTTGGGAGCTACTTACTTAATGAGTAGTGAGTACTTGTTGATCATCTGTGTGGCAAACAGGCAGCCCGAGAGCAGGACTATTAGGCATACAATTCCAGCAACAGCTTTGTTTTTCCACTTGTAAAGGGCTATTAGCAGAAGCGGAGATATGATGTACAGCTGCATATCCACCGCCAAGTACCAAGTGTGATCCAGACACTGACAGAATAGGAAGTAATCGTATTAGTTAAACTTAATCCACTTTAATGGAGTATCTCTGATTAATTAACTAGTTTTTCCGATAACGCTATCTGAAAGTTATCCCTTTAAAATCATTTGTTTACCCATTACCATGTCGGTAGCAATGCAATTGGTTATACAGATTACGAAATATGTAGTCACAATTACTCACAATGTCCAAGACTGCGTAGTTCTGAATGAAGAGTAAGGTCCAATACCACCCATTCGAGCAAGCCACCTTCCCGTGATATCCGTGTTTGAGCATTGGTCCACCGCTGACCACGTTCATCATCGTCATGTAGACGAGAATGGCGATGGCCACGACTGGCAGGATGCGGATAATGCGGTGCAGATACATCAGCAGCGGGTTTAGTCTTCCCTTTGTTCTGTTAATAGTTTGGGTTTAAAATTAAGCACTGACTGCATTTGATATACAGACTTCTCCATAGCACGTAGAGCAATCATGGAAACGAGTAGGCCACCAAGGACGAAAAAGGAGTCCACCGAAAAGTAGCCGTGCAGAATAAAGCTGGAAAACGGTTGAACGGCCCACTGTAAGTATAATAGGATTTTAGTCAATTCTTGATTCCGAGGTTCATCATCTTTCCTACATCCTGCATATCCGCGCTGTTCAGGTTGGGTGATGTTGTAAAGAATATGTACTCATGGGCATAAATTACCCAGAGGAGTGACATGCAGCGGATACCATGGAAGCACTCGATTACATTTGGGTTCGTTTTGTTGGGCACAATTCGGAAAAGAGCTCTGGAGTTGGCCCGAGCTGAAAGAGCTCTTATCACGGCAGGAAGATTTTCTAGAATAAAAGCATTTAGCTTATATATATCTGGATCTAAAGCATTCTAACTAAGAACTCACTCTGATCATGGCACATAATAAAGTCAAACAGTGTGAACGATATCACTACGCATGCCATCAAAGATAACACCACTCTGTAATGATAAAAATCATTATAATCGAATCACATATCGACTGTAATTACACTGACATTGTGAAAATGGTCAGACCATCCCAAGGTACGAGATCACTTGTCTGGCAGCTGGCTTCACTGATTTTCCCACTTATGCTGGAGTTGCTAGAGTTGATTATTTTGTGAAAAAGTTGGTCCACAAAGGGCTGCATTTGCATGGCTGAACAAGAAGCCGGAAAGCAAGTAGCAATTCTTAAATTGCTTACAAGGAGAAAACAATATTTTCCATTTATTTCCTGCTTGCTGCTAATGGACTGACTAATTGATAGACACTCGTCGAAGTTGCCCAAGTCGAAGGCATTACCAGTTAGAAGTCCAGTGGGAATTGATCCCCACGAATCGATCACTTATAGATAAAAATAACAAAATGTTGGCTCACATTGTATTAACTTGGCTGGACTTACTCTTCAGTGCCCAACGTTGCCTGCTGGAGAGACCTTTTATAACTTCTGCCAAATCCTGGATGCATACGATATCCTCCTGTCTGGGCGCTTGGAAATCCAACACACCCAAGCTTTGCAGAGTGACATTTCTAAAATATTTCGTAAATTCCACTCCCAAGGCTTCAATTTGTTGCAAAATCTCGTATTGCTGCAACACTGCAGGGTCCTTCGACTGCGCGGCACCGATGACAACGAGCCCCGCGAACAATAAAATACTAACAACGTTGGGCATTCTTATTCGCTTTCGATTGATAGCTTTTAGCCAGGTGCCCGTGATTTTATATGGCCATGCGCAATCTGATGATAAGCGCTATCTACAATTATGACAATTGACAACCGATTAGCAAAACCGTATTACCGGGGAAATAGCATTTATACTTAACGCATGCGTATTTAAAACACCGACTGTTTTCGATCACTCAACTTTCCGGACAGCCGGAAATATCAGAAATGTAAGGCCTTTTGGGTCTGTGAAACTAACTCTTCATTATGATTCATATTTATATATTTTACGATTAAGATTTATTCAGTTCATACCACAAATAAATAAAAGAAAATTCCACCATCAATATTATACACAATCATACACATAGAAACAGCAAGTCGGCACTAGGCTGGCGTCGGCTTGTCTGGATTTACGTTGTTATCAGTCTGATTCATGGGAGCCGCAGCTGAAGTCAAGGGCTTTGGATTTCCTCTGGGTCTCCAAAGGGCATCAAGACCTCCGATCGGTGCCTCGATGATGAGATATAAAAAGTAAGACATCACCAGACTGATGCCGAAGTCCGACCAGAAGTTGAGCATCTGCAATGAGTCAGTAAATAAAGATAAATAAAGTGAAAAAAATACTATGTCGTTATTACTCACCACTTTGTAGGTCGAGAAGTAGGTGCTGGTTCTCACATTTCTGCTGTTCACTTCCTGGACAAACATGTGCCAGATGAAGATGGAGTAGGAGAGCCTGGAGAGAGGTTGCCACAACGGCGAGGAGAGCAAGCTGTTCGCCAAGCTGCCGTATCCTTGCATACAGGCTAAGACGATCCAACAGAGGGCCAGTGGCCAGCCCACCCGGGTGAGGGTATAGTACAGGGACTCCTCCACAGTGGACAGAGCAGGAGCACTCCACTTTCCCGCCGGATAGAGGGCGAATATCGAAGTGAAGATCATGGACAGGCTGAGGACCCAACCAGACCACACAACTAGTCTATTAAGCTCGAATTCCTTTCCCCGATTCAGGTGCAGAAAGTAGCCGAAAAGGAACCCAATTAGCCAGGGAGCAGCATGTGTATGGGTGGCCAGGTACAGCTTCGCATTGGCCTCGCTATCTGCCCCGCCCTTACTAAAAAATAAGAACTGCATAAAGTGGATGCAAACCATGGCAACAAAGAGACACCTACTTGCGCATCATGGAGTAGTGGTTGACCATCTGCGTGGCAAACAGACAACCAGAGAGCAGAACGATTAGCACCAATATGCCAGCCGCCGCCTTCTTGCCCCATTTGTAGAGGGCGATCAGCAGGAGCGGGGAGATGATGTAGAGCTGCATGTCCACTGCCAGATACCAGGACTGATCCAGACACTAAAATGGAACCGAGTTAAAAACTAAGGAAAAGGAATTCTCCAATGAGCACTTACCACATTCTCCGTGGCATAATTCTGGACAAAGAGCAAGTCCCAGTACCAACCATTCTCACAAGCCTCTTTGCCATGAAAACCACTCTTAAACAGTGGTCCTCCACTCACTATTGGCATCATCTTCATGTAGACCAGAATGGCCATGGCCAGGACGGGAAGGATTCGAATAATGCGATGCACATACATCATCGGAACATTTAGTTTTCCCTTGGTTCTGAAAAAGGAAAAATTGATCACATTACTAGTTTAAATTAAGGAAATTGTATATTAAAACTCACTTTTCCATAGTCCGCAGGGCTGTCATGGATACTAGTAGGCCGCCAATAAATAGGAACGAATCTACTGAGAAATATCCATGCAAAAAAAAGCTGGCAAATGGTTTCTCCAGCCACTGTAATACAGATCAATAATATATTCTAGTAATTTATTTGGCTTTGGGAAATGCTTACCGAAATTGCATGGGTAAAGTTTATGTTCGGTGAAATCAGGGAGTACATGTGCTCATGGAGGTAAACCACCCAGATGAGGGACAGGCAGCGAATGCCATTCAGACAGGAGATCACATTTGGGTTGGAGCTGTCATCCACCACGCGGAAAAGAGCTCGAGAATTGGCCCTGGCCGATATAATCTTCACCAAAGCTGGAAGTTGCTCTAAAGAGGATAGGATTTAGGAATTATTTAAACAAAAAATGTCCTTTAAATTACTCACTTTGATTTGGACACAGAAAGTAGTCGTAGAGAGTGCACAAAGCCACTATGAAAGTTAGCAGCGACAGAATAACACTGCAATAAAATACATCAGTTCGAGGTATCCACCTTTGATTAATCTTTGCTTACACTGTAAAAATAGTAAGCCAGTCCCAGGGCTCAGATTCGCTCGTCTGGCAACCGTCTTCATCGATACTGATATTCAAGCTACTGTCGCTGGAGTTGAAAATATTTTGGTACATCTGCCCTACAAACATCTCCATTTGGGTGGCCGAGCAGGAGGCCGGAAAACAGGTGGCAATTTTGACCTGCATGGTCTCCAAAGATTCGATTCCAGTATCCACGACATCCTTGAGGGGCACGGCCAAGAAGCAGTATTTTCCCTGGATGGTTTGACTGCTGCTAATCACCTGATGGATTCTAAGACACTCGTCAAAGTTTCCCAGATCGTAGAATGTTCCAGTGAGCAGACCCGAGGGAAAGGATCCCCAAGAATCGATCACTGCGAATTAACAAAGTAAGTTCGCTATGATTAGCATTTAAAATTACTGCAGGACCTTATGTTTGACTTACTTTTTAGTGCCCAGAAGCTTCCAGCTTTCAAGCCCTCCACAACTTTGTCCATGTCTGCCAGGCATTTCCCATCATCTGTTCTTCCAGTTCGTCCTTCCATTATATCCAAATCCAATAAATTGGAAGCCGGAGTCTTCAGGAACTTGAAGTGCTGATGAGTCTCAGCGTCCTTTGGCTGTGAGGCACTAATTATTGCAAGCCCGCAAATCAGCACAATGGCAATACCCTTGACCATGTTGGTTGGATTCCGTTTAATTAACTTGGCCAGTTGGGAAATGCTTTTATACGACGATCCCCCTTGCTGGTAATCTAGCGATAGGCGCTATCAGCGGGTATCCCAACAGGTATTGCCGTATGGAAAAACCCCTTGGGGGGAGCAAAAACTCATGGGAACATCCCTGATAATGCACGAGCATGTGGTGGATGGCTATTTTAAGTACAGACAGACTCGTTTTGGATTTCCCTGGTTGGTGGTAAGAATAATAAAAATATTTTTGATTTGCAAAGCTTAAACGGAGTGAATTATTTATTTCTTTAAGGTTCTAAAAAAATCCCCACACAAATATTTCTACAGTATTAGTTTAAAATATTTTTTGGAGGAGTAGCTTACGATTCCTTTGCGGAACTTCAATCGAAATTTCAACCTACTTATTAGCCAAGGACATCGCACTTTCTCCACTCAGTCGTGCCTTCCTTTCTTTTTGTTCGCAGCTTGAGCCCGACGTAAACCTATTAAATATTTTTTCTCAATAATTTTCAAGGCATTAGCTCATCATCAATTTGCTGCTTTATGAAATTGGCAGCAATCACGTTATGCTCGCCCAGCCACGCCCCCAAAGCACACACACAAACAGTGGGTAAAAGAGGAAGCCAAGCACACACACACACACACACACTGGGGGTGTACACAAACACACCCACCTATACTTAAGCACATTTGCTTAATTTTCGAAATGAGTTCGCATGACTTACAGCACCTCCCCAGGACCCCGAACCGAACCAGCCATCTAAGAACCCAACCCCGCATCTATCATCCTGTATCCTTTATAGCTGACTCTTCTTTCGCCTTTGACGCTGGTCTGAGTCATTCGTTTGCTTTCTCGTTGATTAAATACGGAAATTGTTTGACTTTAGTTAGGCGCATGCAATTAATTAAATTAGAGCACCCGAAAAACCATCAAACGACAGAGTCCTTTCGTTCAATGGAAAAAAGAGTTCAAAGTGCGAGCCATGGAGATGCTCGGGTTGGATTTCAAGGCGGTTATTGAAATTGAATTATCATTTTGTTTCGTTTTTCGGGGGCTGGACTCTATGCAAATTTCCATTTATACAGAGCCCCGAACCGAATCCCGGCCAGCTCCTTGGGCCGGGGTTTACGACTTTATTTCATGACAGATTGTCATTTCAGCTGGCGGTGGGAAAGTGTAACACGCCAATGCCGATCCCCGTCCCGTCGGCATAATGAGGCAATGGCGTTTTTCCATCATATTTTATTGGGCCAAGGAGCTGCGCTATTCATCATGTATCCGTGCATACGGAACGCCGTTCGCCCGTTGGCCAACTTATCCAATCCTGGCAGAAGAGGAGCAAAGCGGCGCGGCGGAGGCGGCGGCGGCACGTGCCATAAAGCGGCGTGGCCAATAAAGTCGGTCGGTGCCGTTTGGGGCGATAATAAACATGCTAATGCCCATTAAGAGGCGAGTTTGAATTGAAAATCCCCTGAAATTAATACGAGCGTCGACGCAACGTGGCTTTTGTTAATTGAACATGTCGACCGTGTAAATGCATAATTAAATTACTTCAACTTTAACTAAATCGCACACACTGGCTGACTGCGAGAAAGGTGCGCTTAAATACTTCATTAGGGCCAATTCATTTGTTTAAATGGCTGGGAAAAGAGCGTGTGCCACATAATTGAATGCACTACATGCTGCACATCTGTCCGCCATTCTGTCGGTCCATGTAATTACGGTAATTGGCTTCAAATGCTATTAAATATTTGTATAACAGAAAGGGCATGTAATTATGTCAAGAGCCCCACTAAACATAGTTTAAATATTATACAAAATGCATAAACAAAAAGTGGGCATTTGTTTTAACTTAACAGCGAACAGGTAAGAGGATGGCTTTTAAGTAGCGTGAACAATAAATACTAATTGAGGATTTTGCAGTTTTACGCTTCGTGTGCCTTTTCTATAAGCTGTTCCATTTAAGCCTTGCCAAGGTTTTATTTATTAACAACAATTATTGAAAAGAAGTTCTCAAATAAGAGATTATTGGCTTAGGCTTAAAAATCATTACTTAAAATAAAAGCTATAAACATCTGTGCACAAATATTCTTTAAAGAATTCAAATATTTTAATTTTTCTAAAATATTAAATTTAGTATGCATAAAAAATTATAAAAAAGCTTTTCGAATTGAAATTAATATTTTCTTTTTGATCGATTTTTGAATCAATGCCGTAAACCTATGGCTTCCATTCTTGTTAGTTTTTGAACTAACCAACCAATTCAAAGACCTTTTTAGCTCTTGTTATAAAAAACATAAAAATCAATTAAAAAAATAAAAAACAACAATAAAATAAAAAACAAAAAAAGCTTTGTCAGAAGTGGGATTCGAACCCACGCCCTCAGAGAGGACCAGAACGCTCGCACACCGCCCTTCTGAGAAGGGCAAGACAGTTCGCCTTGAGTCTGGCGCCTTAGACCGCTCGGCCATCCTGACACGTTGCGAGCGGATGCGCCAGAGCGCACCCATAAGCTGCCGGGTGGAAAAGGGGAGTAACTAGCTCCCGGGGCCTGGTTATTAACTCCTGCTGCGATGACTACGGCGATGATGACGATGATGGTGATGATGATGGAGCGACGGGCCAGAAAGCAATACACCGCAAACACACATTTTCACACCCAGGCAGCGTCGCATGTCTGCCAGCTATTTATAGATTGCCCCCTCTCTCGCAAAGCTCGCGTGTGTGCTTTCCGGTGGAGAGAGCCGAGTAGAGTGGAGAGTGTGGAGTAGAGAGTGGAAAGTGGCTCTTTAATGGGCACATTGCATACTTTCGGGCACAAGTTGAATTCATTGTTGTGCCAGTGCAGGCGAGCCAGGCCCAAACCAGCCGAGAGAGTTGATCAAAACCCCCGCATTCCCAACCGTAATTACTTGCCATTTGGGCAGATGACTCTCGATATACGTTAATCCCGGCCAGCAGCCCAGAATCAGGGCAGACAAAGAGCAACTTTGGGCAAGTCAATTCAATTTCAATTTATCAAATGCTTCAGCAATTTCTCTAATTGAATTTCGTTTCATTTGGCGGAGCATAATTTATAAAATATAACATTTCAATGCCCCCAATCCCGTCTCTTATTGATGCCATTCACTCAGCCCGAAAAGGAGACGACCGGCTCTCTAAGCCATTGTACGTACGGACCGAGGAGCCCACAGTCCGAAGTCCGGAGTTCAGTCCGGCCGTAACGTAATCATTCTGAGCGCATTCCGCATTTCGCCGGCAATAAGTTTGCTTATAAATCACAAACGTCCGACGGCCGGCGAGCAAGGAGCATCCTCCTCCAGGCTTTTAAATCGATGAGCACATCGCTGGATTGACAATAATTTTTTAAAAATAATTTTATTATTTCATTCAGCCGAGCACTCATGCAGACACACAAGGGAAAACTTGGCAGGCAGAGCAGTAGCGGCAGTAGGAATGGAAGGAGTCGGGCTTGGGGGACGGGAATTGGAAGTTGGGGGCCAGGCGGATGTCCATCAGCTTCAGTGGAGCGCTGACCGGTCATGCCTGAATGTAAACGCAGCTCGGAACCACTCAAGGGGCAATAATACAAATTTGAGCTCTTCCTTCGCTCCCTCTATATCTTTAATTAAACGCGACAAAAAGCGAAATCTAGTTGTGTTTGTCTCTGCAGTCATATTCAAACGAATCTAGGTCTTATGCCTAGGCCCTGGGCCAGCGCTTGTCATACTGCCCGATGACGTACTCCAGCTTCCTGATGGCCAGCTCCACCTGCTGGTCATCCACCTGGTGGTAGAGCACAAGGCGGGCAAAGGCCCAGTCCCGGGCACTGGCCTTCACCACAATTCCCGATCCGTATGCGTCCGTCAAGCCAGTCTCAAGTTCTTCGGGCTCCACAGTGCCCAAGCGGGTGGAGAACTCACTGGCTGTTAGGTTTGGCTGAGTGATCTCCACCAGGAGAATGTTGCTCTGCACAGTTTCCAGATCCACAGTGACGTTGGGGCTCTGCAGTGCGTGAATAGCTGGGGAGAAATTCTACAGTAATAATTTGGGCTGGAAAAAGGAGAGCTACTTGCCTTTGGCGATTTTCTTGGTCCGCTCATGATCCTTGCCAAGCAGCGGAACCACCTCCTCCAGAGCCACTAGTCCGGCGGCGGCAAGAATGCCCACCTGGCGCATGCCACCGCCCAAGGCCTTCCTCAGTCGTCGGGCTCTTAAATATTTAAGATAACATTATTTCGATGTCTCAATCATTTTCAACATAAAAAAAAAAAAAAACAGCACTCATCCTGCCAGGTTCTGAAGGAAACTCACTCCGCAATGAAGTCCTTGCCGCCCACTAGCACGGAGCCCACTGGGGCCGATAAGCTCTTGCTGAGGCAAATGGACACGGAGTCGAAGTCGCGGCAGATACGCTCCACGCCCACGCCCAAGGAGGCGGCGGCGTTGAAGACCCGAGCTCCGTCCATGTGCAAGGCAATGCGGGCAGAACCGGTGCCCACGCCTGGCTGGCGAACCAGGGCCGCCAGCTCGTCCAGGAAGGTAAGGGGCACCACCTTGCCGCCGCAGATGTTATGGGTGTTCTCCACCACCACCAGCGAAGTGATGGGCTCGTGGTAGTCATCGTGCCGAATTCGGCGGCGCAGCTCCTGCAGGCTGAAGGTGCCGTCCTGCTCGTTCTTCAGCGTGGCTAATTGGACGCCGGCCAGGTGCGAGGCGCCACCTAAATGTGATTAATGGAGACGTTCCGCAGTCATTGGGTGTGTGTATATAGTATGTGGGCTGCTGCTTCTGTGGTTTGGCGTTCTCACCTTGTTCGTACAGAAAGATGTGCGATAAATCGCCGACCAGGGCCTCCGTGCCGCGACGATGGCAATGAACCATAACTGTAGGGATTAGCAAAGGAAGCACTTGATTATTCACTTGGCCTCCTCCGAAGGATAATCAAGAACTCAACCGCAGACAATTTTCAGTAAATAAGTTAAATAAGTTGTAAATCTTAATTTTTTATCACAAAAGGATGTAATAATTTTAGTTTAAAATATCCGCTCAGTTTCCGGGTACTCTTGATAATCATTCCCAAAAGTTTCTATTAAACGCTCAAAGATTTACCACCTGGCAGACTTAATTGCTTTTTGATTAACTTTAAGTACGTACTTCAATTTTTCGAGATAATTTGTGACTAGCAAATACAAAATCATCCTAATTATGAATTATAAATCTTCCCGAAAGGCAAAAAATATGATAAAGAATTATGATAATAAATACATCTAAATTATAAAAAAATCAAAGAGCTATGCACTTCTTATGCATATATTCCTTAATAATCAACTCAAAGCTCAAAAAAGAAAAGCATATTTATTTCACCTTTTATCGCCGCATACCTAATGAGCGACCCTCGTGAAAAATTAGCACAGTCATAAGTTTGAGTGCATTTTCCTTTCGGCTGAAATGCAAACTTCAGATTCCATTAGAAATATTAATTTGAGGGAATGCATAAATTACTCGAGATTGCGTTGCCCGTAGCTGCTGCTGCTCCTTGGGCGTTCGTCCTTTGGCTCCTCAGTTCCTCGGCTGCGCAGTTCCTCAATTCCGGCGCTCCTTGCTCGACATTGTATATAGTATGCCCCCCAACCTAACGGTGGCACACGTCCACGTCTAATATTAAAGTCTATAAAAATTAATGTTATGTTTATGGCCACCCTTAGCCTTTACGATAATGTACCTGATGCATGATATGAGCCCAGCTTTCTTGTTTCTTTCGCCATTCTGTTGGCTCACCTTGCCCTTTGTAATCTGAGACTGGCCTCACTTTAAACTAATAAACATAAGCGATTCCCCACTACGGAAATCAACTGGCGGAGACCGAAAATGAGCTGCCCGGAGCCGGGTTTATTTACGACCCAGTGCCTGCGCCTGTGCCCTGTCTTGCCACTCACTTGCCAGTAGATTTCCCATGGTGCCGCTGGGCACAAAGAGGCCCGCCTCCTTGCCGAAAATGGCCGCTGTCCGCGCCTCCAGTTCATTCACGGTGGGATCCTCGCCATAGACGTCATCCCCAACTTCGGCGGAGGCCATCCGTGCCCGCATCTGGGCCGTGGGCTGGCTGACGGTGTCCGAGCGCAGGTCAACAACGGCGACGGTGGGGGCCATTTCTGCGAGGGAAGTTGATTAGCTCGGTTATTTGCATAAGGTGTGGGCCACATCCACTTCTTTATGGCCAGCTCCAAAATGGATTTGTACACTCATTTACATCGACACGTCAGTTGCACTGCCTTCAATTAGACACAAAAAATTGATATGGGGAATGCGATAGGCGGTTGGGGATCCAATGCCATTCAAAACAATCTCAATGGGCGGAGTGTGTCTACTCGAGACATTGGAATGCGGCATGTTTTGCGGTTGCATAATCATCCTATTATTAACACTTGACCTCTGACTGAACATGTACATATATTCAGTGTCTTTTTTATAGTCTTAATTCAATTTGCCAAAAATAAAAAGCAATTTAAATAAATGCCCATCAATAACAACACTCACTTTAGCAATTAACAGATAAAGCAGAGAGCGACTATGGAACAACGTGCTCGGACCAGAGCTATCAGAAAACTGACCCCAACAGCTGCTGCTGCCGCCGGAATTAGCTCCGATATTTTACGAGAGAGGAGCCTCCAGCAGTGCTAAATTTGAGCAGAAAAGCTGATAATACTGTTCCCCATTGGACAGCGATCGAACTTATTCATTGGAAGAGCCAGAAGCACTCACGCCGCGCTCTCTGAAGCTCTGTATACACTTTATGTTGGATGAGAACAGTTTGATAAGGCACTCTTTAAAATGTTATATGTTAATTAGAAATATTTATTTATTTATTATTAGTTAATTCGGTCTTCTTAGTAATTTAAAGAAATAATTTTTTTACAGTATAAGATCTAAAGGGAAAAATCTTTAACATATTTGCAATATAATTCTTACTCACCCAATGATTTTCATTTGAAATTTCCACATCAAATTAGATTCAATTCAAACAACTTGACATTTTCTTTGGTACGTTTTTTATTAATTACATCAGAAATTTTCACTAAAATTTTACTAATCCTAACACAATTTAGTTGTTGTTTCCTTACTCGTTTTACCTGTCTCTTCTTGGCCAATTAACAAATTCGGCAGACGACGTCTGCTCGCTCTTTAGCAACCATTCTAGGTACAATTGAAAAACGTTACAATAATAAAAACAAATGTAACTTAACTATGTACGCAATAATATTAATCATTAGACTTTTAACAGTAGTTCTCTTAGTTCTTTTGTTTTGTTTCCCACGTGGTGAAGTACATGATTCTCGCTGGAACTGATTGGACTAACTAATAAGACGATCCGACGGACACGTCGCAATGCGCCCCCGGAATCGGATAAAGCTACGCCTGATATCGATCATAAAGTTAGGTTGACTTACAAACTAAACTTGCAACAACTTTTCTTGAGAAGAGGGGCTCGGGTCTGTGGGGGGACTGGACTGGAGGGGCACTTTGCATACGAGGAAAAACGTACGCTCATAAAAGTTGTAAAATGTATGAAAAAAATTATAAATAAATATTTAGAAAATAGTTTGAATTTTTCAGTAGTTTTCATTTCAGTTTTAGTTCTTCTTGTTAGTGTTTTTTATAGTCTTTTGAAGAAGTTTCCTTCTGGCGCACGCCGGCAACATGTTAAGATTTCCTTCCTTCCTGGGTTGTTTGCACAATGTGTCCTTGTTTATGTTTGGCACCCACTGTATAAGATAGTACTAAGTGTGATTGGGGTGTGCGATTGCGTGGGAGGTACTCTATTTTCATTGCCAATCAAGACCAGAAGGGGACATTCTGCCCAGCAAAACTAGGTGAAAGTATAAACATTAGAGTGAATTCATTTCCGTTCTTGGCTCTCGGCTGATTTGCTGGCTTCCCTTTGTTTTTGTTTTTGGTATGTGCAGACAGAGCGACAGGGAATTGTTTCACTTAGGACGTTGACCTTTTTCAAAGATCGATTGCCACAAACATTAACGCTAATTGTATTGTTTTGTTTTGCTTCAACACACAGGACACGCGACTAACAGCTAGGGGTTTAAGCTAATGCTCTAGGATGATTTGTTGTTCCACTCTCGCCGCCGCTCCTCATTGCTACGAGGAGAGGTCCGTCTCGGACGCATCGACGTCGCCCGGTGGATTTCGCTTGATGCAATCCCGTATGCTTTGCAGGATTATGCCGGTCCGCCGGTCGAGGGCATCCAAGTGAGGCTGCCACAGCACCGGACTGACGGGATCCTGACTCAACGACTCGCTCAACAGCTGCGAAAGCGTCTTGGGGCCGTTGTGAAACCTGGCGGTGGACAGAGTTGAAGAAGTTCGGGGATTAAGTATTAAAATTTTTCTTGTTAGTTTCTTGTATTTCTAAAATATTTTGGTTTTGTAATCATATACTCACTCCAGCAGCTTAACGAGCGTCGACTTGCGTATGAGGCAGCATTGCAGTACGGGCGCCAGGATGGAGAGCTCATCGTGGTAGGGACGCCCAAAGCCACGACCATGGTCCAAATGCAGGGGAAACGTCTCGTTGCCGTAGACCCTGTAAAGCAAACGAAAGCCGTCCCAAATTAGAGTGAATGCTGCAATCAGCCGGTGCCTCTTTTCCCCAGGCGCCAAAAGAAGGCATAATTGCCAGGCCGAGTGGGTGAATATTCGAGGGAAGAGAGGGCAGAATCAAGAGCCAGGGCAGATGAAGGTGTGAGCCAAGTGCCGGCGATGACATCGCCGTAAGCCCAACAAACACTTTTGCATAACAAACAATTTAGCAGCCAGCCAGCCGGGCCAAGTTGGCGAACGAGGAGGTTGGCTCGAAAGCCAAATCCAAAGCCCGGACCCCCGGCATCGATGATGTGGGGCTATGCAGTGCGGCAGTGTCGGCTGAGGCTTACGACGGCTGAGATGTTTCGCAACCTTTCGCAGGCGGGCTGGAAATATCTTTCCAGCTGCTGCATTTGCATCTGGTCCTGGGTCTCGGCCCAAATCTGAAACGGCGGCTGCTTGGCATGCAGGTACTGGCATATCCCTGGCAAATGCAGGCGCTTAGGCGCACACGGGGCGCATACGTAACGTAAGGCAGCGCAACGTGCCGGCGGCGGCAGGAAGCCAACAAAGCCATGTGTGCGGAAATAAACCGATCGCATTAGTTGCCCTGCCAAGGACATGGAGCCACCCAGGTGCACACATCCGGCTCAGCCCGACCAATACTCACTTGAATGTCTCGTAATGATGACGATCCATGTTGCCAGTAAGAAAATCAAACACGGCCATGTCCATGAGGTCGTAGAGCCGCCTGCCCTCGTCGTAGGGCGGAATGTCCCGGACCTAAGTGGATATTGCAATGAGAGGGGATGAGAGAAGGAAAGAGGGAAGGAAGGAAAATCAAATGCAAAATTAAGCTGCAGTTTCTCGGCCAGCGCTGTCTTAATTAAGTCTGCCAAAGCTCCAGTTACAGCTGCCCATCCTCCTCCTCCGCTCCCAGCGACCACAATAAAAACATTTGCATTTCAATCGAGTTTAAATGCAAATTAAATAAAAGAAACCGCAGTGAAGGGAGCTGGAGGTGGACCCAGAGCTGGAGCTGGTGGAAGCGTAGGGCCAAAGGTCTTGGAATACATACCAGGGCACAATAATTGGCATCTGTCTCCCACTGGGCCTTCTTCCTTTTGTGGTAGGAGCGTCGCCAGGGATGCCGCCACAGCTGTTTGGGAGAAAATAAAGAGCAGAGGGTTGGCGGAAATCAATTCCCATTTCTGGAGGCAAACAGCAAACGGAACGGAATACGGGAATGCGGCTAACTGAATTCCCCGAGAAAGCCTTCCTAGGCCAGGCAAGGCCTGTCTTAGCGGCTGCCCTTCGAAGGCACTCGGGTAAAATGTATAAGAATATTAATTTTGCTTTATGGCTGCTTCTCTCGCGAATTCTTCCAACTGCAGGCGAAATTAATTTTGCTTAAATTAAATTATTTGCCCGGCGCACTGGCCAAGGCAGGCAATAAAAGTTTCGCCCAACTTTCGCCCCGCTTCACTTGCGGCCACCGCAACTTACCTTTCGTCCCTGAGTTTTTGGGGCGCAAAGGTGGTTCGAGGGTCGAGGTTGGAGGTTGGAGGTTCGCGGTTAGCGGTTCGCGGTTTCAGTTCGGGTTCGGGGGTCAACAATAGCGACAACAACAAGAACGGTAACAGAAACAGGAACAGCAGCGGGGGCGGGCGTAGCAACAAAAAGAATATATATGAAATATATAAAAGAATTAAAAATAAGGGGTACTGGGGTGGGTTCAGGCGTTACACAAAAATGCATAATAAAAGCTCGGCGCGTTGGGCGTTTTATGCTGAGCGGGAGGCTCCAAAGGGGAGGCTCTCTCCAACGGAGGGTGTAATGACCGGAAGCAGGGGCTATTCGCGCAGGCAGAGGGCAAGGCAAAGCACACACAAACATACAGAACGAGCGGAAAAATGCAAACTGAGGGAAAAGCAACAAACTACAAAAAAATAAAGGAAGCAAACATAAAGCAGAAAACTCAGGTAAGTTGGCGTTGGCATGGCGACCCGACCACCACCCCCTCTGAGCTGCCCTTTTCCCCTTAGCATAGTCGCCGAAAAAAAACACGAAAAACAAAAAATGCATAAATCAAGCAAAATTAAATTTTATAAGACCAGCGGGAAAAATGGCAAAGAAGCGAAAAAGATAGAATGTGAGGCAAGCAATTTGCAATTTTTGTTAGCTTCGCGTTAAATGCATTTGATAAATTCGCAGAGCCCGAGATACTGTCAAGCGATGAAAGTGCTTTAAGATTATATGACATCCATGCCTACAGCAGAGACTATAGATTATTCCACCTGCTTATTTATTAACTTGGCCCTCAAAGCAATTATCGCTTTTGAATGCCAAATGGAATCAATACTAATGACATCACATCAAATATGTGGCTTAGGTTAAAATGATTTTGTTATTATGACGTCATGGTTCTTAGTAAATTTTGTTATTTGGTTAAACAATATCAGAATGTAATGATTAAGATTACAATTTTAAGACGGCATTTAAAATCAAGTTAAATTAATTAAATTGTTACTCGGCTTAAAAGTATGCAGTAAAATGTTTTTTTTAAGCATTAAATGGCTCTTAATGAATAAAATATGTGTTCACGTGATTTAATTCCAATGAATTCTGAATAAAAACTATAAAAACCTTTCTCTTTTAAAACTCATTTAATCTTCCTCTTAATTCACACAATTATTTGTCCATCAACATATCAATGGACTCACTTTCAGCTCATCTCGGAGCTTGCTCTCCCGTGTCCCTTCCAGGAGCTTCTATCCCTGGCTTTCCTTTCAATCTTTGCCATTCAGTTAGATTCCCAAAGCATTTAACAAGCGTGCAAATCAAATTTGCAACTTAATTAAAATTCTGTTCAGTTACAAAAAATTTGCCCGTTGTTTACAGTTCGCTCGCACAGCCAGGGAAAATAGAACTTGGCTGGGCCGGAAAAAAGAAAAGGGCTAGGGAAAAGTGGAAAGTGCTACGAAAAGGAAAACGGACTGGGGGTGGGGTGGGCACTGGAGAAAGAAAAATGATCTCTTGTGCATAATTTACAGTTTTGCCTTACGCCAAATCTCAAGTATACACTTAACCATTTTCTACTTGTAAACTGTTTGGAGAGCGAGCCGCAAAAAAAAAGGGGGGAAATAAAGAGAATTATTCCTTTGAGGCTTCGGGGCAAGGATACTAAAAAAATATATATCTATGTATAAAATAGACTAAAAATAAAATGCCTGCGCTGCGGCAAATCTGTGAGGAAACTGATTCTGGCCGGGATTCGGGCGGGTAGCGGAGACGACGGCGAGAAGGGTCTGCAGATGAACCCTTTTTATAGCCCTCGCAAACTGAGACAGCCGAGTCCTGAAGTGGACTGGACTTGGCTGGTCTGAACAGGGACAGGCACAGGGACAGGGACAGAGACTGGGGCTGGGCTTTAATTTTTCGGTAATTTGCATTTAAAAGCTGTTGCCGTTGTCCCTTTTTTTCCCCTATACTTTTTCATGTTGATGGAGTGGACTCTAGAATTTATTAACGCCAGCGACCGAGTCCCGGGCTCCTGCATTTTATATTCCATTTTACGCTTTACCAGACGCTGAAGAACTGATACAATATTTCTGCTCTTAATTCAACGACCAAACGAACGAATGAATGAAATTCGAATGAAGTGGCTGGGGGATGAGTGGTGGTGGTGGCAAGGTAAGCGGTAAAACGAGCCCCGACAAACAAACAAAGGATAAAAGGCATATAAAAACAAAAAAATTATGCAAATTAAAAGTGAGTTCCCTCCGAGCAGGGCTATTTAAAAATTCCCTCTTACCCGCTTGCCGGGGCTTTAAGTGAGTTGTTTTCGGGCTGGGGTAGAGCTTTTATATGTAGGCAGTTCTAGGAACTCGTGCTGCCCAGTGACCACTTTTCACCGCTCTCACCTGTTGCCCCCCACACACACATACTACCACACACGGGGAGAGCTTAAGGACTAACTAAATAAAGTGATTTGTTAGGCGCCCGAAATTGGTAATGAAAGCGAAGAAGCGGCCAGAGCATAAATTGTAATCCGAGGCAGTGTTGAAGCCGCTCGTGCATTAATCAAAAACCACTTAGGCTGGTCCACACAGACACGAGATGGAGTCCCATTTCAGCCCATTCCATCCCAGTTCCAATCCCATGCGTGCTGAGGATGAGGATGGTGAGGAGGGTCCTGCGACCCAGGATACGTACCTTGCGATTGCCGGACTCAAAGCTGGGCAGAAAGGCGGCGAAGGAGCCCTCCAGCATGTCCGGATTGCCGCAAATGGCATGCGAGGTGTCACAATAGTACGAGCACTTGCCATGGAAGCATAAATTCAGCGATGGCGAAACAAAGAACGTCTTCAATAAATTCTCCTCGGCCAGTTGATAAATTTCGGTCGTAATGTTCAGCGTTCGGCCGGCGACGGGCATGGCACGGCGGAATCCCAGTATCCTGAAACCAGAGAGGGGTGTAGAGGAACGGTTAACAAAATGCCAAATAAAGAAATGTTTTCCACTGGAAAAGAAGCCTATAAAAATGTATTAATTAATTTACATTTACTAGTTAAAATAGCCCTACATTTAATAGAATAATTTAGACTCTTTTATTAACTAATATATCTTATTCTTTAAAACCAAATCCCCAATTACTACTTATATTACCATACTTTTCCCCTCAGTGTCCCAAATAAAAATACACCAAGGGAACTTTTCCTTAATGGTTCAGGGAGGCGGCGGCACAGACGGCGTGTGAAGCGGAATGCGTAATCAAGAATAAGGAAAATATTTGTGGATTGTTGTCAGGGCAACCAACGGTAGGGAAAAAGTACAATAAGGAAAATAATTCTTTGTTTATTTAAGGAAACCCAACCGCATAACAATTGAGCTAATTGGGTGAAACCCAAGCCAGTTTTTTGCCAAATTTTCATCAATCAAAATCGACACCGCCTCCCGTAGATACATCGATTTTCCCCAGCCGAGATTTTTGAGTCATCTTTCCGTTGAGTCACGGTTAATCTCACCGGATCTTAAAGGGTTCAATTTAATCCCCCACACACACGCAGGAGATTTATGGTCGGGTGGGTGTGGTGTCCAGACTGACCAGAAAATATTATCGAAATTATTTGGCAACATGAAGAATGTTCATTGTCTGGGGGTTCGACGGCAGCCTGGGGTCAGCGGGGAAAATACGATAAATTTATATCAACCCACCAGGCGCGCCGCCGCCCCCGTGGCCACTCCATCACTCGCTGGCCAAAAACTCCATTAGAGGGCTGACAGCCTGGACCGGGCCAAGTTTGGCCAATGCTCGAGGACTGTCCGGCCAAGTTGTAAGGGGAGTAGTGGGAGTAATGGCAGCATGTGCGTGCGTATGGCAGCCACAACAATTACACAAGTTATGACGCCTTATCTAAACTCAAAAATCCTCGGCGGGTGGAGACTGGCAATTAACCTGGCTGTCAAAGTTTTTTCAAACGCAAGCAGCTGCTAACTATGCAGACAATATTCCAGTCTGAATTACGGCAGGACATGTCTGGCCACTTGGCCGGGTTAATTAGCCATGAGAGGGGCACAGATATCTATCTGCCTGTGGAATGAAAGTTATGTGGCCACATCATTTACATGAGCGCTCTCGCCCCTTTCGGGAGGGACGAAGGCTTGAAAAATATTCTTAAATATCATTTAATGGCGCCATTTGGCCTTGGCCTCCATGCGAGGCTAAGTGTATGTAAATTTTTTATATTTTATTCGTCCTGCCATCATAAATAATGAACATAAATTGACTGCGGTCTGACCTCAGCATGTGTCCGGGCGCTCCCGGCAGTATGTGTGTGTGTGTGTGTGTTGGAGAGGATTATTGGGATTCTAATCGCAGAGGGTCAGGCATCCAAATTGGTCAAAAGTGTTATAAATTTGAATGCCGAATGTTGGCCCTGGGACCGGCTTACATTGCGGACAAATTGGTTAATTTGATTACTTTGTCAAGCCCTAAAAAAAACATATAACTTTCAAAGAGCCATAAACGTGAAATGTGGCAGAGAAATTTATATTTTTTAAACCCGTTTTCAATGGCAATGTAACCGCGATATCGGTCAATAGAATGTCGGATATTGGTGGGAAATATTCAGAATATATTTTTAAATTAAATTCAGGTAATTCCTCAAACCAGAAACTCAGATTATTCAGCGAACTGCACTGAATACCAGTGTCCGTGTTTGCCTAATTGAATATTTCAAATTGATTTTGCCAGGCATATATTTCCCCCCTCCGCCTTCTCTGTCTGTTTTTGTTGTTGCGGTGCCGGCAATCCATGAAACGCTCACCATAAATATTTACGTATAATTGAAAATTAAATTAAAAATAAATAAAAGTATGTCGGACATTTACACGACGCCGCGTGCAGATTTAATTCAATCGAACGATTCCCGCCCGGAATCCGAATTCTTGTGCACTCGAATGCCTCCGGTTGAATTTCAGCAGCTGAAATGTCGATAGGGACGAGACAACACGACACTCACCTGTCCAGGTGGAAGGCGGCAATCTCGGCGTTGTGGCGCTCGTAGTCCGTGAAGTAGAAATGGTTGGGCAGCGTTTGCTGGTCCCTCGGAAACCTGCGGAAAGGCGATTGCGAATGCAACATAATGAAATGAGGAAAATGAGTAAAATGAATAGAAACTGCGGGCTTCTGTCACCAGCTTAATGCATTTGCGTGGGCCACTTTGGACTTTGCCTCGGCGCTGGGGACTGAGACGGAGACGGAGGGCACCTGCATTGCTACGTGCCGGCTTAATTACTTACACGGCAGCACGAAAGGGAGTGCAATTAAAAAAAAATACATATATTTGAAAAAAAAAAAACGCTTTCATTTAAATTGCAAATGAATGGCATTATAAGGACACTTTGCACTTTGCACCAGCTGCTCCACCTCCTGCCGCCACTGCTCCTTCTCCTCGTGGGATGGTGGGAAAACCAGCACATTGACCAAGCCAACGCGTTTAAATCTCATTAAAAAGTGCATGAATGTTTTAAATTCGCCAGCAGCTTGAAGTGCCACCACAAAACGGCAGCAATGGACGTGGAATTTCCATCGACAGGCCGCAGGAAAGTCAGCGAATAAAAAGCGGAATTTTATTTACTCAGCTACGCGAAAAGTGTTGTCGACAAGTGGGCAAAAGTTGCATTCATTACGGAAAATCGGATGCGGACGTGGCCAGGACAAATGCATTAAGCGGCGACAGACTGCGAAATCTTCCTTGGGCTTTCTCGTCGGGGAAAAACTCAACTCACCGCATCGGCTTCATTAAGGCCTTGATATCGTTGGGATACTCGATGATCAATTTCAGCTGGGTGCCGCCCTCCTTTTGCACTGCGAAAGACATGGAGAAAATGAATGTAAATTAATCAGGCACTCGAAATTAATTGAAGCAAAAGCCGAATTCATGGAATTCGCACTCCAGCGATCACCGGCGGACTGGCCTGGATTGCATAAACAAATTACACTCGACTAAATACCAATTAAAACGCACTCAAAGGGCGGGCTCTGCACAAAAAGAAACAAAGTTTTCACACAAATATGGGCGCATACGCAACCGCACAAAGGAGCCCGAAAACAAAAACCATCTTGGCCGGGTTTGCGATTCGGTGTGTGAAGTGAAGTGCATAGTTTGATCATTACACAAACAGGCAGACTGACCGTAAACGAAAATAAAACCAAATATCCTGCCGCACACAAACCGCATTTCATTAAAATTTATTTGAAAACAAACAAATGAAACCGGCAGGCACGAAAGGGGAGTAAGAGAGGGGTTTGCTAACCCAGTATTACTTATGAATTATGTCTTTAAAGTTGGTCTAAAACCCAAAGCATGCATGCCTGCCTCTGTGTTGCAAGAAGTTGCTTGTGTACGCGGCGTATACGTGATAAATGCCAGCCCTACAAAGCCAAAGTTGCAGCAATTATGCTGGCACAGTGTCATTGTTGCACCCCATCCCCATCCCCCCTCGTTCTCTTCCATCCCCTAACTGCAAATGAGTTTTCTTTTTGTTGCTCGGAGCTGCTCGCTGTTAAAAGTTTATTATTAATAAATTATGAGTTTAATGAATGCGCTGGAAAAACTTTGCAATGGAAATAGTTTCGAAGCGGCACCTCAATAATACCAGCCGCCGAGCTCTACATAATTGAGTTAAATGTGCAGCTGAGCCCGCAGGAGTCCAGGGCCTGAGGCCTTGGACTGCCACCCCGTGCCGTACAACAAACTTGGCCGGTATTTATGACTTTACAATCCCACAATTGCAGCGGAAGCAGACTGTCTTACCGACATGCTGTATTGGCAGCTTGATCATGTCACGTAGCACCGCATCCACCAGAGTGTCCTGCTCGCCGTACAGCTCCTTCTTCGTGATGCGCAATTGGAAGCGCTCCAAATTGCTGGCATTTGCACTGCAAAGAGATGGAAGTTCGGATACAGATATAGAGTAGCAGTCGCAGAGGCAAAAAGGGCAACAAAATGTTAGAAATGTAAGTAAAAATCGAGCATCACAGCCATGAGCCAGCTGTCGTTTCCAGGCTAAAAAAAAGGAAGCCATAAGGGCATTCAGTCTCCGAGAAACTGCACTTGGAATAAAAGTCACCATTAAATTTCAAGAACTTTTCAAACTAGAGTAGAATGTTATTTTAAAGGCAGTCAAATTACAAGAGGCGTAACGCCATAGGAGATATGCACTTTGGTCTCTTGAAATGTTGCTTAAAGAGAAAGAGTTCAATTTAAGACTATATTTATTCTGTATTCTCAGGTAGTCTAAACCTTCCTTACCTACTTTAAGAGGTCTTTGGTTAATCTAATCCATAGCACATTTTCACTGGCTAAGTAAATAATATTTCTGGGTTTCTAAAATGATTAGTTTTCACTTTTATTTATATATTTTTTTAAATTATACTGATTGTCACAGAAATACTTATTTTTATTCTCCAAGTGTACTAGTGCCTCAAGGGTCTTTTGGGCTCCCTCATAAGTATGCCATGCCTTGGGGGCTGCATATCAAGATTTCTCACATTGATTTGTCAAAGCAATGCCCCTTTTTCCCTGCTCGGCTTTTTCCACCGCTGTCATGACAATTTGGTTTGCAAATGCCAAGACACCCGCCTGCCCCCCGAAGCTGCTCAGGCTGCTCGAGCTGCTCTTGCACACATCAGCTGTAATCTTCGGTGGTCGATTTTCCCTGTTGCTGCCAGACTGGCAATTGTCAGAAAATATCTTTTCCTCTCCGATTATGCTTTGGTCTCCCTTTGACATGTGCCGCTCACATGGCAAATGCTTTTGTCTTAAGCTCTTGCAGTTACGCTTTCGGATTCCGGATTTAGTCCAATTTGTGCTGGTTAAGCACTAAGAGCCCTGCCAGAATTTAAGCTGCAAAGTGCTCTCCTTTGGCATTAGCTTTCCCGTTAGCCGTTTACTTGGACCGATGCAATGCGACAACAGCAACAGCAGTTTATCCCGCCAGCACTCGTGACAAATTGAAATGCAAAACTCTATACTGGAATCCTAGATGCGAAGCCGCCGTTGGTCAGTCAAAAATGAGGAATGAGCAGCAATGTCTGCTCCATTGTGCACCGAGTTTATCACGATAATGAAGTCATATCCGTTTCTCCCCCTTGGCAGCTCTCAATGGCATCTACATAACTCATTGTCCTTCGAGGACAGACGCCTTCCACTCCTACTCATGCTCCACCTCCACCTCCTGTTCCTGCTCAGTCATAATTTGCCCGCTGACGTCTGTTATACTTCAACGCTTAACGCTTTTTATGCTGCCTAGCTCCTCCGGATTGCCCTCGTGCCAACCCCTTTGGCTGCCTTTGGCCTTTGTGCGCAGGAAGGAAACAAATGTCTGGCAGCCAGCCTTCTTGTGCCCCGAATGACTTTCAATATTTCAGCGTTTTATGGAAACGGTGACAACTTCCTGCCCGAGCCCAGACCTACCCTACCCTTTCCTTCCTCAGTCCTATCGTCCTTCCGCCCGTTCGTGCTCCTGCCCGCCTGACAGCTAAATTTAAAGTGCCGGCATAAGAGTGCTCACAACCAGGCGACAATTGTCATGAGCCGTGATGGCGACCGCAGTCCGAAGAAGGCCCAAAACACTTGACGAGGGTTCAAGTCAGATTCACGTGCTACTTGGTAGTTCCAGGAAGAAAAGCGCCTTATCAGGAGTCCAAGCCAGGGCCAAGTCAGCAGGTTTGAAATGGAATTAGGCACCTTATGGAACCTAAGCATAACTTTAAAAATAGAATTTTCTAGGTTTTCTTAGAAATTTTTTTTATTTCTATTTGATGTATCAATGGATTACCTTTATTTTATATTTCAATAAACTAAAAACAAGCAAAAAACCAAAGGAAATCTTTTTTTAAAATTATAGAATGACATACTTAGCAATACACATTGCTTATACATTTCTGGGGAAGTTAGATCAGAAAGAAATATACTGAGCAAAATTTACTTCCATAAACCTTCTTTATCCCCTCACGTTTTGATTCCTTAAATATTCCCTTGAAAAGGCTAAGGAAACAAAGGAATTACGTAAGGCAAAGTCAAATTTGTGCTCATGTTTCATTTGTCAACTGCGGTGTGGCAACAGAATCCGCAGCAGCAGCAGCGGCAGCAGCAGCTGAATCGGGAGCAGGAGCTGCGTAATTGATGAAGCCCGATCCGGACATTGACTAAGCACTGGCCGCTGTCCACAGTGGCTATATATTGTGTGTGTCTGCGGTTAGCGCCGGCTTGTGCACAGTGGAGCCCCCAGGCAGGAGGAATCAATCCCAAGGGCTGTACAGGGTGGCAAACAAGTCATCACCTTTGAAAATGGCTTTACATTGACAATTGTTAGATTCATAAAGGAAGCTAAATATATCAAGAAAAATATATGAAAGAAGATTTCTATGGTAACTAGGATTTAAAGTAAATAAATACTGCCTTGAAAATTATTTGCTTTTAGTCAAATAACATCTGATGCTGAGATTGTGCAACCTTCGGTGACAACCTAATTGAGTCGCCCTGTGTCTGTGGCTTGTAAATGCCCGGCCAATCGCTTTGGCCAGCTGTTGCACTTTTTGGGTTAGCAGGGAAACACAAGGAGACAGAAAAAAGGCCACCAGCCGAACGGAATTCAAATCCCTTTAGTAATTGAGTCACGTAAATCAGTTGCAGCGGCCGCCAGTCAACAAAGCCAGAAATCGCATTACAAGAGAAAGTGAAGGCGTTGTGGAAAACGGGGGGGAAGGTGTGCCATTTGTAGGGGGTATAAATAGGGAAATAGGGAAAATAGGGGCGGCGGGGCTGTGACGTGGCACGCCAAAAGCGCACGTGACACGTGGCCCAGGACACACACACACTCGCACACATGGTGGCTAACAAACGCTGACAACCACAGTGACAGCCAACCACCGCCCGAGCGCAGGTTGGAGCTCCCTTCACCACCTTACACCCCCTTAAAGCCGCCCCTACCCCCCACTACAACCCCTAAATCCAGCCCTAACGTAGCCGTGGCCTAAGCCCGCGCAAAACTTTGTTATGCAAAGCGTTGACAACTCAACGACGTTGACAACAGCGTACCGCAGCAAAAACAGAAACGATAAAAAAATAATTGGAAAAGAGATTTTCATATAATTGGTAGCAGAGAACAGCGCCCTCCTCCAATCCCTTCCAGCACGTTCCTGGCGGTTACTTGCGTCAAAAGTTTACTTTGAGTTATGTTTAGCGGAAATTAAATTTATTTATGTCAGCGACGGACGACGGGACGGCAGGCAAAGCTCCTCTGAATGACGCTCACCAATCAGCTTAATTGCGCTCGGTTTGACAATTTGACAGGACAGGGCAGGGCAGGGTAGAGCAAAGTCCTGCGTCCTTGGGCCTGCAAAACTGCGACCAGGAATAAACCTTGCTTACAGCTTGAAATTCTTAAGCAGAATCGCACTTAATGTAAACATGAAAAGATGGAAAAGGATACTGTAAGCAAGGCTTTTGTTTACTGTAATCTTTATCCGAGAACTTGTACTTAATGAATGAGGTATAGATAGCGAAGGAGTGTAGGTGTTAAAGTCTTTTTATAAAATATTAAAATATATTTTAAGACACAATTATTTAATAGTAAAATTGTCACAAAAAGTTTGATTTTATTTGTATTTTATATAATTATAATTTGTATTTTATATAATTATAATTATCAATTTCATATTCAAGAAATATGTATAAAATATTACAAAAACTATTAAAATATTCCCTGACTTGAAACCTCTCATCTTCATTGCGTATTTTAATTTAACGGCTTACTCTTGAGCTATAGTTAGACATGATACTTCAAGACCCGACCTTCGTGGGAAGGGGAAACCAACTTTTACGCTTCGATAAGAATTACTAATTAATGAAATATTAAATTTCAATTGCCACAGGATTGGCGTAGCTCAACCTGCAGACATTCCGCGTCCGAGGCAAACTTTGTGCCTCGGGATTATGACTCAGCCGACTGGCTGGCTCTCACTTGTTGTTCCCGCTGCTATTGTTGCCTGAGCTGGAGCTGGTCCTGGCGTGTGCTCTGGTACTGCTACTGGTACTGGTATTATCCTACCGCCAGCCCAAGTGGGTACTATAATAACAGCTGTCAGCCGGCATGTCCTGGCCTTTGCTTAAGCCTGCCTGCCTGCCCGCCCACCATTCCCGTCATCCCGGCAGCCCGCAATTATTTCGCCATAAGAAAATGTCAGTAAAGTTTCCCTTCTTTCCCATTTTCCCCGGGCAGCTGCGACCCGGCCGCCGCAGCCACGGAGCCGCAAAAGTGCTGCTTAGATGGAGACGAGGAAAAACTTTGTGCGTGTGAAATTTTGCGGCCGCCAAGACCAACGAGGAGCCATCCAGATGGACGGACCCGGACCCGAACCCGAGCCCGGACTGCAGCACGGACACTTTTGAGCCGAGTTCGCGGAATAAACCCAAAGGAAGGGGCGGAGAAAAGTGAAATTAAACTTATATTGTAGCCGGGTCCTGAAACTTCAGCGGCAAGAGCGCGAACATTAAAACCAATGACAGCAAACCAACTGCAGCTGGGATCCGAGAAAACCAAGCCCGGCAAAATCCGATGGGAAGTGGAAACTTCGCCGGGATGTCAGCAAGCTCTCGGAGTTTTACACACTCGTCGACATTGAGCATAGTCTTTTATTACTAAGCGCACTCTCCGATTCCCATTCCCATTTCCCGCATCCTGTAAAACACTTGAACAATTTCTGGTGCAAATAAGATTTAAAATCTTATGATTTTTCGATATATTTATATTTAGGAAGTGATTGATGATAATATTCTAAGCAAATGGAAAAATGCTGTACATTACTTTTCCATTTATATTTCTGAGCATACAGATAAATATAATAAAACCTTTCTAAGAATTAAATAAGTCATGAAAAAGCCCCAAAGTAACTCTTAAAAACTTCTACTAATTTTGGCATATTAAAAGTTCTTTGAGTGCATTTTCTTTTCCCGGATTCGTTGGCATTCTCATTTTGACCGACAGCTGCTAAAACTTCTTGTGTTTCTCCTTTTAAGCTGGGTGTAATTCGCTCGAAATAAGATTTCTGTCGCCGCTGAGCGCGGTCGCAATTGCAGGCTAATTAAAAATTTGTCATACTAATTAAACGCAAGACGTTGGAGGACAGTGTCGCGACCCCAGGATTTTTGGCTGAATCAGCGTTGTGGTGGTAGTACGGCAACTTTGCCGTAATTATATAGCCGGGCTAATGTCGGACAGGCTTTTGTAGTCGTCGCCCGGTGCACCTGACTCCTCAGCACTGCCGCTGGCAATATCTCATCTGGTAATTTTAGGCGCATTTGCATTTTGTCACATTTTTTCTTTCACCCATCCTCTCATTCTCAGTTCCTCGGATTCTTTGGGCTACCAAGTTACCCGAGCTGCGTTGCATACTGTGCGGGCATTGGGCCAAAAAGTGCTGAGTAAACCGCAGGTGAAGGCGGAGTGATGGTGGGCTGTTAGATAAAAGACATCGTCGAGCATGTAGGGACAGAATTTTAATGAGATATAGCCGACGACAGGCGACAGGAGACAGGAGCCTCAGCATCTGGGTTGTGACGTGATCCTATTTCACAGATCTTGATATCCATTTTAGGTAGAACAATTACAAGGGGATAAAACTAATTATAGCTGCAGTTGAATCTGACGAAATACTTTTATTTAAGATCATTTAAATATATTTTAGTTCTCCATTAGATTTTTCGTTAGAAATATTGTCATTTGTGAATGTTTTTAAATGCCTTTTAGCTTAAATTTTTATATTATGTTTATGTACTGTTTAATAATAAAACAAATCATAAATTGCAAAGTGGAAAACTCACTTTCTTAAAATTTTAACCTGAAAAAATTGCAGGTGTTGCCACTACAACAGCAAGAGCATCCCGACTTCTTGATGCATTTTCCGCCGTAATCCCTCAGCCACCTTTTTTACCATGCACATTTACTGGCAGCAATTTCGCTTGTTAATGAAATTTGCATTTTGCTACGTGCGACACACAAAAAAGTAGCAAACTTTCCGGCTTGGTTTTCGGTGATGTGCTATAAATTAGAAAATCAAGCATTTTATGCTAATGCCGACGCCCACACTTAGCCAGCTCAGACAACAGACCAGCAGGCAGGGTCCCTTACAGCCCGACAGCAACCCACCTCAGCCGAAACAACAACTTGAGTTTGACAAGTTTTTGCGACTTTGCATTTTCCCCCATTTTCGATTTTCCCCACCCTTGCCGGTTTTCCGCTCTTCTCTGCAGCGCTGAACCAATTTTTGTGCAACTTCAGCTGGGGCAATGTTCGCCAACTAGTGGAGCAAATGAAATTACTCATACGCTACGTATTCAATTTTGATAAAAACTGCCAAAACGATTTCGAGTGTCTGTTCATTGTAAAAGCAAACGAAAAACGCTACTAGAGAGCAGTGTGCCAAAAGGATGGAAGGGGACCGAAAAGGAAAAGACGGAATGGGATATGGTGGGATGGAATGGGATGGGAGGCAAGATGCCGGAGGAGAAAACTAAGCTGATTACCGAGCAAGAAAATCAAATGAAAACTCGACGAAATAAATTTCATTGCTGCCTCAAGTGTGCGGGGAAGAACCCAGAACTGAGAAACGAGAAACCGACAAGGGGGAGATTCCGCCAAACGGTAACGGAGATAAGCGTAGGGAGCGGTGGGTGCTGCAAATCCACATTGATTTCTTTATTGCACTTTTATTTGATTGTGCTCGCACGAAATTACGCATACGCCGCGTTGAGACAAGGCAAACTCTCATCAGTGTTATCGGCAGGGGAAGGGTCCTCATCCGAGAAAACCAGTTGCCGGCGGCAACAACAATCAGGCAACACTTACCAGCGACAGATAGAGACATGCACATAAAGATCTCTGGGCACAAAAAGCTTGGGGAAATGGAGTGGGTCTGGGATGGGGAGGATCCGGGATGGGTGGTTAAATGTCTAAAACGTAAATGTGTCACGTAAATGGAGCGTAAATTTCAATAAAAATCATTTCAATTCCGTTGAAGCCCGAAAAGTGCTGTAACTGTCTCTCCTCTTCCCTCCCCCAACCGGTTTCCTTTCCACTTCCAGTTGCCAGTAAAGCCCCCGTTCTACTATCAATTACCACGTACCCGGGCAAAGTGGCTCCGGGCCCCAGGTAAAAACTGTAAGCATTATGTCCTTCCGCCCAGGGGAAATTGAATTTTTTTTGTCGCTCTTGGCTACTGGCTCCTGGTTTTTATGCACCACACTCACCTGGCCTTGCGATGTAGCATCTCGGCCATCGTGGGATTGTCCCGTCCCACATCCGGCGCGTTGTCCACAATCACATGCGAGTACTCGTCGCTGAGAAGGTGCTTCTGCAGATCCGCATAACGATCGTGCGGGGTGGGCTTCCGGGTGGGGATGCTGGCCCCCGTTCCGGGTCCGGCCGCTCCCCCGGAGGCTCCTGCTGCCGCCTCCTGGCCACTGGTTGCCCCGCCGCTCTGACTTGCCGCCGCCTGCGTGGAGGCCTCCTTCGAGCCGGATGAGTTGCTGCAATAAAAGGAAAAGTAACCGTGTTAAAAGAAGCTGCATGAAAGTGAGTTTGCGAAAGAAACGCCATAATTAGCGGGCACCCGAGGGTCGTCGGGTCGGAGGCACTTGACAATGGGGTGGCTGTCGCTGCTAATTGCAGTTCCCAAGAGCCCGACTGCCTTTTAGTGGCAGCCATCGAGCAACCAGAGCAGCCAGAGCAACTAAGTGCCCCTGGCCAGGCTCCTAAAGACACGCACTTGCACTTGCAGGTGAGCTAAAACTTTGTCAGCCCGAGTTTTAGTTGCGTTTATCTAAGACGAGCTGGAACAACCACCAGCCCAGCAGCCACCCTCAGACCCATTCACCAGACACACACATGAGACTCTTCACTTGACTGCAATAAACTGGAATTGCAGGTACTTCAATGAGGCCCACCCACATCCCACATGGGGCTGCACAGTGGTGGACAAGGTTGGTATGGCCCTAAGATATACTATGGCTTCCATTTCTACGTTTAAGGAGAGGATATTTTCTACAATAAGTTAAATTTAAACATTTAAAATATGGCAAGTCTATCTCTTTACAAATGTTAGAATAAATAAAAGCAAAGTTCTATGTTTTCTTAAGAAGTTATAGTTATTTTCTAGTCTGAATAAAAATTTCTATATAAATTGTGGTACTTAAATTTATGTAATATATTTAATACTTTTATTTGGCATAATGGAACCACGGTTCGTGTGCTGGTAATCAGCTGCCGTTTAGACAGCGCCTGCTTCAGACAAAAAGCGTGCTTGAAAAATGAATTAAAGTTTCAGAATTTGTTGCATCCATTTTGCTAGCCTTGACTCTTGGCAGCGCTTGGCGAAATGCTTGAGATATAACCGAGCCTGGTCCCCGGCTCGTTAGCATGCAGAGGTCCTGGTCCTGAGATCCTCGTAGCCGGAGAAAGGCCGGAATTATGTGGCAGTTGTGTGACCATTAAGCCAAATGACATCTCTTCAGCCGGGTGCAAGCTGCACATCATTAGACCCGAATCTTGAAATTTGAGTTTCTCGGTAAATTGTCGTTTTTATACATTTTTTAATTGTTGCAAAAGTTCTGAAATCTCTACGGAATATAGCACAGCTGGCCCACTGCCCCTCCTGGTGCCCTACTCTACTCCACCTTGCCTTATCCGTCAGTCAGACAGGTGTGCACATGTGCCGGAGAATGCAAAAACTTTTTCAATTAACAGTTGCCAGCCGACGTCTGAGCCAAGACAGCAGATAGGCCAAGAGACAAGAATGGCAAAATGGCAAGATGGGTGAATGGCTGGATGGCTGAATGCCTGAGAAGCTGTCAACATTCCCCAAGGGTATGGGATGAGACAATATATGACGGCAAAGCGGCTTTCACCTCGCCCGCGGGGCTTATTAAGAATTTTGCGCTCTAACGCAGATTTCACGCGTTTTATTGGCAGCCGCATAATGCCACTTTATGGGGTAATAAGTATTTAAATCTCTCTTTGAGCTAAGAGGAACGAGAACGGAGCACGGAGCATCCAGCCCCTAGAACCAAGCAGGAAGGGTCCTCGCTTTGTTCGCGTATTTATGGGGTTCGTTCAAAATTGATTCTGCCGCAGACAGTGGCCCTAAATACGTAGTGTGCGTAGCCTCAATGAAAGCATAGTGTTGTTCTCGTTCTCGTTACCGGTGATCGATGTGGCGTGCACTTAATTACACTCCCGCGAAACTTTGCTCATTAAAGTGTCACGTGGTGCGCGTAACGCTGCCCACATAAGCTGCCCATGTGCTGCGGTTAATTAACCAGTCAACTGCAACTGTAATGGCAAAGCGGCCACAGGATCATAGTTCGAAGTTTATGCAGGTCGTAAGCGATGACACTGGTACACAGTTAGTCCTGACATAAGGTTAATGAATCTACTAGTCGGAACTGTAATGGTATATCCCTGGGAGTGTTTCCTATCACCATATCCTTAACTCTTGAATAAATAAAGTGTTTTCTACTGAAGGAATTTGTTTTACGAATAAATTGTAATTTAAAAGAGTTTATTTACACTGTAAGTTTTATAACAAGATTACAAAGGTATCTTTCGAAATCCCTCTGCTTATAATTTAATTTAAAAGGGTTGAGAGAATCTCTCGGCCAAGAAAACACGAAAAAATCAAGATTGATAACAACCCAAAAAAACGCGAATCATCACTGAAAATGAATTTTACTTGAGCTTCTTGGGACGACGAACACAGCATTTACAGCATTGCCAAGTACGCTGCCACAGTTTTCAGTTTTTAATGAAATAATTAAAAAATTATAAGGCAAGCAGGCGCAGCAGGAGGAGACAAGCCGGGAAATCGGGGGAACTGTGATGGGTGGCTTCCTCCTTCTACTCAGAAGACGGAGGCGGGCAAACATTTGATGCTTAAATAGAATTTATTACGCTTCACAGCCGCGTTGCACGACTCAGTGCATGGAGGCATCATAATTTTGCATTTGCCAGGGCGCATAAGTAGATAGCTGGGCGCTGGAGCGGAGGAGCCTCGGAGGGAGCCTTGGAGGGATGGCATCCCTCAGACGCAGCAAATGCGGGAAAGCATTTTCCGAAGGCATTCATTTTACGGGCGGTGGCAGGCGGCTTATGAATTAATTAAATATTTACTGGCTAAACATTGGCGTTTTATGTTCCCGGAATGAAAAGGAACCGAACCGAAACAAAGAGGAAGCGGGATGGTATAGGTCCAGGCTCGTTTACTGCACCTGGGAGTAGGTCTTGCCCACCTGGAAGGATGGTCTTAACAGTTTCCCTTGCGCCTTGCTGCGTCATTTTGATGTTTTATTACTCGGCTTCCGCCAGCCGCAGCGAAATGGCGGACGACACCCCAAACCACCCGATTTCGCCCGATTTCACCCACTTACCACACGCAACGCAAAAAAATGAAGTGTACAAAGGTAAAGCGACTTGCTCTGTACATATTCTATGGCACCCGGCATTAACCCGGCTCCTGTTCCTGTTCCTGTTCCTGCTCCTGCTTCGGCTTCTGCTCCTTCTGGCTTCTTGTTGTAGTTTCCAAGAAGTTCGCCCTGGCCTGGGTTTATGTTTTGTAGCAAATTACGTTTTAATGCCGGGCCAACCAAGTTTTATTGCAACTTTTGTTGCATTTCTGCTAAATTGAATTATGTACACTGCCGTGTTCAGTCGCCAGAGGGGACTGCGCCCATGGGTATCGTGGATGGTAAATCTGTATGGGGCTGTGTTGATGTCCGGGGGTGCTTGCCCGAGTCAATGGCCCGGCCCCGTTTGCGATTTGTGCATAATTTTTAATCCGCAGGAATGGCTAAAGGTTGCCCTGTTGGTTAGAGTTGGGAATACTAAATAAAAAAGCTATATAGTTTACGATCCTTTTGATTTTCTAACACTTTTCTGAGAGTTTTTACAAGCTTTTTACTTTATTAAACATATTATTAATGGCGCCTAGTACAGTCTTTCCCTTTAAAGGAAACGATACGATATTAACCTCACATTTGCCCATTAATTTTGTGGATATCAGTTCCAATAACTGCACATGCACGAATTGTAACTTGTAACTCAACCCTCTCTCAAAGACGGAATTCAAACTCTTATTAGAAATCGAACATCAGTGATTAATGCCAGGATTTTGGCAATATATGTGGGTCAGATTTCACCTAGGAATACGAGCTTACCTCTTCTGCAGGAATTTGCGCTTGAACTCATGCAGCATTCCACCTCCGCCGCCAGCGCCCGTGGCATCGTAGTCGTTGCCCAGCCGGATCTTCTGGTGCTGCTGCTGTAATAGGTGGCGATTGGCCACCCCAAAGTCCATCTGCACGTCCACAATGAGCAGCAGGGTAAGCAGGACCAAGGTAGCGCCCAGGCTGATGACCAGGCGCTCCTTCAGCTTCATGGTACGCAGGACGGCCATGATTCGATTGCTGCTGCAGCTGATGCTGCTGCTGCCTTCTGCGGAGTGATTGCTGCTACTGAGTGTTGCTGCTGCTGCGGCAGTCTCCAAGGAGTTCTTCCTGTTGCTGGCTCCAAAGCTGCGCAGCCTAGTCAGCCAGCCAAGATTTTTGCCGCCGCCACCTGCACCCGACTTGTCGGCGGTGCTCCGGGCAGCCTCGGTGGCAGTGGTGCTACCGACAGTTTCCGAGGTGGTATTTCCACCGGATTTGGCGGTGTTGGTGCTGCGCACAATGCGCCGCCTGATGACAATACGCCGTTTCGGCGCTGCCTCTTCGTCCTCCGGCTCCGAGTCGGGATATAGCACGCGATCTGGCTCTAGATCTCTCTTTGGTTCTTGCTCTAGGTCGGGGTACTCCTGCTCCGCTGGTTCCCCAGCCTCGACTGCAGAAAACCCACTAACTGGCTGTCTCCACGAATTTGCAACGCCTATTTGTTCAGCTGATAACTGACCGGCGTAGGGGCTATTGTAAGCGTCGCTATCAGTGATGTGCCCTTGTTGCTGCTGCTGTTGCTGCAGTTGCTGGCGGTATCGAAACCGCTGCAGGCGCTCTGCCAGCGGCGTTGACTCCGCTGCCGGAACCGCCGCCGGTCGATAACTGCAAAAAGAGCGGGAAGAGAAATTCATTAATAACCAATGAAAATTCAAGGGTGGAGGTTAGTGCGATATGGACTCCTCGTGATTGGCAATCACAATTTAAATATGATTTTATATTATTCAAAGGCACTGGAAGAAATTGAGAATTGTGAAATAAAAACTACCACCAGGAGTATATATGTAGTCCCAAATGGAAAATATTCATATTCATGAAATCAAATGACAATTATTTTAAATACTTTTCATGCTTTATGCGTATTCATATACACAACTTTAAATAAACATAAACAACAACTTTAAATAGCAATTAAAATCTGTGAACTTTAATTGATTGATTTTATATTTATTGCTGTTTATTAACATTTTAAATCTATGATAACACTCAAACTAATTTGTTCAGAAATCGTTCACTAATTAAAAAGCCAAAAGCCTACAAAAAAAAAGAACACCAGTCAAGGTTCATATATATTTTTGCAGAACAAATTAATATGAAATCAAGTATTGATTTTACATTAGTTAAACTTTTTCTGTATAGTTTGTCTGTATAATTGCATTTCTTTTTTTTATGAATAAAATAATATTTTTCAAGGTTCGAGTGTTTTGATAAAATGGCTATTAATATATTTATTATTTTTTCTGCTGAACTAATTTTTCAATTGGCTGCTGCTTTTAGCAACTATTTCCAAACCCTCTTTGGCCTCGCCTGTCTAACCATAACAAGCCTCGAAAATATGAACCTTTGAGACGCTTTGTAGTTCGTATTTTGTGTCTGGGTTATTCATAAAGCGGCGTCGGTAGCGGCGTCACGGCATCCGCCATTTTGACTGGCACCGGAAATGCGACAGCAGCCATTTTTTTCTTGTAGCCAGCCACTGTTATCGCAGCCGATGTTTGTGTTTCTGTTGCTGTCCTGTCGCTGTTGCTATTTCTGTTGCTAGTGCCATCAAGTTGCCCCTTCGTAGTCCTATTTTATTGTCTCCATTTTTATTGTTCATGTTTTTGCTGGGCCACGTAGCATGAAGCATATTTTTCATGCAGCCCGTTACGAGTTTGTTTCGAGTCCCGGCCAGTCGGAATTTGAATTGTGACTGTAACAGGAAGAGCTGGTCGGTGGAATAGGATCTGGCCATGGAGTAGGAATAGGGCTAGGAACTAGGAACCGGACCTGCAAAGTGGCCGTTGTCGGTTAACGAAGCTTGTTGCTGCCGCTGCTGCTGTTGCTGTTGCTGCGACCCAAAATTGTGGGCGAAATGTTGATTTTCCCCCTGGCAACGCTGGCCGTAACTGCATTAAATGTGGCCAAAATAAACGAGTCTGCGTCCATGTCTGTATAAGCTGCAAATTGAATGCAATACCCTTTGATTGACGGCCCTTTACCGACATATACATATACTGTGCTGTGGTGTGCTGACGTAACCCAACTCGCAAATTAAACGTCAAATTCTGCAGTTGGTAGGCAAAAATTGCTGATTACGAGAGCCGGGCTGATAGGAATAAAATGACAGAGCCAAACAAAGGCAGCCGAAAATGTCTGAGAAGGAGCCACGTCAATCAAATCACATATCATGCCAATTTTCTATGCTGGCGCTGGCGAGGAAAGAGGCGAGTAACGAATGGGCCCAGGGAATCCCCGGCAATTGCTCATATCCATGACGAGATGATTTGACAGTCGCAGGCTTTGAGGGAGAGACATGACCAAGGGGTTAAGCGCAGACAAGAGCGGAGTGAGTGTAAATGGGTGTGCCTCGAGTGGGTGTGTAGACATACAAGGAGCTCGGCTAAAGAGACACCCAGCCTGGCAACACAACGGCATCCCCCGCGTTGGCAACATCAATGGGCAGTCAAATGCAAAGCACATACGTAATCCGGCGGGGGAAATGCCGAAGTGGAGGTGGAAAAGCGTCACACACACGCGCCTTTTCCCTATCATTTCCCGGTGAGGGAAGCGATAAGCACTGGATGACATGGCGAGTGAAGTCAGCGGCAATTGCTGTCGTCGCAGTTTGTTGCTGCTGTTGTTGCTGTTGCTTGATAAAACTGCTGCGTTGCATTAAATTAAACTCATGCGGTGTATTTAAACGCCGCATCGTCGGAGTCCACTGAGAGAGAGGGGCAACAGCAACACCACGAGCAACACTAAGAGCAACACCAACACCAACGGCAACATCAGCGGCATCGTTTTAATGCAATTGCTGACAACAGCAACATCAGCAGCGGCCCCCGTGAGTGACAGCAATTTCCTTTCCAATTTGCGCTTTGTTTTTATTAATCAGACATTTACCAGGGACCCGGCAAAAAATAAAGAAAGCAAAAATGGAGGCGATGAGCTTGGGTGCAAAAGTGCAAAATAATTTAGAGCGCACAAGATGCACAAGATTTGAAAGGGAAAAGTTAAGTATTCACTTATCTGTCAATATGCAAATATTTTGCACAGCTTAAATGCAACTTGGCCTAAACTATTTTTACAAAATAAAGCTTTAGACAACAGTATTTATCTGTCATAAATATGCAAATATTTCAAAAGGTTAAAAGTAAAGCAAGTATGTTAAACATTTTCATAGATTTTGCATATAGAAATCTGTGGCCTTACTGAACCAGAAATTGATTATATAAAATATATAAGTTCTCATGTCACAAAGAATTAAGAATGAATAATGGCTATACAAATTATTTACTTTAGCAGAAGTACTAACAAATTGGAGATATACCTACACAATTTTTATTTGTATTACATTTTGGTTTATTTGTTAAATTATATTTGGTTTTGTGACATTTCAATGCCATGCCTGAAACGGATGTGATTTTAATTGGTGTTTGACTATTTTCTCAGAAAACAGATGGCTCTATATATTTATATTTTCACCTATTTCTGTTATGTGTAAACAAAATGTTGACTTTACGCGAATCTGACTAATTTCATGCCGTTGTATTATTTATTTTGGAATATTGATTGAATTTATAGAATTTCAGAAATATTTTATTCAACTAAAATACGTTAATTGACATGTTTGCGTTATTTTTTATTAACAAGTATATTTAAGGCCAAAAGATAAACCAATTAAATATACTAATTGGGTCATTCTAAAGTCAACTAGGTTATCGCCACCGGTTGCCGGCCATAAATCAAACTCACTTTCAATCTAAACTTGACAAATACCTTTCCGCTACCTTTCTCCAGCTCAATTAGCCCTCGACCAGGCCATTGAACTGGGTTATATGGTATTGTATATATTTTTACCGCACTTGAATCGGTGTTGCAAGTATACAAACCCCACTGCTATCCGGATATGCAATGCATGATTGGGTCCTAGGAGACCCCGTCCCCCGTCTCGTAATCTTGTTGTTAGCAAATGCGTAACCCGCTCGACTCGGGGCAAATCAGCGATTGTGCAACAGCTTGAAATGACACGCTCGGTGCATCCAACCGCCCCTCCCCCGTGGCAGCTGCCTTGCCCCGCCTGTGACCTGGTCTGCCACGCATCGGTGAAGCACGAGAATCGCAACAAAAGACCCGACTTATTGATCGATTCGCTGTTGCTTTTCGTTTGCTGCCAGCACGCTATTAGAGCGGTTTGCACTTGAGCTGCTTACACACAAAAGTTGCCAGCTTGCCTTATCGACAATCGACCAATCGACCCAATCGAACGGCAATCAATCGCGCTGCAATTCGATATGCAAATGATGGCCAAACTGTTGCAACGGCCAAAAGCGCGGGTGTCAATGTTGGCTTGGCTTACACGCTTGCATCATTTACATGGTCGCCGTGGCCAATCCTCCTTGAGCAAATTGCGGGAGTTTAGGGAATCGCATGGGGAAATCAGTGGGAGAAGGGGCAAATGGAAAAGCTAAACGCAGTCGGGTTAGTTGCCTCTCCTTTTCCTTTTTGGCCCTTTGTCAATTTACCTTTGGCTGTGCAAACTTTCGCGCTGCCCGGGCTCTGACTCTGGCTCCCAGTCGAAATCCCAGTCGTCCTGCTGGGAAAATCCTCCTTGTCGGCTGCTCGGGCTCATGCTGCTCAGGTGATTCAATGGCAGCGATTTCTCAGCAGATTTGCCCCAGGTCATTTCATTACCAAAGTCAACAGAAATGTCCTGGCGATGGTTTTGGTATGGGTCCTGATGCTGCAGCTGCTCGTTGCTGTTAATAAAATTTTCCACCTGGCTCGTCGAGCTCCAGTTTTTGTGCTCCGCCGGAGAACGAGTCCGAGCCAAGGTCCGAGTGCGAGTCGGCCTCATTGGCAATTCAAATGCACTCGTCGCAGGCCAGCAGCCATTGTTGGGGCTTGGCTGGGACTCGGCATTGTCCTGGCCATTGTATTGTCTCACTGCCGATTGATTCGCAGTCATTGGCAATTGATTTATGCCCAAGGCGGCTCGCCGGCCGTAATCATCGTCGAAGCTATGGCCATTGCTCCAGCCGGCCAGTTTCCCTGTGGAACGATGCAGCAGCTGCAGCTGCTCAGCATCCCGGGACCCACTCCCATTTGCAGGAGTCCCATTAGCGGCAAATCCAATCCCCTCCTGACCCACTCTCTGGAGCGAGAAGCTGCTCTGGCTGCGGCTCCTCTGACGGGCTTCTTTCCGCTTGGCCAACTCACCGGGCGTGGGAGCGAAGAGGTTCCGGATACTGGCATTCCGCTGTCTCAAATCCACTTCGCTGCCGCCCGACTTAACCTGGATCGATGGAGATACGATGGAGATACTCGTGATTGTAAGTGCAGGACGAAAGCTCTTGCCCAATTTCATTCATGCTCGGGCAGTCTAGCGGGTTAGTAGAATATCCAACGGGGGGAACAATTGTTATCTTACGGATAGTGCCAAACCAACAATAATTTAAGCCATCAACGCAACGCAACAACGGAACTCAACTCAACCGAACTCAACCCAAACTCAACTCAATTCAACTCGACTCGACTAAGTTCGAGTGGGGGAAATGCGGAGGACAATGCTCGGTCAACTCGGCGCCCTTTCATAATCGGATGAAAACATTTGTGGAGTGCTACTTACACTCGTCCTCGAGGCAAGTGACATTGAATGAGGCGGACTCGAGGAGGCCAACTAGGAGACACTTCCTCCTCCTCTCCAGAGGGTCATCAAGTGGATGTGGAGCGTTCGCTCTGCCGATTTTTCCTCGCTTTTCTTTGGCGAGTGGGCTTCCTCGAAAGCTGGATGAGTCTATTCACAGGGGGGTTTGGGGCGGTAGAGTGTGTGTGCAGAGAGACACAGAGGAAGAGCATGAAAATTTGAAACGTTAGACAGATTAGCATAAGCGGATAATTCCGGAAGAAAAAAAAACACAGCAACAGCAACGGTAACAGGAACAACAGGAGCGGGCAGGCGGAAAACCCGAGCCGAGTCCAAAAAGAAATGGACGGCATGTGTGAAACGTTTAAGTGCTGATGGTGGGCGAAAAACTGAGGCGAAAGACGAACTGGAGCTCTAGCACTTCTTCCAGCTGAGTGGCATTGGCAAAATGGGAAAATATGTGAAGAAAAATCCGGCAATATCTTGGAGCACAGATATTTCATGTTTACCAAATACCAACAGCAGTCACAGATGGAAATTCGTGGCGCCAACGAAGTGGAATATGTCTCTCAAACGATTTTTGACTATCTTTAGATGCATATTTTTGGAAAATAACAAAAACAAACAGACAACAAGGATCTGCAGTCGATCTACGACAAAGCGAGTGGAATAAATAATACATTTCTTTAAATGTTTGAAGCACAGCATAAGAAGCTTTAATGATGAATGCTTCTCAAAATAAAAAGAAACCAGGGGACGAGAGAAATGCATTCGGAATTCTGTCCCAGGAGTTTTCCCGGCCCCACTCTCCCGTCCTGGGAAATCCTTTTCCCCGACTGCTGTCCTCGCATCCTGTCTCTTTTTTCCCGCTTCTTGACATTGACATTTTTCAGCTGCATGTGTTGCGGCAAGATAGGAATACTTTCCATTTTTTTCTTTCCTTCCTACAAACTGTGTATGTGGTTTTTCAGCCAAAATAATCAAAAGTGGTCGGGGACCCCAGGAAGATGGCGAAAGGAGAAGGCTTCCCATCCGATGCAGCGTTACATCTGTTTTGTTTGTGCCAAGAAAGGAGAGGGAAGCTCACAAAAAATTGCATGTCAAGTGAAATTACTTGTTTGCCAAAGAGAAACGGGTTAGGAATAGGGTAGCTGGGAATGGGAATGCTAAGGGAAATCCATACGGAGGATATGCAGGAGTATATGGCTCCTCCGAATGACAACTGCAGTCCACGTAGACTAACGCACTCGCACACAACAATGCTCCGGTGTGTGTGTGCGTGTGTGTCCTTGCTGAGACTTTGATATACATATACGCAGACGACACTTCGATCTGCCGGGATATGCGGCTAAGCACGATAAATTGAGATGAATGTCTGGCATGCAGCTAAGTCTCTACAGCTATCTGTCTATATATCTATCTATCTATCTATCTATCTATCTATCCGTCTATATATCCTCCGGGCAGCTCAATGCGAGTCATCTTATACTCTCCGCACTTGACACATTCCGGGGAAAGTGCATTTGCCTGTTGGCTGTCTATCTTTCTCTCGCTCTGGGCCAAAAACGACTTTTTCATACCCGAGTCCTATAGGGCATCACCAGGGGTATTTTAGATTTGTTGAAAGGTAAATTAAAGCGAAAGGATTCTGTCAAAGAGCTATAGTATTGATATTTGTCTAACATCAATTCAAATAGTTATCTCCTAATTTTTTAAAGAGCTAAATCTTGAAAAAGAATTATTTAATTACTGAATTTAATTTATTATATTTTCAATTAAGATTTTATAGTTCCAGTACAGTTCCAAGTAAGGAAATGAATAGGTATTTCCGAGTCTAACCCCTATAGTTTCCCAACTTCAACGCACTACTGTCTAGACGCATTTGCATCGAGGGTGGCATCCATAAATTTTTCAAAAATGTATTCCATTACATATGGGCCATAAAAATCCACTCGCAGCCATTTTCATTTCCATTCCCGGTCTCCCGATTCCGTAGAGGACTTGTCTTCGACTCTCGACTCGGCATGGGACCATTAAAATGCGACACGCATTGGGCCTCTGCTGCTGATGGCAGTGCATCGAGTTGCGTTGCATTGCATAATTTAAGGCGCGGGGCAGCGAGCCGGGAAGTTGCCATAAAATATTCATTTAAAATGCAGCACGCAACACTTTGCCATGACGCATTGCAGCCACCCACAGAACACCAAACACGGAACACCAAAGGCTTCACCCACAACCCACGCATTTAATTGCGGGCGTTGCAAATGCAAATGTCACAGAGCCGGGCGCATTTGCATGCCGATGACAGGGCTCCACTGGACGTCTGGCCATCCTGCGGAGAAAGCAAATCCTAATCCCACGCTGCGACTGGACAGAGTGACGAAATGACAGACGGACTGAATAGCTGACTGACTGACGCACAGACATGACACGTGTCGGCTTTGCTTTCGCAATTGTGGGCGGGAGGCGTAACAATTCAAACTGGCAAACAATCAACTAATAACGTGAACTCACCCAATCCAAACAGCCCGGCAGAGTCAAGAGTCTTTGCTGAATTCGTCAACTGGAAAATAGGGAAGAAACATTTCGATTAGCATTCTGAGATGATAAATGAACGCTGCTTACAATATCAAATGGCAGATGGAAATAGAAATCGACTCGAATCGAATCGAATCGAATCGCTTTGCATAATCAAGGCTGCGAGGGCAGTAAATGAATTGTTAACCGACGACAACAAGCCATTAGGATTAAATTAGATTGAAAGTCAACACAGACGTCGGCAGTGGAGCGAAGAGCGAATTCCAATTAAATGCCATTCCTGGGGCCGTAAAATCGGAGTCCTTGTAGATGCTATCCACGATTGATTATATCATCTGCCGACATGACGTGGCAGCAGGCCCCCCAGAGATAATGCACAAAGGTTGTAGGCGAAAACAAAGGCATTCAGAATGCCGAGATGGATGCGATATCGATGCGATATCGATGCAATGACCATGCAGCCGGCGGCGCAATCAAAAGCCACACATTAACACACAACGCGATTAAAGAGGAAAACCAAGTAAGATAGCCCGCGCTCAGACATCGATAGTTGTCCGTTCGATCGATCCATTAAAATTATACGCAATTATCCAATTCACTCGACTGTTGCGTCGTCGTTGGTTGCCCAGGCAATCATCCCCGGCATTACTTGTACTTTTCTACCTGCAATCCTCCAATAAAGAAAATCCAGAAAACACTACAAAAATTATGTCTCGAGGGCTATCTAGCCAGCCATTTAGCTGGCCAGGCCGAAGCTCACGTTTTCCAGAGATTATGAGGCCGCCGCTCGCCGTCTCTCGAGCACCGCACGTTTTGCAATGGGAAACTCGACTCAAAAGCAACGCCAGTAGGAAAGGCCAGAAAAACAACAGTCAAAAAGGGAAATTTTCACGGTGCTCACGTAATTGAATTGCAGTCGGCTAAATTGGCATTTATTATAATAAAAGCAAATATGCAATTTCGCTTTTCACCCGCCGGATGGATGGATGGATGGATGATAATAAATAAACGAAAGAGCCCGTCCATTGGAATATCAAAGGCTGTGTCTGAAAATAAGTGAGGCGAATGAGAAACTTATTAAATAATAGAGGACTGCTCGAGGAGCTCTCGGAAAGGACTCTCCATCTCAAGTTCATTCAAGGCCCGCAGCAGCCAGGTTTTAATGCCATAAACGAAATTGCAACTCGGTTTCAGTACGTTCCTCTGGCGGCTGACCCACATTGCTGGTTTATTTATATTTATCCGTTCTATTGAGCTACACTTGACCACAAATCAACCGCAAAGAAATTCAATTTAAATAAATTATTTTACAATATCAAACCGCAGTTGAGAACAAACAATAAAAATATAAAAAAAAACAAACAGGTAAACATCGAGATAAATATATGTAGGCAGGACAAAGCTATGAGTGCATGGGAAATGAGCAAATTAATCAAATAAATATTTAAACCCGAAATGAACACCAAAAACGCTGCATAAGCCGGACTTGTGTGCTATATAATTTATTCACATATTAATATTAGTTCGGGCGACTTATAAATGGATTCAGCGAGTTCCACACCGATGAAAACCAATGGTCATTGTTTGAATTTAATTTTATTATTGAGCAGCGACTCGTTTAATAGGATTTGCGTTGGCTTCGCAATTTCGGTTTATGTAGTTAAATTTTCATTTTCCGACTGCCAGAGAGGAAGAATTACCCAATGATCATTCTAAGCGATAATATCGAAATTAAACTTAATCTCTTCTGTTATTTTCTCTCATTCTCTCTCACTCCATCTAGCTGATTTTCTAGCATTCAATTTGTAATTTTCTAATTATGTGGTTGAACATGTTGGTGTATTGAAAGCAATTACGCTAAATAATTGCGCATCCCGATGCGTGGCAGACAGGCAACAGGCACCAAGCTCACTCCACATTTCCCACTTTTCCAGTTCCGGTTCCTAAATAAGTGATGAGTTTTCACGGGCTTCTATAAGCTCCTCTGCATACTCTACTTTATGGTAAATAGCCAATTCCTTGAAGAATGTTTTCTGGGAAACTTAACTTTGCTAATGCATTTTTCTAGGTATTTTTTATTTGAATTAGTCTTTCAATCTCTCAGTTTTAAATAAGCTTAAGCTTATTAAAATGTAAGGAAATGTAAGGTATATAAATCAAGTTTTAAATTTAATTTTTAAAAGAGAAATTGCATTTTTTATGATTGCCTAAAACTTATCAATTAAAGCAAGAATTACTTTAGGTTATAAAGGAGTATCTGCCATGGCATAGCACCCATCAGTAACCCATTGGCTTTGCCTAATGACAACGTCGCCGGTTTCAAATTCAACGCCGGAGATGTAGCCAAAATGGAGGGGAAACGGGGCCATGGTTTTGGGGCTGGGTCTGGGTCTGCTGATGGGGCTTGAATGGAACAGTTAACGTCAAGCGGCAAATCATTTGCACTGCGCCAAACAATTTCCGCATTTAATTACATTGATTATGCAGCCAAGGAGCGAATCTCGCTGTCAGTCTCCTGTCTCGTTTCATTTTCTCCCTCTTCTGGTACAGAAATATACCAACATATATATCTATTTTTTTGTTACTTTCGCTCAAGCATTGAACTTGATTTGCCCACCAATTGTCAAGTTACCAAGAGAGGGAATCAGCAGGGACCCCACTTCGACGCATTTGCCCAGCGAGCGTGTCATTGTTGCTGAATGCTTTTTGCGGTGACAACACTCAACACTTTCATGCTCTGTCAGTGCGCAGAAAACAAACAAATGGCGAGAAGTGGCCGGCAAATATGTTGTTGTCAACACTTTTCGGCTTGTTGCAAAAACCGTGTAATGATAGCTGCAGCAAAACAATACTCAGTACAACACAAAAATTATTAAACAAAATCCATTAACTCATAATTTTCTGCTATGCTGAACACAATCCAGAATCCGCCGCTCTGCCGCCGAAGTGTTCAGTTTTGTTGTCGTTAAGCCAACATTCGAGTGTGTACAAAAAAAAACCCAATTGCGCGCAATTTTACGGCAGAGCGCATTTCGCCACCCATTGGACCACCCAGCCACCCACAAAAGACCTTCCACTCCTGGCGCTATGAAGAAGCACGTATGCGTGAAATATTGTGCAAACAACAAGTGCTACAACAACGTCTCTTTGCAGTCAGCAGTTAAGTGCAGTGCAATGAGGAGCAAAAAATAAGAGTAACATATAGTGTACTATATAGTACACTCTTATACCATACTCCAAAGACGGAACGGAACCCGTTTGTAGCCGAAAAAAACTGAAATGAAATGAAATTCACACGACGTCGTTGCCCGTCGCTTGATTATGGGAAACACTCAAAACGAGTTTGATTGTTGTCGCTGTTTGTTGGATTGTTGCTGTGTTTGTTCATATGTTTGACGGCTGCCTTTTGTTGTCATTGTTGCCGCTGTAATTTACGTGTTGCATGTGACAGGACGGTCTTTGTTGCAGGGAAACTACCGAAATCCACCTATAATATATGTATTCCCTGGACACGATATAATCAAAGTGTATCCATAACTGGTGTGGGTCATAAATCACTTACCAGCGAAGGAAAAGTGTGGGTCTAAGAGCAATTTGCCTTGATTAAAGTCGGGAATATATATCTGCCTCTAATGGTTAATAGAAAATTCAATTATATGGAGGAAAATAGACCGGCTTGGGGGTAAACACTTGTGATTACTATCATGGCTACCAATTGCTCCTTAAAGGTGATCTAATCAATAAGCCATTAGCAGCCGGCAGAAGATTAGTTTTCCTTGAATTATAGGCTTACATACAAATGTTAAATATCACAAATTAAGCACTTTAAAGGTCACCACTAAGAGAAAATAATACACTGGACATATTTTTATTTATTTTATTCAATTTCCATCTGAAAGGGATCTAAAAAACTACAAAACTCCGACTAATTGAGCTTCATGTGAGCTTCCCCATAATTTACACCTTGTTTTTCAATTTTTTTTCACCTTTGTTTCGAGACAGCTGACAAATTGAATTTGTTTGGCTAACATTTTGTCGGTCGGTGTTGGGTTGATGCAGCGTTATGAACTGCAAATTGGTTGAATTATAAGCAATTATCCATAATGCCATTGGCAGGCAGGCAGGCAGCAGCAGCGCTCACACGATTCGCGCCGCAGTGGAACGCATTTTGCCAGACAATTTCATTAACAGCAATTGCCGCCGGGAGTGTTGTGTGCGGTGTGTGTTGAGTGTTGAGTGTGTGTGCATAACCGCTTCATTTCCATTAGCCATACAATTTGATTAAGTTCCGACAGGGCGACAGGGTCGCAGTTGGGCTCAAATTCAAGCCAGATTACAATAATTTCTTTATCAAGGCAGCCAACGAACGCACCGACACGCAACAATAATACAATAACAGCACGATCCGAAGCCAGAAGGTCGTTGCATGTCCAACAATAAGGGAAAACCTTAATTTCGTGGGGGAAATGGAAAACGGGGGAGCCCAAGTTGGCCCTCTGCATACGCAGATGTAGCTGTGGACGTGGACAATGACAACGGAACGGAAACTAGCGGAAATCATTAGAGTCTGCACAAATGACTTCAAGATACTTCTTCTGCCCTGCCAGCCCCGAGCACTTTTTTTCCTTCTTCGCTCGCACAGTGGGCCCTCGGCGCAGGAAAACCCAAATCAAGCAGCTGAGCAGGAAAAAGCTGTCACATACGTTGAGGAAACTATTTGGGAAAAGCTGCCGGTCATCGTTACAAAGTGTTTATTTTGCCGAGAACTTGTCTAATGTTGTGCCAGGTCAAGGCTTTCACAATTTGCTACTGATATTAAAGTGATTGCGTTTGAAACTTTTATTAAACATTTTTGTTAGTTTAAGGAAACTAATATTTTCGGGCTTGAGTTTAATTAAACTCAGCAATATTTGGGATAAAAAAAATATTTATACAAGCAGAGAATAGCAAAGATTTACTTTACAAAAATATATTTTTGACCCAAATAGCACCATTTCTAAAGACTTCCTGCCACAGTGCGACTCC